TGGAAGTTGCAGAAGAACGGGCAGTGGCGTAGCATCACGTATGTGTGGAAGTGCCAATGAACGTTAACATCCCACCCCACCCCACCCCAACGTAGCATCACGTACGTGTGGAAGTTGCAGAAGAACGGGCAGTGGCGTAGCATCACGTATGTGTGGAAGTTGCAGAAGAACGGGCAGTGGCGTAGCATCACGTATGTGTGGAAGTTGCAAAAGAACGGGCAGTGGCGTAGCATCACGTATGTGTGGAAGTTGCAGAAGAACGGGCAGTGGCGTAGCATCACGTATGTGTGGAAGTTGCAGAAGAACGGGCAGTGGCGTAGCATCACGTATGTGTGGAAGTTGCAGAAGAACGGGCAGTGGCGTAGCATCACGTATGCGTGGAAGTTGCAGAAGAACGGGCAGTGGCGTAGCATCACGTATGTGTGGAAGTGCCAATGAACGTTAACATCCCACCCCACCCCACCCCACCCCATCAAAATCTATACGTTTTGCTGGACGGTAAAAATTCCGTCAGCATATACATGGCGTTTAAGTTACCACTGAAAAATAAAATAAGCTCCGATGCACGTAGGGGACTGCATGGATCTCAGGTTGGGGGTCGTCCCAATAGAATCCACCGCGTGCACTGGATTGTTGTCCTTCTATAAATACTGTCCATCAATTTTGGGTGATATATATATAATATATATATCTTTATGTTATGTATATAATCATGTATATATAATTATAATTACATAATGATAGTCATATAATGATGATTATATATATATATGTATAGTATATATTGATGTACAACTATCCAGCCAAATGATGTAAATAATGTTTGAACTGCCATGAAGCCCAGTTCTACCTGGATGCTTCACATCCAGCCAAACCATCCCAGCGGTGATGATCTTCGATCCCCATCTTTGAAGATCTCAGCGGTTTCGGTCAACTCCGAGTCAACTCCCATGTTTTCATATCTGCTTGGTGGTTGAGCCACCCCTCTGAAAAATATGAGTTCCTCAGTTGGGATGATGATTCCCAATATATGGAAAATTTTATCAGCCATGTTCCAAACCACCAACCAGATATCTTTTCCATGCTGAAAAACCCCGTTGCCACCATGAATTTCCAACATCTTCCAACCGCGGCGCCTGCGCCAGGGACGCGAGTTCCGCGGCTGCCAACTCCAGCGCGGGGTTGTCAGCCAGGCCTAGGACCAACCTGCCGGATCTGCGCCAGCGGCACCCAAAAAATGGTGGGTTAGCCTCTGCAGGATGGTGCCCCCCAGTTATAAGTTGGTTTATAAACCCCATTAACTATAGTTATATCTGCCATAAACCATAGTTATGGGAGTTATAAACCAACTTAGCTAACTCTGGGGCACCACCTTGTGGTGATTTGACGTAGCTGTGGAAAATGGCCCGTCTTCACCTATTAAAAATGTATAAAATAGTGATGTTCAATACCTACCTTGAATAACCAAAGGGTAGTCAACCGAAAAATGTCTGCGTTTTGATGGTGCATCTGGTGCATCTCCTTTTCTTCATGGTGTAACCCCTCTGGTAATGACCAACAGCCTGCTATGGTAGAGACTGTTTAAAATTCTATGAAAAATGATTAGTGTCCACATCCTTATTATTCCAAAAAAGAAATAACGAGTGTTCTGAGGTTCCATGTGAAACTCCATGGAAGAGGGAAATTATCCAAACAAACTTGGAATTGCAACCACAACTGGATGAAAATTCACTCCAATAATCCGGGACTCATCGCCCGCAACCCACCTGAGGGCTGCATGGCTATCGCCACCTGGGCGATTTGCTGACTCGTAAGTCGCTTGACGCAAGAGGATATACTTCACAATCTCCACATGAAAAGAACCAACATGCAGAAACAAGACAACCAGCCTTTTGAAAAAGAACACGTGCGAGGGTAAGACAAAGAATTGCTGGAACAGTTGCGCCACTGTTGATCCCTGTGTTCCACGGCTTTTCACATCCAACATCATCCAACTAGCTGGGGAAATCTTGCGCCATGACCATCGGGTGCATCTTATGTTGGAGTTACATGGTCGAGACGAAGAAATCATGCACCAGCTACTGTCATTCCTTTTGTCTTGCGCAGATCTGTTGTTGCAGGGGTGCAATTGTAATTCCACCCTGCGGAAAAATGTGTTTCCAATCCCGCCTTTTCAAAGACTGTTCTCAAGCAAAGTTGATCGTGGTTCATGTCCCGTTGCAAGCACACATCATATCATTGTCAGTCATAATTGGATATAGTTCGTGCAAATATCAGGAGTATGATGGTTTTGATCATCTTGATCATCATGCATCGAAAAGATGCAGTGGCAAATCAATGGCGGTCCTACACATACCTTATGGCGTCCAAGACTCCAGTGCTGTCACCACCACTCTTAGATTGGCCCCATGTCACCACAGATCCATCTGCCAAAATGGCAGCAAAGGCCATGCGTGTGGCATGAACCTGCTGGACGTTCCTAAGCTGATCTTGGACTGCAGTGCTGTCACCACCAAACTCAGAACTGCCCCATGTCACCACAGATCCATCTGCTAGAATGGCGGCAAAAGCAAACCATGTGGAATGAACTTGCCGAACATTCCTCAACTGATCTTGGACTGCAGTGCTGTCACCACCACTCTCAGAATTGCCCCATGTCACCACGGATCCATCTGCCAATATAGCAGCAAAGGCCATGCGTGTGGCATGAACCTGCTGGACGTTCCGGAGTTGATCTTGGACTGCAGTGCTGTCACCACCAAACTCAGAACTGCCCCATGTCACCACAGATCCATCTGCTAGAATGGCGGCAAAAGCAAACCATGTGGAATGAACTTGCCGAACATTCCTCAACTGATCTTGGACTGCAGTGCTGTCACCACCACTCTCAGAATTGCCCCATGTCACCACGGATCCATCTGCCAATATAGCAGCAAAGGCCATGCGTGTGGCATGAACCTGCTGGACGTTCCTGAGCTGATCTTGGACTGCAGTGCTGTCACCACCAAACTCAGAACTGCCCCATGTCACCACAGATCCATCTGCTACAATGGCGGCAAAAGCATACCATGTGGCATGAACCTGCCGAACATTCCTCAACTGATCTTGGACTGCAGTGCTGTCACCACCACTCTCAGGATCGCCCCATGACACCACAGATCCATCTGCCAAAACGGCAGCAAAGGCCATGCTTGCACCATGAACCTGCTGAACGTTCCGGAGTTGATCTTGGACTGCAGTGCTGTCACCACCAAAGTCAGAATTGCCCCATGTCACAACGGTTCCATTTGCCAGAATGGCAGCACATGCACCTTGTGTCGAGTGAATCTGCCGAACGTTCTTGGGCAGATCCCTGCCTTCAGCATTGCAGCAGCTTGGGTTGCCCCACGTCACCACGGATCCATCTGCTAAAATGGCAGCAAAAGAATTGTGCGTGGCATGAATTTGCTGAACGTTCCTGAGCCGATCTTGGACTGCAGCGCTGTCACCACCAGACTCAGAACTCCCCCATGTCACTACGGATCCATCTGCCAAGATGGCAGCAAAAGCTGCGCTTGTGCCATGAACCTGCTGAACGTTTCTCAGCTGATCTTGGACAGCACTGATGTCACCACCAGAGCTAGATTTGCCCCATGCAACAAGCCGGTCACCTCCAACACACCAGAAAGCAAACGCTCGCCATGTTGCAGCTAACTTTGGCTGCAATGCAACTGCTGAAATGCTGTCCCCATCTTGCAGTCCGGCCTCTTGCAAAGATTCTGCCGCATCCAAAAGGCGTCCGTTCGGCCCAGCAAGCCTCAGGAAAGGTTGCCCCAACACCTGCTGCGCAGCCACCTTCAGGTCACCCATGGTGCCAGCCTGCACGGTTGCAGAACGTCCACTAGGCAGCGACACGTGGAGTGTCAAGGTGGACTTCTGCCTCTTGGGCCCAGGCTCCATGGCAGAGCTATTGGTTGGCAAAATACTGACCCAACTCATAGATTCGACTACAAAGGATAGATTCGACAAGGATGATTCTAGAATTTCAGAAGGCAACCAGTGAACAAACCAGCAACCAATTTGCACAGGACAGGCTGTGACCAGACCAGACTACCCCAGATCCTGGGGAAGTTGGACCCAAAAATGGAAGAAGTCTGAGCCCATCTGCTGCATTCTGGGCAGATGCAACTAGGGGTGGCGACATCACCCAACCGACCCAACCCCACCCTTTTTTGCGGTCTCCAGTAGGCACTAACAGGCAACGTTTGAAATACCCTTTGGTAATTTAACATAGCTATTGAAAATCACCATTTTTACTGGGAAAATCCACTATAAATGGCCATTTTCAATAGCTACGTTAAATTACCAGAGGGTACCCCCCAAATGGACATGGAACTTTACCAAACCCCTTTGCCAATCTCGAAAATGGACGATGTGAGGCATCCCAATTGATCTTCTGCAAATCATGACCTCCAAGACCTCCACACTACCTATCTGCGGTGATTTACGGCTGACTCCCAGGTGGTGGACTACACCTAGCAACCTGCCACTGTGATTCCACAGAGCGGAACTAGCACACCTGAAAAGGAATAAGTATGTGTATGTATATATATATACTGTATATATATATATATTTATCTATAAATATATATATATACATATATATATATATACATATATACATATATATATATATATACATATATATACATATATTCCAGGATTCCCCTTCCAAGCTGACAGGGCAAATTGCTATGTGTTGCCGTTCTTGGGATGATTCCCCCCGATCAGCATGAAAAATTCTCGTGACATGGGCCTGGGCGAAGTCATTTCAATTCACACAAGACGCGGAACCACGAACCATTTCATTCGCCAAATATTGGATCAACATGTTTGGAGAATTGTTTTCCCACGTTACCCTCTGGTAATTTGTGCCACGACTATGAAAAATCACATCTGAAAACAGGGAAGTATCATCGCACTATGGTGCCATCACCACAGCTATATCCCATTAATTCCAGTTATATCCCCATCCGATTGCCCCTGACCCGGCCTCTGGCATAGCACATCTCTCCATGCCAGAGACCGCTCCACCTGCCAACGAAAACGGATGGGGTATGCAATGGTATACAGTATGGTAAATATCCACAATAAAAGTTGGTCTCCCCCTTCTAATTGACCCATTTTCCCATTTAACTTGGAAATAAAAGAAGGGCTATCTCATGGTTCTTGCAGAGAGGTTTCTCCGATTTCAGAACAAAATCGATAGGCTTTGTCTGAAAGCAGAACAGATAGATATCTATCATAGATATCCCCATGCATGGCCATTAAAGCACAGAAAAGAATGATAATTGGAATGGGCGAATAAGGAAGATATCCCCAGTCCCTGAAAAAAAACTCGAAAATCATGGTCCAATCGTGTCCAATCCCTTAAAAATTGGGAGTGTTCCCCTAAGTCCTAAGCTTTCCCCTACCCGGCCTGGTAAACGTTTACATAACTATGGAAAGATCCACCATTTATAGCTGGGAAAATCCACTATAAATCACCATTTTCAATAGCTATTTTGACATAACCAGAGGGTATGTTTTTTTCATGTTTCTTTTATGGGTTTCCCCCAATTTTCCATGGGACTATCCTATTTTCTGGGTTTCCCCGGCGCTTGCGCCCAGGTCTCTGCCGCCGTCTTGTCCAAGGCCTCACCGGGGTTTAGTGATATAGTTATATTATCACTAGTATATTAGGGAATATTACTAGTATATTGTATCATTAGTTTATATAATTATATATCATTAGTTCATATTACTCAGTATATTGCTCGTTGGTGGTTGAGCCACCCCTCTGAAAAAAATTAGTCAGATGGAATGATTATTCCCAATATATGGAAAAATAAAAGCCATGTTCCAAACCACCAACCAGATTATAAATGGAGCTACGTTAGTACCATATAAGGCCACATTTTGCAGGTATATCTGCAGGATGAGGTCCCATAGTTAGCTAAGTTGGTTTATAACTATAGTAACAATAGTTCTGATACTTATAGCTATATTTAGATGGGGTTATAAACCAACTTATAACTGAGGGGCCACATCCTGTGGGGGGGTTCCATAAATGGGGGTACCCCAAAACGGATGGTTTATAATGGAAAATCCATCTATAAATGGATTATTTCGGGGGTACCATCATTTTAGGAAACCTCAATGTATATATATATATACATAGAATTATAGTAATAATAACAATAAAAATGATTGTGATATGATGATCATGATGATGATGATGATGATGATGGTGATGGTGATGGTGATGATGATGATGATGATGATGATGATGATAGGAATAATAATAATAAATTAATGATAATAATAGTAATAACAATAATATGTAATCATATTGTGGGATCACACATATTTGTGATATTCTTGTATAATCTTTACAATGATCACAACAATATAATCTTTATAATTTCTCACATATAATGTAATATTTATAATCTTTATCTTTATTCGATTTCTGATTATCAATCAATAAAAATATATACTGTAATTACTTTTTCGGGATTGTTCTAATGCTATTTTGGGGGACTGGAAATCTTGGATTTGCATTTAGGATTAATCAAGGCTAATCCCTTCCCCCCCTAGATAGCCCGCCAGAACCCCCGGTTTTTGTATTAGATGTGTTCATTTTCTCCGGCAAGTTGACATAGCCATGGTATAGATGGCCCATTTAGTTCGATGTTTACCTAAAATGGTGATGAATAACCCAATGTTAGAAAGAACTACCATTCGGAGATGATTTAAATCCCACCCCTTTATCATTGGGTAAACACCACACTCAGGTTTCACCCAAGAATGGGATGCAAATGGTAAATCCGCAAAACATGGTGGATTTCAATCCAACAAGTCCAACAAGTTGAGAGATTTCTCAACAAATGGAGTAAAAAAAAACAGCAAAACAGGCCAAGATTGAAACACCAAGAGATTGTCCCAGAAAAAGTCTGGGGATTTCCCCCAGAAATGACCATGAGCCCAGGGCATACCCTCTATGGTATCGTCTTTTTCTGAGGCATGGCCTATCCCATGTTTTAAAAAGGGGTAAAAAAACAACGCTGGTAATCAAACATGGCCATGGAAAATCCGAAAAAATGATACTTGACTGTCCTATTGAAACCTGCAGTTACTGGATTTTCCCAGAAACTGAAACCTCCAGAACTTGTTGGTTTACCTCCACGAAAACAAGCAGATGTTCCAGCCAGCCATGTTTGAAACTTGGGGGTTGGCAAAAATCCTTTGGAAACTCGGCCTGGTTCTCGGAGGCAAAGCAACCTGGCTCAAAATTTGGAGGTGGAAAGCCATCTGGGCCATCTGCAGATGGCAAAATTCAAAAAACCCTCCATTTTTGATGGTTAATACGAAAAAAATACTGAACATAGACTTAAATCTGTGTATATTTTTTCCATTGCTTTAATTTTGACCCATACCCATCTGTTTAGCTGTGGTTGAGATTGTTTGCACGTGTAAAGACTTCTTGACCCACAAACACATGGTTCGATATGAAACACTGAGTGACTTTTCTGCGTAAACCACAGTGAAAAGAGGCATGAACATCACATTGTTGGCTGAAACCCATTAACTCATTTTTCCTAAATTGAACAACCCCCTTTGCTTGTGACCCTAGATGACCCTAGTCCGGTTTGCGCCATAACTTCACACCATCAAGCATTCAAGCATCACCATAGCATAGGTGAACGACAATCCAACAGTGATGTTTCCTACGCTGTTTCAACATGCCAAGTTTTGGTACAGTGGGTGTGTCTGAACTTGGGGGAATCCCAATTTTCCCAACATCAAACTGCCAGGAGGTGTATCCCATTCCAGCTGCCTACATCAAAGCCTTCAGACTCCAGGATACCATGCCTCAACGCTAGGGTCGTGCTGACACTTCAGCACATAACGGGCTGCAACCCATGATGAAAAATCCTTTCAAAACATTTCAAAACTGGATATATATATATATAATCATACATATTTTTCTTTTATGTATATATATATATACATCCATACTATAAATATAAAGACCAAAATGAATCATATATATATATTCATATATGATATCCCATTATTACTCATCAACCAATGTTAACGGACCAAAGACCATATAATAGATGTTAATATGCTACAATATATACCATAGACCATATAATCAAGCTGGATATACCCACCATTTACCCACCATTTACCAGGCACCCCCAACGGCCCTCGAGATCCTTTCAGTGGAGCCATCGTCACGTGGTGCAGGTTCAGCATGAGCCGCGAGGCTGCCTGGAAGCCAATGGAACTGGGATACATCGTGGCATTGGCATAATATACATATTGTTGCATGTCATGTAACCTTATACACATATGTGTATTGTGTATATGTATATATATATACATATGTTTTGTCATATCATATATGTCACTACATATGCATTATAAGATATACTGTATACATATTTATATATACATAATATCTCATGTGATTCATATACTATGCATACACAATATCACATATACAATATGAAACTATTTACGTACACAATACTGCATGTTTATATATATATGCATTGCTCTTACTATTATTACTATTATAATTATTATTGTACATCATATTATGTAAGTAAGTAGATATATAATCTTATATATACCATATTATATGTGTATATTCATGATATTCTCTATCTATCTATCTATCTATCTATCTATCTATCTATCTCTATCTATCTAATCTAATCTAATCTAATCTGATCTGATCTAATCTAATCTAATCTAATCTAATCTGATCTAATCTAATCTAATCTAATCTAATCTAATCTAATCTAATCTAATCTAATCTAATCTAATCTAATCTAATCTAATCTAATCTAATCTAATCTAATCTATCTATCTATCTATCTAGTATTATTATATATATATACATATATATAAATATATGGTATTATGCATCATATATAGTATATATATATATATGTGGTACTAAAGTGGTACAATACATCATATTATACCTGATCTGGGGCCGAAACACCCCGCCTCCACCAGATCCAAATCATCACCCTCCAGCAGGGCACGTACCAAGTAGCCGCGGCGCACCACCTAGGAGACAAAGATTTTTGTTTTTCACCGCCAAAAGGATGGTTGAAACCCTATAAATAATCTGGTTGGTGGTATACCTACCCCTCTGAAAAATATGAAAATATTGCCATGATAATGATTTTTCAATGTGGTAAAGCCAATAATAATCCCCAACATCACCATAATCAATAATCTGGTTGGTGGTTGACCTACCCCTCTGAAAAATATGATTTCGTCAGTTGGGATGATGTTCCAAACCACCAACCAGTAATGGGATATAATGGGATAAACCATGGGATGCTTTTAAGTGCAGGATTTCGCTGGCCCATCCACAGTATTTTCCAAGCAAAAATGGTGATTGAATGGGATTTAACCAACAAAAATTGCGATTTAACCAACAAAATGTTGATTTTATGGGGTGTTCAATGGTGATTCACAAATATGATGATTTATTGGGATTTGATGGGAATATAATTGGGATATAATGGGATATAACTGACCAAATGGGATGTGCCAAAATCCCATTGAAGTAGTGTAAGTAGTCAAAATAGCCAAAAACCCAGTAGTTTTAAAGCCGCAACTTCCCCAGAAAAAAATGATCGTATACCCCATCATCACACATGACACTTAAACTTGCATGGGTATCCCTCACTTTTGGACAAATCAAGTATAGTTGGCAAAACTGCTAGAACAATTCCGAACAATGACACTCCCTCATTCAATGACACTCCCGGTTTGCTGTGTGGTTGAGTTGATTAAGCTTCAGGTTCTTCGACTTGTGACCACAACTTAGCTTCTTTGCTATTACTCAAAAGAAAAAAAGATGCTCTGTAGTTACTTATTCATGTTGTCCCACACAAGATATTTAGTAGAACAGTATAACTACACACACTATCCCAATCGTACTAGTCGATTCTATCTGGATACTATCGTTCCATCTAAAGAGTACCAAAGATACATATTCTTATTCATGCTATCCCAACAATCAAAGAACTACACACAGTATCCCAATGATTCAAAACACAATGTCGTGCTCCCATAATCGGAATCTTTATAATGGCTACACGGGGGGTCCTAAAATAGGGTTACCCCTCAATCATCTATCAAAATATAGGATGTTCCATTATAAACCAACCGTTTGGGGGATCCCCCATTGATGGAAACCCCTCCCTATGAATGCATTGATCATCCTCCAATGTGTGTAACCCAGCACGGCACCTCTTCACGCACCTTCAAACGAAGACTCTCCGGTCCTGCGGCGGTGTTTAAGATACCATTGGTACCCCTGGCGATCCAACCTGGTTTTATCCTGATTACAGCCAGGTATACGGACGGTTTCATGAAGGACAACCCCCCCGTGATGTTCATTGGTTTGTAACCCCAGCTGAGACAGATCAACCATAAATCCAAGCAGCATTTTAGTTGTAAACCAACCGAAAGCTATCATAAATCACATCCCAGTTTTGAATCATATTATGGTAATTACCTTTATATTTTATATACCAGACAGATATATATATATAATGTATATATATATAATGTATATATATAATGTATATATATATATATATATATGTATTGCCATGAATCATCCCATATATGGTTAAATCATGTTTAATCTCCATTTCTGGGGACTCTACATCCTCTATGGCAGCCTATGGCGTGCCTGAGCCTACCAGATCCGCAAGACACCGCGTCGCCAGCCACTGGAGCTGGGGACTTTCCTTGGAACCCCAAAGGTCATCCGGACCAAAGGAACATTCAGGAGCTACCAAGTTTTGATGGCAAAAATGTGGGGAATATACTGAATATATATATATAATATGTTTTTAATGTTATGTGTATATATATATACATGGAATATATATATTATCATATGAACCTGCCAACAATGGATATGGGGTGTAATCAGTGTAATCACATGACCAGAGCTGAGGTGACCCCCACTTTACCAACCAAAATGTTGATTGAAGTACCCTCTGGTTATGTCAAAATAGCTATTGAAAATGGCCATTTATAGTGAGTTTTCCCATGAAAAATGGTGATTTTCCATAGTTACGTTAGTCTACCAGAGGGTATACTATGTATACAAAGAATCCACCATAGATTCCTTTTCCACCCTGGAAATGAGGGTGGAAAATAAGGATATGTTCGTTTCCACAGAAAAATTGCCGTTGTTTACAGCAATTCTCACAGGCTGGGATAGATCGACATTGCCCAATACAATAACCATAACTTCCAGGAAACTCCGAAAAAAAAAAATCGGTTGGCTGCGTATCTATACGATATATACCAAGAAATCCACACGAATTCCTAACTATATCTCCTATCCCCATTCGATATGTGTTCATAAAATGGATCCCCATTAATAGTCCCATGGCTTTTCTTGTGCCGCCAACACCATAAAGGTCGATCGGTCGATCTCTTCCCCCCCGAAAAACCTCCACCCGAGTCGCATCTTCCAATAGGCTCAGCAGGGTTTTCCAGGCCCCGCAGCCTTCCAGTAGCCGTGGAAGCTGTGAAGGGTAGAAAGCCGTATCCTGCGCACTGAGGGGAGTCACGCTTGGCCGCTGTCGCGGCCAAAACGTAAGAATGATATGTATATGTGTATATATCTTCTATGAGAACAGGGAGTCTAATCAGGAGGGATCATAATCAAACTTGGAAAAATAAAAAATAGTAAATAATGATAATAAATAATAAATTAAGATAAGAATAAATAATACCAAATTGTAACAAATAGTGGAAGCTATCAAAAAATATACAAAAATAATTAAACATAACAAAAAATATTTAAAATTATTGATTCAATTACCTTCCAGAACTGAGAAAAACTTGAAAAAATGAAAGAAACATAGGAAAACATAGAAAAAATAGAAACAAATAAGAAAAAATAGAAAAAAAACTAGAAAAAAATAAAAAAAAATAAAAAAAAAAATAAAAAAAAAAATAAAATATTTTGGGGGCGCCGAGGCAGATTTCCTTTAAGTTTCTGCAGTTTTGCTTCACAATTCCATTGTTTTATTGCAGTTTGGACTACCCTAGTTCATTTCTGAATATGATCCCTTTGAATATGAGCCCAAAGCTCATTGATGAATATACTAATATTGTACAAGTATATGTATATGTGGTTATAGTTGTTTAGTACATGTGGATGTATTACATCTATGTGTATATATATATATTCATATCGGGATGCTTTGGTTGAGTCCCCCAGTGTATTTCGGGATTTTTTACAACATATAACAGTGTTTGGGTTTGGGTTTGGCGTTCAAAAAACTGGGGTGCCCGGGTGCCGAAAGTGTTTGGCATAAGCAGTTTGGGCGTGTGAGGAGTTCACCCAATGCTGTTCCTGCCACTTCCCCATTAAAAACAACACAGGAGAAGATCGAAAGCAATACTCCCCAGAAAAAAAGAAGGAGAAAGAAGAAATAGGAGAAAACAATGATAACAAAAATGATGTAAACCATCAAAGGAGAGGAAAACATGTTGAGAGCAAACATGAAAGCAAAATGAAGCAACCCACAACATGCCCAGCCCCCGAAACCGACCTATTTACCTTTTTTGCCCACCCAACCCTTCAAAGGGGACTTAACCCAAGTATTATACCCAATCATGTACACACATATTATAATATATATATATACATATGAGTTGGTGTGAAAATGCATGCCAGTCGTGGTCAAATTGGAATCAAAACTCAGGCATCCTGGCCGCAAATGATTCGCCTGAGTGATTCACCCACAGACGTTGCTTCAACAAATGTTGGGCCAACAAACCATGGAAAATGGCCCATAGAAATAGATGATTTCTGAATATTTATGATGGTTTACCTATTAAAAATGGTGCTTTTCCATGGCAAACTGTTAGTCATAACCAGATGGTAACACACAACCCCCTCCCCACAATGGCACCAGCTCTTTTTTCTGACATAGGAAAAGGTCTTCATCACTCCATCGCTGTCGGAACAAGACAACAATACCACCCTGCTATCTCAGAGACTCCCGTTCTCGAGGCTTGGTGCCACTTTTGCTCCAAGTTGAACCAGTGCGTAGCCAGCTGCGGCACGAACCATGGGAATCTCATCGCTCTGGCACATCTCCTGAGGTTTTTAGGCATGGCTGGAAGGGTTCAACAAGATCATTGAGAATGTGGCGATCTTCTGTCCAATTCTCTAGAAGACTTCCGCCCGATTCTTTGATGATTTTCCGCCGTGGTATGAGGTGCTGGGCTGTTTATTTTCCACGAGGTCTGTGGCTTTGTCGGGGTCTGCAAGTATGCTACTCCGTTTCATCCGGTAAATCAACAGGTTCCCTACTTGATGGCCACAGTTTCCCTGGTAAATCATGGTAAATCCCAGCAATCCTACTCAGGATCCAGACGTCTGGATTCAACCTTAGACCTTGACCCAGGAAGGTCTACAACTTGGATTGTTTCGGGTACTGGGTACTAAGATGTACTAAGCACCCGAAATCAAATGGTAAAGTTGGGTAATTAAACGGCATTGGATTTGCTACGCTACGAAGAAAGCACGGAAAAAATGATTTGCACTGGCTTTGGTCCCACCAATCACGTGAAGACAAACAGCAAGTACAGCGACAATCTGACTACTACAAAGGTAGCGTTCATTGCTTTAAGGGCAAACAGGCAGCCGATCTCGAACCAAACACCCCCAGCCCATGGCAGCGGCTAGGACGAGGTTCAATGTCTTCTGCAAATGCTGCGCCGTAGTCACCCAGCTTCCCTAAGGTTTCGCCTCAGGATTCCAGGAGCCAAGGCTGGATCAATCCATGCAACCCCCCGAAGTTTCGAACCGAAAAACCGAAAACTCACCGGTAAGGAGAAGTTCATGACATGACGACCAAGTCACATGCTGCTGCTCTGGATTCAGGATCTTGGCTGGCCAGTTCTCCCGCAATGGTGCTGGCGTAGCACTGACCCACTGTCTCCATGCTGGCCAAACATCTCATGGCCTCGGTGCTCCAGCGCAGGTCATTTGGGGGGGTCCTAAGTCATAGGGTACCCCCAATCAGCCAAGTCATTAGACCATTTTGGTATTGAAATCCATGGTCTTTGGGTACCCCAGGAAACCTTCTTTTTGGAAAATTGTGATCAGAAGGCAACATATGTTTCAACCCATCTCAGGAAAGTTTGTATAGCAGTTTGTTTTACCATCAAATCAGCTAGTCGGTGATTCCAACCTCAAACAACCAGGATAGGCAGCCATCACTGGACCATGGAAACTCAATCTCTAGACGCCAAGTTGCAGAGGCTCGAACACAGCCATATTCGTCGGAAATGCACTTGAAGACCTGTGAAGAATAAGTCCTTGCAGCTCGATGCGTCGAAGGGCCCCCATTTGCAGCTGTCATGTTGGCCATCGGACTATCTATTTAGTTTCTAGTGAAACTCCTATGATCAGTTGGTAAATCATTGGGACTTTCAATGATTCATGATGATACTATATAACTTTATATAACCATATATAACCATATATAACCATATATAACCTGTATATTCCGTTATGAGGAGTCAATTCCCATTCTAATTGGCTACCGATTCTGTGCCCGGAGGCCTGGAAGCCCTGGCGCCTATCGCTGCTCCGAGGAGTCTGGTGGACCAACCCAAACGGTTGGAAAGCAAAAAGCTCCAAGAGTACAGTAGCCACAATGGCAAAGGAATGTGAATATTCGACTAACCATTGACCCGTTTTTTTTTTCAGAGTCGTCAGGGATGAAAGCTGTGGGGATGCAGGTCATGTCACCCTGCCCCGAACGGATGACATGTCCTCCTGATTCTAAGTTTCTGAAGGTGTCATGGTGCAACAATCATAGTCCCCAAAACGACTCTCAAGATCTCTCAAGTCTTAACCCCAACAACGGTCACAAAGTCAGTCTTCTAAGAAACTGGGATTATAATTCCATATAATGATTATATACTATTGCTCCCAATCCCATGATTGTCCCTCTATAATTGTTGCATATTGTTGCCACATAATCAAGTTCCAATACAGCAACCCCCAACAAGATAGAAAAGTGTTCCCAGGATGGTACAGATGATATTCACCTCATATTTCAAACATGTCAACTGCTCTATCCATTTCGTTGTCCTCTAGCACCCCACAACTGCTGCTCCCAGCGTCTTTGCATGGTCTGGATATGTGGCCAACGCATCCAGGGCCGCCTGTCTGACGGAAGGCGCTTCGTCATGGAAGAGATCCGGCAAATTGTCAATGACATCTGTGGCTCCAATGGCTGCAATGCACTGGCATGCCTTCCTTGGTGCTGGGCAGGCAGTGGCAATATATGGCAATGCAGCTTGCATAGCTCGCCTCTTTCTCAAGAGCTCCCCTGAATTTCTGTGGAGTTCCCTGATGCTATAGCTATTCAAGGACAGTACCATGCTGTCTCCTGTCTCCGTGATAACTCTCTGCTACCTCATGCCCAGGAGCAGACGCACCAGGTACACGTCATCCTCCAGGACGGACATGATGCTGGTGGAGTGTTTCTTCGCCGCGGCGCCAAACTGCATCAGGGCTTCAATGGCGCATAACCTGCGAGGACTGGTTGGCCGACTTTTTGGGGATTTCATGGCCCGAAATGTATCGAAATGTCGGTTTGAGGTCATGAATTTGCAGTTTAGAAGGTATTTGCGCGTTGACTTGCTGCAAGTGAAGGAAAGGTCAACCATTTGCTTCTGGCTTTTTTGATGTAAGTTAAAGAAAAAGTGCTTGGACGTTGGAAAAAAATCTTGTCCATGTTCCTCCAATTAATGACCCATCCCGGCAAGCAAAAGTGAAGCCATCAACAGGGTTGCAACACCGAAGGAAAAATGTGGGCGATTTTTTAAGGTGCAAAACTACCTTCATTTCCCCTCGTGGGCTCATCATTTTCTGATAGGTCGCGGCAACTTGGATCAACCCCTTTGATCACCTGTCTACGAGCACGGCCCGACCTGACTTCATAGGATTTGTCCCGCAAGGCGCCCGACACGGCGGCCAGGTGCTTTTCAGACTTCATGAGACCTGGCGGCTCTGATGGTCTGATCCCCCAACCGGGATGATCAACATGCCAGCGTGGCGTAGTTTGCAAGCACGGATCATATTCCACGTCTATTTACAAACGATTTCAGACATCATGTTTTCGGAGGTTTCCATCGTCATGTGGATACCCCAATAGTTTTTTTGAATGGTTTTTAATGGACAATCCCAAACTGTAAATGGATGATTTAGGGGTACCCCCATGACTTAGAAAACCCTCAGCTACCTCAGCCAAGGTACTGAGGCTCATCAAAGCCGCACACTTGGGGCGCCGAAGGATGTAGGCGGAGCGCAGGCTACCACCGCCCACGGCCAAATAACCTGGGCGTGGCAGCAAGGGCACCATCCCACTATGAAATTCTTGGAACTTCATGGGTAAATTTACATGAAAATGGAGGACTGGGTATATAATCCATATGCCAAGCTACTGTAACAACTATTGGATAATTACTGGATAATCAGGCATGTTTGAGCCTATATAAATGATAAATTGGATAAGAACAGTGGGTACACTTGCTAACCTAACCAGGGTTAGTTAACCAGTTCCAACAGTAATCAGGATGTAAATCCTAGTAAATGAGCAAACATTCCAGATCGTTCCTAGTGGACAAGTGCGGTGCTATTTTCCACTTGCTACAGGGCTGCTTGAAGAGATAGAAAAGCACATCACGATCAAAATACTTAGGGAATGAACTCTTGGATCTATTTGGGAACCCCTAGAGTATCCTATCAGGCCTATCGTCAATGGAATTATCCCGCTTCTCAAACTTGAGCAAGTAGCTTGCCGCTCACCAGCAGGAGTGTGTATGGTACAAAAACCCGTAAGGGGATTTGTGGCTGAGTACTTTGTACTAACTCCAGGTATTTGGTTTATATATGTACTTGAGGGTGTAAGCCAAATCAAAGTGGTACAAAGTATGCACCCTATAACCTGGCAGCCGAACTGACCCGCTCAGCTAAAGGAACTCTCGGAGTCATCATCCCCGTTGTCTCCGAGAAGGACTGCCACGTCTTCCTTCGGATCTGCAGCGACGATGCTGACATAAGATTCACCACAACCCATGTGTTCGTATACGAATGCATGAGTACATCTACATATGACAAAAAAGCAACAGAAAGATGTGTATATGCAATATGTCTATAATGCAGATATAAATAAAGAGAATCTATATGTACAGAACATGCATGGTTGACGTGTCTACGGGGTTTCCTCTCCTAAAATCTACCGCCCAAGCATCCGCAGCGCTTGATGCACCACACTTCCCCAGGGCCAGGGCTGCAGCGCAGCGAAGGCCCGGCTGAGAATCCTTGAGCAACGCCACGATGCTCCTGGGAGGCCAGGCACATTTCACCAACAAAATTCTGGGATCTTCTGGGATCTAAGTTTTTTTCGATTGGAGCGAAAGTTGTACTTTTGGAGATGTTTGGAGATGGAAAAACCCTGGAAATTGTGGACTTAAGCAACGTTTTACGAATGTGGATGAGATCCATGAGAAATCCTGGTTGGTTAAGAACAAAAATTGCCAGTTCATGGATTGTGATAATCCCCCGTATACTCCACGGGTAGTAGCTTAATACGCCCGAACTGAGTATCAACCAACAGCGGTGTTGAACGCGCTCAATTGGGAATATCAGCAAGATGATAAGGAAGATTGATGGGCAAAGAGTATCAACAGCAATGGGCTGTGCAGGCAGATATCGTTGTGGGTTTGTTCATGACTGGAGGTTTAAAGATTGGACATGACCAAGAATTTGGAATCTTCAATCCCAATTTGTCAACCCTGCAGTTGCCCAAGTTTCTTAGGGTCAGCCAGCACCGCATCTGGAGCTACCGCCAACGTGCTGGCAGCTGCTTGGCGAGTGAGGCTGTCTTTGTCTTGCAAGCATGAGACAATCTCCGGAAGATTCTTCCTGAAGCGTCCAACTTCGCAGCAATGCCCATTCCCAACTGCACCAACCCGTGGTTCAAAAATATGTTTGAACTGGTGTGTTTTTAACAGGGCATGGATTGTGATCATCCTGGACCTGCTGATGGGATTGCGCAGCCGTTTTTTTTCAACGAGTGTCTTGACCACTTCCGGTCCCAGATTTCCCAGGGCCGTGACGGCAGCAAAGCGCGTGCCTTTTCCGGCGAAGCATGGGGAGATATGGAAGTATAATGAGACATAACGATAAAACTAGTTTAGTATTGTATATAGTTGTTACACATAGCAGTCACTATATACTATACACAACATATCTAGTTGGCAAGTATGTGTATATATATATATATACATGTATTTAGTACCATTAGTAGAGGCCTAGTGTATACTTATATAATCAGTAATCAGTATATCATCTAGTTAGTATATGATCAAAGTATAGATGATGGTTAGTTGATGATGGGTCCCTACCGTTTTGGTGGTTCTGAAATAACTAGCACGATGATATTTGGGTGTCTCTGAAAATGAGATATACCCCAACAAATTGCAATTTTAAACAGGAATATGATAAATTTGGAGTACTGAGGATCCCTAATTAACCTATTTTCAGACCATATTCTAATCATTCAATATTAAATATTTTATTGATCACATAATCCAATCATAATGCAATATTCAGACCATATTCTAATCATTCAATATGTGTGTGTGTATGTACATATGAATATATGGATATATAAATGAATAATGAATATTTGTATATGCCTATATGTCTATATGTCTATATGTATATGTATATATATATGAATATTTGAACATATGAATATAAATATATGTATATATGTATTTATATATATATGTATATATATATGTATATATATATATGTATATATATATATATGTATATATGTATAGATGTATATATGAATATATGAATATAAGAATATAAGTATATATGTATATATGTATATATGTATATACGTATATATGTATATATGTATATACGTATATATGTATATATGTATATATGTATAAATGTATATATGTATATGTGCATATATGTATATATGTATATATGTATATGTGCATATATGTATATATGTATATATGTATATATGTATATATGTATATGTGTATATATGTATATATGTCTTTATGTATATATGTATATATGTATATGTGTATATATGTATATATGGATAAATGGATAAATGTATTTATGTATATATGTAGACATATACATGCTGTATGTGTATACATATATAATATATATATATATATATCGGCTTCCCCAAGGACCACACTCCTGACAAGTTGCAGCTAGTGAAAGACCTTGTTTCACGGACCGTATTGCAACATGTTCTTAGTCTACGCATCTACAGGAATGGTAGGAGTCAGTTCTTGTTTCACGGCCAGGAGTAGGATACTGCTTCAATTAACACCACCTAGAACCAGGCTTAAGAGAAATCACTACATATATACTCGCCATTGATGTGAGAAGGGAAAATGACAGCAGCAAATGACATGATGAGCAGTTGATGGTGCAAACACGTTGGGACACATTGGCGTCATGAGAACCACATGAAAAGAGCACCAGCTTATAGTATTGACAGTTCCAAGAGGTCGGACCACACTGTATATTAAGTTTGCATACAGGTATTCTGCATTATGTGACCAAGTTTGTGAATGATTCCGAACTGTATATGTGATGTTGTTGCTTTCCGTTGCGCTAGCGCTTAAATCTCTTGCTCTCTTGTGAGAGAGGGTGAATTCATAGCTTGTCTCAGTCAGTCGCTGCTAGTCTATGTTGAGTTCACAGCTTGAACGGCAATGAGGGCTATAAACTTAGTTCTGCGGCTTTCCATTCCATAAATTGAAGAATTTGCATTTAGCTGAATTTCACTCTTTCGTGACCATCACTGAAGTCCCCGGTAAAATTGCCAGAAACTGAGTCGTAAATCTACCATTTGGGGTTTGTCTGAAAATAGTGTATCCACATATCATGGTTTCTCATCGTTTTTCCGATTCAATATGATTAGAAAAACACGATGTTTGGGACGATATCGCCGGGATATATTTCACTATGACTATGTAACAATCCTCAGACAAACCCAACTGAGCCATGAAAAATTCCCTTATCTCATCCCATGATACTGATTATATAATGGTTACTCCTGGTCCTATAACCCCCAATCAAGACGGTAGTATTTACAATAAACCGTTCCTATAGATTCCCTACTAAATTGTGTTTTTTCATTGGGAAAATAACTCAAATACTGTAAGTAGTGTTCAAATCCCTCTGTCATTCCATGAAATACTGGTTGGTTAAGAACGGGATTCGTTGGTTAAGAACGGGATTCACCGTTCTTGGACTCTTCTAATCCCCAGTATTTTTTCGGTTGTTTTTTATCCCCTAGAATCATCAACCAGCGCTGCACCTGGATGCTTCATCTTCTGAGCAATGCGCGAGGCTTCGGGCGCTCCGGCCTCATCGGTACGGGTGACAACGGCTGCGGCAATGGCCATGAAAAATCCATCAATTTATAGATGAGTTTCCCATTGAAACCTCCATTTAGTTCGGAGATTTTCCATAATTTCGAGATTACCAGACTTACCAGAGGGTACCCTGATTTTGAGAGATCTATCAGATCCTTCACACATCAATACCCACACCCTTGCAGACCCACACAAGTGGGTTGGTGAGTTCTGGGCGGGACAGAGTTTTCCCAGAACCACTCCAAAACAATAGCGTTTACCCTCTGGTTATGTCAAAATAGCTATTGAAAATGACCATTCATAGTGGATTTTCCCATTAAAAATTGTGATTTTCCATAGCTTTTTGTATGTTTACCAGAGGGTACTTGAAGCCTTCAGAGAAGCATGTTTCAAATCCAGACATCATCTGGGTTTCATTGACAAGAAGGTCAAGAAACATTCTAGATGCATCGTCTTGAGCCGTGGCTGCCACTGTCTGAGAAACTGGATGTAAGCGACCCGGCGGATCATGACAAGATATAGAGTTCATAAGAATATCCAAACAGATCTAGATGGCTGCATCAAAATGGGATACCCCTGACAACTAGTCTCTGTACTGAAACAAACCATGTACCGTAAATGGTGGTTTCCTGAAACACTTTACGCGAGGACGTTATGATTGAATGCGCGCGTGAGGGACGGTGACCATTTTCGATCGTAGCGTGATGTCTCGTTGGACTGACGTTGGGATGTGGGATGGTAACGTGGCTTTCTGCTGTGACGAGGTGCAAATTTTGGGTGCTTTGGGTGGGCTGGTTGCAATGCGGTGGCCATTTTGGATCATAGGCGGTTCCCCATTGTGGCTAGCGGTGCTAACTTCGTGTGTACCCCCCCAGTTCTCACCCATTTTTTGTTCGGATTTTCCATGAAATCCGCCCGCACCGAAGGTGCTGGGGCGTGATCTTCCGGATGGCACTCGTAAAAGGTTACAGGTTTACCTGGGGGGGGGGGCATTTTTCGGCCAAAACCTCCTGTTTTTGATAGGTCGTGACGCTCGCCTTCAAAAAACACTGTAAAAAACAGTACGGAAGACACCTGTTCGTGAACGCGCCCGTCCAAAATCGGCAAGCGAAAAGTGAAAAAAAACCGTGTTTTTCAACTTTTTGACCTCAATTTTTTGGTTTGCAACATCTTTTTTTGCGGTTCCGCAGGTGGCCGGGCCCGGAGGCGGATTTTTGAGTTTTTGGACCCGTTTTCGGACTGATTTTCGTCGTTTTGTGATAGCAGAAACACTGGTTTTTACAGTGTTTTTCTGTTTTCTGCATGCTTGACGGCTAGCTTCAAAACTTCCAAAAACCTCGTAAATTACGCTGTTTTATGTTACGGTGTGAATGAAAACATCGTAAATACCAGTGTTTTTTTGACGTTGGTTAAAAAAACGCTGTAAATTACAGTGTTTTTGGCCACCTGACCCTCAAAAACCATGGTATTTGCAGTGGTTTCTGCTTCTCACCGCGCAAAAACACTGTAAATAACAGCAATTTCGCCGTTTTTTCATGTTTTTCCTTATTTTTTGACTTGCGTTGGTCCGCTATACATGGCTATCAAATTCTTCGCTTTTTTTTTCCGACAATCAGTACTTTCGGATGTTTTTGGTCTCAATGGCCGAATAAACCAACAATTTTGGTTGGATACCCCCATTTATGGAAACCCCCATTTATGGATTTTGGCAGGTCCCCCTTGTGAACAACCCAATGGATCTGTGTGTCTCTAGGATTGTGAAGTCAAAAAAACCTCCCAGTCATTCGCTGCAAAGCTTCAGATTTTGAACATGACTTAAAAGGATTATATGGGGATGGGTCAAAACCCATTATTGTCATAGGAGAATCAACATCCATGAGCCAGCTATTTCAGGGTACCGTTTGGGTACCAGGGTTTTGACCCACAACCATATCACCGGTTGCACCACTGGCGACACCGATCAAAGGTAAGGGGCTGCTCCAAGCTTCCCAAGGGCTTGGCAAGCCGCAGCAGCAACCGCCATGGATTTGTCTTCCAAGAACTCCTCGGATCGCCAGGCGATTCTGGTGTCCCATCAACCCCCCAGTGAAATCCCCCAGGGTTTTTGAGGAATGTCGTAGTTTTGTCCCTGATATACATTGTCTAATCTATGTTGAACAGTAATCCCATCTTCAAATATCTTTTCCAGGTGTCATCCGATATCCCTGTTCATCTCCACCATCTAATCATGGTGGATTGCATCCCATGTGTATCTAGATACATTTGTAGGTAGATAGATAGATAGATAGATCGATCGATCGATGGATGGATGGATAGATAGATAGACAATCATAATTATGTGATTATGATTTATGTACAACATACATAGACATATAATTCTATATTACATAATTCTATATTATATATATAATTATACATATATATACATATATACATATTATAATATATTATATATATCTCTCACTATATATCCCAATCCCAGCCATTTTCCACCTTGCATCCCAGGCACCACCAGCACATTGCTGTGTTGCGTGGCCCGTAGCGCGCCCAGCGCCGCCAGCACCGCCGCCTTCGAAGCTTCGTCGCTGGGCCGGTGGAGACAGGTCGCCAGCTGCTCGCTGTAGGGCAACGCCGCGGGACCGAACTGCGCCAGGGCTGTGGCCTCAACGGGGCACCGGAAGGAGACCACAAATGGAGAAGCGATGGAGGTATCAAGGCCCAAACTTGGGGATGTTTATCAAAGGAAGTTTAGGGGGAGAAACTTCCGTGTTACGGACTTTTAGAATGTCAGGGAAAGAGTTAGTCAAAGAAAGAGTTAGTCAAAGAAAGAGTTAGTCAGGGAAAGAGTTAGTCAAAGAAAGAGTTAGTCAAAGAAAGAGTTAGTCAAAGAAACAGTTAGTCAGGGAAAGAGTTAGTCAAAGAAAGAGTTAGTCAAAGAAAGAGTTAGTCAAGGAAAGAGTTAGTCAGGGAAAGAGTTAGTCAAAGAAAGAGTTAGTCAAAGAAAGAGTTAGTCAAAGAAACAGTTAGTCAGGGAAAGAGTTAGTCAAAGAAAGAGTTAGTCAAAGAAACAGTTAGTCAAAAAGAAGTCAAAGAGTTAGTCAAAGAAACAGTTAGTCAAAAGAAGTGAGAGTTAGTCAAAGAAACAGTTAGTCAAAGAAAGAGTTAGTCAAAGTTAGTCAAAAGAGTTAGTCAAAGAAAGAGTAAGTTAGTTAGTCAAAGAAACAAAGTTAGTCAAAGAAAGAGAAAGAATTAGTCAAAGAAACAATTAGTCAAAGAAAGAGTGAGTCAAAGAAAGAGTTAGTCAAAGAAAGAGTTAGTCAAAGAAAGAGTTAGTGAGGGAAAGAGTTAGTCAAAGAAAGAGTTAGTCAAAGAAAGAGTTAGTCAAAGAAAGAGTTAGTGAGGGAAAGAGTTGCCGATGGAGTTTCGAAGGAGTTGCCAATGGAGTTTTGGAGGAAGTCTCGCACGAAATGCGTTTTTGAGAGATAGCAGATGCACGAAAGCGTATGTTTTTCCATACAAAGTCCGTCCCCGAACCTCGATGATCTACCTCTGCGGTGCGACGGTTGCGAGACGGTCTCGTGTGTGGTCGGATCATGGGCGGATTGGTCTCGGATCGGTTCCGCATTGTAAATGGGGTTTCAACTGTTTTTCGTGCATGTGTGGTCGAAAGAATTCCATTGTGATTTGCAACTGCAGGATCGTTCCCGTAATGTAAATGGGATTGCAAGTGGTGCTGGTGGATGAGTTGCCGATGGAATTCCATTGTGATTTGCAACTCTAGGATCGTTCCCTCACTGTAAATGGGATTGCAAGTGGTGCTGGTGGATGAGTTGCCGATGGAGTTTTGCAGAAAGTCTCGCACGAAATGCGTTTTTGAGAGATAGCAGATGCAAGAAACCCTATGTTTTTCCATACAAAGTCCGTCCCCGAACGTCGATGATCTACCTCTGCGGTGCGACGGGTGCGAGACGGTCTCGTGTGTGGTCGGATCATTCTCGGATCATGGTCGGATCATTCTCGGATCGGTTCCGCATTGTAAATGGGGTTTCAAGTGTTTTTCGTGCATGTGCGGTCGACATAATTCCATTGTGATTTGCAACTGTAGGATCGTTCACGCAATGCAAATGGGATTGCAAGTGGTGCTGGTGGATGAGTTGCCGATGGAGTTTTGAAGGAAGTCTCGCACGAAATGCGTTTTTGAGAGATAGCAGATGCACGAAACCCAATGTTTTTCCATACAAAGTCCGTCCCCGAACCTCGATGATCTACCTCTGCGGTGCGACGGTTGCGAGACGGTCTCGTGTGTGGTCGGATCATGGGCGGATCATTCTCGGACCATGGTCGGATCGGTTCCGCATGGTAAATGGGGTTTCAAGTGTTTTTCGTGCATGTGCGGTCGACAGAATTCCATTGTGATTTGTAACTGTAGGATCGTTCCCGCAATGTAAATGGGATTGCAAGTGGTGCTGGTGGATGAGTTGCCGATGGAATTCCATTGTGATTTGCAACTCTAGGATCGTTCCCGCAGTGTAAATGGCTGCGTCAAGGTTGCTTCGTGCTGTGGCTGCATTCGTAATACTATTGTCTTTTGCAGCTGGACTTCGTAAATCGTATTGGAGTGGCTGCATGAAGGCTGCCACAGTGATTTGTCAGCAGATTTTCTTCATTTTGGCGCTAGTGAATTTCCTTCTAAAAATCATTTTAAAAAGTGCTTCAAAATCGTCTTTTTTTCGCTCTGGCGTCGAGATCCGGTTTTGGAGCTACAATTTCCGACGCCGTTGTGCGTAGTTCTATTGTGTTTTGCAACTCTGTCTCTGCAGATCGCATTGTAATGGCTGCGTCAAGGTTGCTTGGTGCCGCGGCTGCATGCGCAATACTATTGTCTTTTGCAACTGGACTTCGTAAATCGTATTGGAGTGGCTGCATGAAGGCTGCGACAGTGATTTGTCAGCAGATTTTCTCCATTTTGGCGCCAGTGATTTTCTTTTTAAAAATCCTTTTAAAAAGTGCTTCAAAATCGTCTTTTTTTCGCTCTGGCGTCGAGATACGGTTTTGGAGCTGCAATTTCCGACCCAGTTGCGCGTAGTTCTATTGTGTTTTGCAACTCAGTCTCTGCAGATCGCATTGTAATGGCTGCGTCAAGGTTGCTTCGTGCTGTGGCTGCATTCGTAATACTATTGTCTTTTGCAGCTGGATCTCGTAAATCGTATTGGAGTGGCTGCATGAAGGCTGCGACATTGATTTGTCAGCAGATTTTCTCCATTTTGGCGCTAGTGATTTTCCTTCTAAAAATCCTTTTAAAAAGTGCTTCAAAATCGTCTTTTTTTCGCTCAGGCGTCGAGATCCGGTTTTTGAGCTACAATTTCCGATGCCATTGCGCGTAGTTCTCTTGTGTTTTGCAACTCAGTCTCCGCAGATCGCATTGGAATGGCTGCGTCAAGGTTGCTTCTTGCTTTGGCTGCATGCGTAATGTCTTTTGCAGCTGGATCTCGTACATCGTCTTGGAGTGGCTGCATGAAGGTTACGAAATGGATTTGTTAGCAGATTTGCTCCATTTTGGCGCTAGTGTTTTTTTGTTGCACGTAGGTTTAGAGCAGTGTGAAGTGTGGGGCGTGAAGAGTGCAGTGTGAAGTGTGAAGGAAGCAGTGGGAAGTGAGAAGTGTGAAGTGTGGAGTGTGAAGTGTGAAGTGTGGAGTGTGAAGTTTAAGTTTGGAGTGCGAAGCGCGCAGTGTGAAGTGTGAAGTGTGAAGTGTGAGGTTTGGAGTGTGAAGGAAGCAGTGGGAAGTGAGAAGTGTGAAGTGTGGACTGTGAAGTGCGAAGTGTGAAGTGTGAAGTGCGGAGTGTGAAGTTTCAAGTTTGGAGTGCGAAGAGTGCAGTGTGAAGTGTGGAGTGTGAAGTTTGAAGTTTGGAGTGCGAAGAGTGCAGTGTGAAGTGTGGAGTGTGGAGTGTGAAGTTTGAAGTTTGGAGTGCGAAGAGTGCAGTGTGAAGTGTGGAGTGTGGAGTGTGAAGTGTGAAGACTTTGCTTCGTCTCTCGCTGAAAAAATCAAACGGTTGTCGAGGGAAGGACACGGTCGGGACAGGGTGTCTTTGAACTATAGGTCATTTATTTTCGGGAAACTTCCGCCGCCGGCTTGCCCGGGTCTATGTTAAAGATTGGGATCTTATGATATAAGCTTCCATGAAGAATGAACTGCAATATTGATGAAAACTGCTTTTGTTGATGATTTTAACCCAGAAACAATTGGATTTGACCAACAAAACATTGGAGGAAAATGGGGATTCAACATGATTCAACCATGAAATCATGGATTCCGGATATGTGTCCCACAACTAGTGGATAGTATGTGGATAGTAAACACAACCCAGTTATACATGGAAGATCCCCAGTTAGATTAGTGGTTTGTATAAGGCTTCTGACCCACTTACTAACTGGGATGCACCCAAGGGAAAGTTTCAGGGGGTGGCAGAAAATTAGACAAAACCCATGCTTGAGTACGCACTGCAAATTGTCCCTCGAAACAATTCTCGGATGATATGTAGTTGGACCACATATTTTGCAGAATAGTGCTTTAAGAGGAAACCAAAGGAGAGGGAAGAAACAATGCGAAAACTGGGGGAAAAAAAAACGAAGCTTGCAGAGCGTCACCAGTCAAAAAGTGGTGGATTAAGTTCAGAAAACATTGATTGAAGCAGGAATCATGGGGAAATTCAGCATCACTGGGGGAAGAAACCAAGATATGGATGGAACGTTCAAACATGTTGCATTCTTGGCGCCACGCCATTCAAGATTGGAGACTGGAGACCCACAGCAAACTTTCATCAGTTGGGAGATCACAACAAACATGACAAGATTGCCCTCTGGCAACTTACCCTCTGGTAAACATACAAAAAACTATGGGAAATCACCATGTTTAATGCGAATATCAACTATTTCTATGGCCATGTTCAATAGCTATGTTAAATTACCAGAGGGTAAATCATGAAGAATGGGGACACAACTTCTTTGGGCATCACACTCATTTCAAAAACGACAAGTGGCGCTAGTGTTGCCTTTAGATCATCCACTCGTGCCACTCGGTCCATGAAATGGCCACCAAATCTCGAGTTTTTCACCATTTCAGTAGATGGCAAGACATCTTCCATAAATTTCAACCAGTTTCCACCATGGCAAACCGCCTTGTTTCCACCGTTTCCACAGCAGTTTTCCATCATTTTCCAGGTGTCATTCCCGGCGCCGAGTCACAGCCGCCACACAAACCTCGCCACTGCGATTCAGTCCACTGGCCACGGCGCTCATGTGCTTGGCGCCTAGAGCGACACCAAAATCTGTTTTTCTTGCACCAAAAACATATTACCCTCTGGTAATGGCTGACATAGCTATTGAAAATGGCTATAGAAATAGTGGATTTACCCATTAAAAATGGTGATTTTCCATAGCTATGTTAAATTACCAGAGGGTAAACATATGGATACATATGGCTCATATGGTTCCAACAAGATGTGATTCCTGCTGGGTGTTTTATGATGTTTTATGGTTATATAAGTTATATTGTTGAATTCTTGCTGTGTGTTTCATGGAAACAAAGGTCATGGTTTGACTGATACTAGCTGGCTTCATTGATATGATGGTGATATACGGTGATCATATCAAAGTATGAATATGAATTTCATTGCATATCATTTCTATTGGATAATATAACCACAATAGTATAGTACATGTTTATATGTTCGGATCAGTCCATTTCATTGTGGCTATCAATCCCAATCAGTATGGCAATATCCAGTTATCATTTGGATCTTACTTACCGCCAATGACCCGGGCGCAAAAAATTAGATCGATCAAGTACATTCCACCAGGGTCTCTGTGCGCTAGTTGATATCAGAAGGATTACCCTCTGGTAAACTAACATAACTATGGAAAATCACTATTTTGAATAGGTAATCCACTATAAATAGCCATTTTCAATAGCTATGTTAAATTACCAGAGGGTAGATTTGAGATGAAGAGATGAATGATATTCCACTATTCATCCAAGGGAATGACGTGTTCAAAAAACATGGTTGGCTTGTAATACCCGATTTGATGTTTCATGGTCTTATTCCATTCTGGGTTGCTTACTATCCCCACATGTGCTAATCGATGTACAACCCATCATAGGAGTATGGGTCAGCCCCGCAGCGTACCATGGTTTTCACACAAAGATAGCTGGTAGTTTGGGATGTTAATCGTCAAAAAATTACCAAGATGCTCCCATGCAGCATGTCGAGTCATGGAGGTTCAAAATGTGCTCGTTGCCATAATCACAATCAACATAATCAACATAATCATAGTCATCATAGTCATCATAAACACAATCATAATATATCATAATCATCTTCCATGGCATTCCAATTTAGGCCCTTCCATGCAGGACTCTCCATGATTCCCCCATTGAAAATTCAACAGAGCCTGATATCAAACACATCAGTCATTATTATATAGATATCCCCAGGCGATAACTATATATAACTATATATAACTATATATAACTATATAATGACTTTATAACTAATAATGCTATCCCCATCATAATGATATCAAATAATGGGGATAGTCTATATATATATATACATATAACTATAGACTATCCCCATTTAAGTTGAGCAAATCCCATCTCGATTCTCCCAAGTTTGCTGGTGAATCCCAACTACAAACATTCCATTTTTGGCCTCTCCCGCCTTCCTTTCCAAAGTCCCCGAGCGCGCGGATGGCAGCTGCAGCCACCTCGTCGTTGTGATCCCTGGCCAAATTTGCCTTGGCGACTTGCGACTTGCGACTTGCCATCAGAAGTCGTCCCTTCGCGCTGGTTGAGAACGGGATGCCCAACTCATGGATTATGATCATTTCCCCAATCTCATGTACCCTCTGGTAAACTAACATAGCTATGGACAATCACCATGTTTCATGGGAAAATCCACTATAAATGACCATTTTCCATAGCTATGTTAGTTTACCAGAGGGTAATCATCAACCTACGGTAGTCTTGAACCCTGCTCAATTGTGATATAACAAGCAATGAAGGGATGGAATGTATGGAATGTGGCTATGGCTATGCCCAGTTCATGGTCCGTCACTGCTTCCCAAGTGAAACCCAATAGCTCAGGAATGGCTTGGGATTGGGAAAGAAATGGAAAGAATAAGAAGCAGTCCCAAGGCATTACCAGCAAACGAACATAGCTATGGAAAATCACCATTTTCCTAGAATTCATCTAAACATTCATAGCCTACTGGAGGGTAACCAACCATGAACCAGCCATTGTTCAGTTGGACCACTGAGATTTACGGCTTTCAAACGCCAGCATTCCAAGGCAACATCCTCAAAATGGTACAGACGAATCTTCACCTATCAGTTTTCCCCAGGTTATTCAGAGGGGTACCAACCTCACGGTATCAGAGGGTATCAGAGGGTATCCCGATTTTTGCTGGGAAGATGTGGTAACCTTAACTCATCCCCATCAAACCTCCAAACCCAGATACCACATTCGATGCAAGGCCGAAATCCGCCGCCGTCTTCTCACCTGCGGAAGGGGTTGATGTTTTCACGCTTCTCTTTTTAAGGGGAATTGGACGAATCATGTATGTATTCATGTGTCATATGTACTGTAGTTATTTTATTGGGAACCATCAAATGTGAATCAACCTACCATAATATCATATGTCACATGCCATCTGTTGTATCAAACCTACCATAAGATGAGGAAACGTGTATGAACAAACCCCCCATTTTTCGGGGTAGGATTCACCCCAAAGGACTTACCAAACAATAGCCCCAAAGTGTTTGTTCTGGTTAGCTTTTCTTCTGGTTGGGTTGCGGCCACAGTGTTTTTATGACGGGAATGCATAGAACTTAGGAACTGTCATAGGAACTATGAATAATCAATAGTTCCATGATTGATTCGTGAATGTTCCATTGATAGAACTTAGGGAAATAATGGTCAATAGCTCCATGATGTTTAATCAAACTATCTATAATTACATGCTGCAATTGTAAACTGACCACTTGGATGTGCAGGTGGTTCATAAATATATTTATATGGTCATTGTTAACACTCCTTCCATATATATATATATATATATATATCATAGATATAGTACATATGTATGTATATATACATATATATATATATCATAGATATAGTACATATGTATGTATGTATGTATGTATGTATGTATGTATGTATATATATATATACGGTCACCCCCCCACCAGGGCCTACCTTGAGCTTTTTTTCGTGGTATTTGCAGCAGAAAAAACATTTATTTTATTGTCCGTTCCTCAATTGCCACCTGGTTACTCCACATCCTAAGATTCCGAGGGTGAATTAGGGTTATGTTGTTCAAAAGATGCTTCACTTCTTTCATTAGGATGTAGTACTGCAACACAATCACATGGAAACACTAGAATAGTGTCTTCTGGGAAGACTTAAAAACAATATATTTCTAGTTGTAAATCAAATTTGCCACACAAAAGAAATGATAAATATGCTGCCTGGGAAGTACATGACTTGAACTTCTCCACTGCAATATTGCATTTTCTGTCGAAGCATTCTACTGGAGGTATGTTGCTTTCCAAGGTGTGTTTTCTTCTTGGATTTGGCTATATACATTTTGGAACCTATATCGACCATTGTCATGAAGTAATCCATTTTGCACATGAAAGTGTTTTTTTGTTTTTCTCTGGATCAGGTTTCCTCTTTGTGAACATCTCATCACAATATGACCAAATAGCCCTGCTAGATTTCCAAGGGATACAGGAAGAAAACTCAGAAATTCTCAAAAATCTCGCATCCCTTGAAGTATATTCTAGTTAATGGTGGAAGTACATACAATGTTGAATGCGTCTTGAGCGACACAGCGCAGCAGTTGATCAAAGAAAATGCAGCATGTTGAGCTGAGGGCAAAACTGCAAACAATGCAACTCTTCTTTCAGTTGCTCTCACTCCCCAAAGAGTATTATGTAGTTTGTTAAGTGTGTACCTTTGCTAAATTGCAAGCAAACAATGCTTTGAATAAATGAGATTTGTAAAAGTGTAGTCTTCATTGCAAATATGCAGCATCCCCTTCAACCAAAAAAAGGTGTTGTCATTCATAAGCTGGTGGTTGCCTTTGAGCTAGCACAGTTTTTTTCAAGAAATCTCCTTATGAAGGTTGGAATCCTTTTTTTGAAAACAAAACAGTCCCTACAAAGTGTATTGTGTTTTAAAGTGCGGCATTCCTGTTTTCTTTCTTTATCATGGTAACATTCCCTCCAACAAATGCTGTATTCTTCAAAGATTGAATACTTAACCTAAAGCTGCAACCTTGTTAAACAACAGAAACAATATTGTTTCAGAATATGCAGTGTAGTACTCCTCTCAAAGAAGCTCAGCCGTCCTTTATGTTCGAAGGTAACGCCATTTCTTTGAACATATGCAACACTCCTTGCAAAGAAACCCAGCTGCCCTCTATTTGGACAGGAACACTATTTATTTGAAGGGAAGGCTTCACTCACCACAAGGAGAATTGTACATTCCCAGAGGCCTCACACCTAAAAGGAAAATTGCACATCCCCAAGGAATACCTGCGCATGTTTAGCATACAATACTTTTTTGATTCTGGTGTGTGAAGGATACATTTGATAGACACATGATGCCTTAGAGGCCAGATGAATCAGATTTGGCTTGGATTAATCTGGATTAATTCTAGGGATCAAATCCTTGAACAAAACCGAAAAAAAACAAAAAAAAAAGTTTTGGGAGACCTACTTTGGGATGGGGGAAGGGGAGAAGGCTCTCCAATGCATTGGTTGTTTTTTGGTTTTTTGTTTTGCCCTTTTTTTGCAGATAGCAGATAGCAGATGGTTGACCTCGCAATGAAACAGTCAATGTCATAGGAAAAAAGCTAGGCCCTGGTGGGGGGGTGAGCATCTACAATGTGTATATATATATATATATATACATATATACATATATACATATATACATATACATATATATATATATACATATACATATAGAGAGAGAGAGATAGAGATGAATATACCACTTCTGTGTCCACCGCTGGTCCAGCACCTCGGCTCCCCAAATCGATGAGCCATTGGACTTGCTCTTCCACCCGCGCAGAACGTTCAGATCTCCTTGGGCGATGGCGGCTTACAGTCAGTACCAACGGCTGACCAACGGCTTCATATGAAACACACAAATACCGCGAGGGAAAAAAAAAGTACCCTCTGGTAAACTCACATAGCTATGGAAAATCACCATTTTTTTATGGGAAAATCCACTATAAATGGGCCATTTTCAATAGCTACGTTAAATTACCAGAGGGTATCTTGTTAGAAATTGATCAATGTATATGGAATTGTAGTTTGATATTTAACTAGTTTGGATACCAATTAATTTTTCAATGTAGAGGTAATTCAATCATTCTATGGATACGAAGCTTGATCTTGTTTTTGCGAATGTGTGGATGGAACCGGTTTGAAAGCCTGCAACTTGGGAGTAGAACTCACCAAAGGAAGGGAAACCACATTGGGATTGTGTGTGTGTGTGGGAATGACAACAAGCAATATGTGGTATTGTGTAATTCTGGTGGGTTAGTCTGCGAAATCCATCTGGGGTTGCACCAGTAGATGGTTGAGTATAGTGCTCCTTGCTGATGATACGAGGACTGGATGACACCTGAAGTAATGATTGGATATGAATGGGAATTCCAGGATCCTAAAATGGAGGTACTGCACCATATAAGGCCATATTTTAGGGGGATATCCCCTTACATAGGCCTTACATAGGCCTTATATATGGTAGGTACCTCCAATCAATCGGTTCCTGAAATGACCATTGAATGTCCAGCAATTCCACTACATATGATACACGATAACTCCTTACAGGGATGAAGTGGTCCGGGACCAGTTGCCTCAGCGTCCCACCTCACATCCCGACACAGAAGAAGTCTCTGAAGAGATTGCTCTTTCACAAATTTCGTGAGCTTGTCCATCCAGAAACGCTAAGCTGGACGCCCCTCGTCGCACACGAGGGGTTACAGTGGAAGCATCTCGTACTTGAACCAAGAAGCGGCGGGGAAAAAAAACGGCGGAAAATTCAGGTCTATAGTCTACAAACCCATACGTTGCTTAGCACTGAACAGTCCAATTTTCGCAAGAACCATAAATTGGACCCACCCCCAGATTTTGGAAAAAGAAACTAAACCCAAAACTATGCCCTTGGTGCAGTCAGTCTTTTGCACACATCATCCTGCACACAAAACTCTAGGCTGGGAACCATTTTTTTGCCTATCCTGAAACTGGAACCTTCTAGCCACTTTGTAATGTCAACATCGGATAACGAAACCCTGACTGATTGATTCATTGGGATATTCATTTCATCCCAAAAGAAAGACAAACTGTAGCAAAAAGGGAACCCCCATACAGAGTAAATTAAACTAACCAAGGGGCCCTCATTTAACGACCAATCGTAGATACTTTGCAAGTTTGAAAAAAATGGTTGACTGGGATTGATTTCTTTTTATGCATACATATGTGTATATATATATAGAGATACATATTCTCCATTGATAGCTGAAAACATTGACCATCACCTACCATTCACCACTTGGTTTACCCCCAATTTGCTGGATTAATCATTCAATCTCCCCAATGTTTGCTAATCATCTGCCAATTATATGGCAAAGGCTTAAAAGCCCAGCTTTTTGCAAGTCCGACAAAGGTACAAAAGATCTATGGTCACCATACCAAAAGCATCCAAACGACAAAATGTTCTTCCGATTCTTTCTTAGAATTCTCACACTGATATACTTACAGATACATATATATATATGATATGTTATTTACATATTATTTACATATTATGTACGTATTATTTACATATTATTTACATATTATTTACATATTATTTACATATTATTTACATATTATTTACATATGATTTACATATGATTTACATATGATTTACATATTATAACATGTTATGATTAAAATTAAAAATAAAAAAAAACAGTTGTTCGCTTCAATGGGTTGGTTGCAGGCCGGTCCCTCACCAGGCCAAGCTCCACAAGGCTTTCCAGGGCCTGCGTTTTGCGCCACTTTATCCACAAGTGTGGACGTGTGTATGTACATATATATATATATATGTATATGTGTACACTGCGTATAAATATAAATATAGATACATAGATATGTGGAGAGATGTGTGTATCTAAATATTTATAAACCACTTCACCAATGAATCTGGTGCATAAGAATTTGTTGCTTAGCAACCCAAACATCTCTCAACCTCCAAAACCTATATATCTATGTTTGCCCAGTCCCACAGAAACTCTGGTGGAATGGGCCATCTGGTGAGTCACAAACAACAATGGCTATGTGGCCTGCCAGAATATGGGCTTGAAACCAACAAAGATGGTGATCTGCCAGATATACTGTACATGATGGATTTGTATTGTGGAGTCCATTTAGAAGTAGTCGGGGCTGTCATTGAACCTGCTTGCTGTTAAAGATGCATAACATGGCGTAACACCTACAGCTTTGGGTTCGGAAGGTTCTTGGGATACTGGCTGACTGGGCGATCCTCCAGTCAAGCTTTGCCACCTGCAACTTGTGAATGGATCAGTTCAAATCTTCACAGTATGATTGGCATGAAATTGATGTGCTACCCTCTGATAATTTAACATAGCTATTGAAAATGGCCATTTATAGTGAGTTTTCCGATTAAAAATGGTGATTTTCCATAGTTATGTTAGTTTACCAGAGGGTAGTTACTAGTTTCATTCAGTCATTCTTATCCTTTTCCGATGAAGTTGCAAGTAATGATTAAACATCCATATAACAACCATGGGTTGGACTTCAGAAAGCCTCAGTGCCTTTCTGTCCCAAACACATTTATTGTCCTCTTATCGCATTTTCCTTTTGGGTGTGTTGGCGTGTTGATCCATGTTTTCATCCAACGTTCCTGCAGAAGGCTCATGGTCTTGTTCTCGTGGAGCAAAGGTTCTGGTAGGTCTTTCTATCTATCTATCTATCTATCTATCGATCTATCTATCTATCTATCTATCTATCTATATGCGTGTGTATCTACTGGTTCATACTACCAGTATAATGTATGTATATATATATATATACATACATACAAAGCGATCAGCAATCCATCCATATGTATTATGTGTATATATCCATATGTATTATGTGTATATATATATATACGTATATTATATGTATATGGTTCACCTCACCTTTGTCTTTTTCCCTATCATCTTCTCAGGCCTCAGGTTTGGTTTGAAGGGGCCCGGCTAGTTGAAAAGAAAGGGACAGCGGCGGCCATTTTTCTTGGTTCCTGAAATCCCCACTTTTCATGCGTAAGTCATGAAAATGGATGACCAAGTGGTGGTTAACATGCGCATAATTACCATTTCCTCGTAAGCATGCATCTGTTAAATTCAGGTAACAGCGTACCCAATTTTTTCCAGTGCTAGAAGCATTGACCCTGGAACAGTTCCCAAAATGTTTCAGGTGGTTGGTCAATGAGAACATTTACCAAATCTTACAGTTGTGAAAATCTTCTGTAAATTGCATTGCAACATATTGCACCCCAATAGAGCAACAGAAACCATCACCATTTTTTTTCGTAGACCCACCAAACTTTGGTGAAATCATCTTAGAAATCGAATCCCCCAGGGTTTTTTCATATGTTACCCTCCTCTAAACTGACGTTTTTCGATGTTGAAAATCCCTGGTGTCGATCAATTTCCAAAACGCCTCGAAGAGACGCTTCCTCGAAAGGGAGCCTGTGACCCCTGTGAGGCAGCCACCTCCGCACAGGATGGGACTATGATCTACCAAAATGGTGAAAGATTACATACATGTATGTACATATATATATATATACCTGATATATATATATATATTCTATATATATTCTATATGTGCGTGTATGTGTGTGTGTGTTATATATTACATATATATATATATATGATTAATTATATATATATATTACAGTATACATACGTATGTAAATGTACGTGTATGTATATATATATATACACGTTTCCATGTAAAAAATGGATTCGGAATGACAACAATGATAGAAAACCATGGTGTCTAGCCACAATCGTAGGGGTCCTGTGCACAAAAATCGGTCTGGTTTTAAATTTTGGGGTCACCACATTATAGGTATTGTACACATTTATAAATCAGCAATAAATTCGGACTTGATTGGGGGACGGTATAAATCAACAAGAAATTGGGATATATATCAGCAACAATTGGGCTTTCCACCATGCTCATATGGGTTTGTCTCAGCATGGCAATGGGGGATACCCTAGAATAGCCATTTGAATGGGGAAAATCATGGTAAATAATGGTTTTGTTGGGTGTATCATGCTTTTTTGTGGGACAAACACAGCGGCAGTTGGTCGAATCCCAATCTTCATTGCTCTTTCTGTTGGTCATATCCCCAAGGCCCTGCCATCCTCGTTTTTGCCATCGAAATGGCGATTGAAAACATCCCCAGGCGCTAGTTTAGTTTTATTGGGGTTACCACCAATGATGTCCTTTTGGTAAAAATAGAGGCGCCGGGAGCTGGTATACCATCTATAATCCATCTATCATCATAGAAATATACCTGTTGTTAAAGGGGTAAACCTTCAAACCCCTCTTTTTTCATCAACCGTATACCATCTATCATAGAAACCTGTTGTTAAAGGGGTTTCTTCAAACCCCTCTTTTTTCATCAACCAACCAATGGTACCACATCTCCAACGATGGCTACGCCGCTACCCGCCATCTTTCCGATGACACCTTTGAGTCCCTCCATGGTCGATGACATCTGTCGGAAACGCTGAAGCCAACGGCGGTACAGACGCATGGAGCCCAGAGTCACCTAGGAGAGGTTGTTTTTTGTTGTTTTTTCATGTTTTTCTTTCGGGAAAATCTGCACGATTTTTTTCGGAAACCATGCTTCAAAAAAGCAGGAGGAAACTCTGGTTTTTTCATGTGTGTTGAAACCAAAATGATGGTTGAAACCAACCAAAAACATCCGAAAATCACGCCGTTGTATATCTTTGGCCAGGTCTTGAATTAATCAAAATTCCTCGCGACATTCTTGGGATAGCTGTGATTGGCTTCAAAGTGCCAGCGTTCCTGGATCTAGGAAGTTTCTGCTGTTCTTTTCATGTTGGAAGATATGTACTGGTCACTGCTTCAGACCACAGTAACCAAGTTGTGTTCGGGTATCTTGATGGATAAGCATGCATATCAATGCATATCATGCATTTTCTGTGTGGCATTATCCGATTTTGACATGCGTGGGTCATGGACACAATCGGGTCAAAACACCAACACTGCGAATGGGCTGATTTGAGTGCAGTATGTTTGTAGACAAACAGGGTGATGGAACATCCATCATATGTAGATGATCCGCCAATTTTTCAGATGCTGTTGCTGTGTTGGATCATGGGAGGGGATACCCTCCTGCTTCTTTGTAAGCAATCTTGTGTCAAAGCTACTGGGCCAGAGGCCCAGATATGCAGCCTGCCTATGCCTTCTGTTTCTACCATGGTGCATGGTCCATACAGCAGTACAATACTTCAACGGGTGCTTTTGTTTGTTGTGACAGCGGCGAAATCGACCAGAAATCTGCAGGCATCTCCTAATGGGAAGGTTGATCCAGACGACTTCGAGAAGAATCTTCACAAGATTCGACTTGGAGATCGCTTTGGAAATCTACAATCATCACAGGATGGAATTGCCATCATAAACGATTCCTTTTTGACTCGTTTTGAGGTCTCTCTGTCAATGAAGGTGCCGCAAGTTGCATGTACATTTGGACTTGCATGTGCTTCGTGCGATTTCAAACACTTCAGGCTCAAACTGACCAAAGAAAGACTGACCGTCTGACCGCAAGTAAGCCATGAAAAATACCCTTCTATATATATTTTTTTTTTTTTTTCATCCCATTCACACTGGTTGGTTAGGTATTCTTATGTTGGGCTATTATAATCCCCAACAATATATATATATATATAATTAGGTGGAATCACCCCAATAATAACCAGTCAGCAAAGTTATGTTCAATGGCTCAATGGGTATTCCAACGGCTCAGGTAAAATGGCAGCCACTGTCTCCAAGCGTCTGTCACTCCCCAGTCGCTGTGCAGAAGTCGTGTCCACAACTCCTCGCGCTGAAGGCGTGATGCATTCCCTGCTGCAGGAAGAATGTCTTGATCAAAATTTAAGACCCGCGGGTAGCACAGATGGACTTGTCTTTTAGGAAAAAACATCACAAAACAATGCCTCTTTTGTAGACAATTTCCACCCATACCCAAATGCTTTTGGGATGGCTTGCAGTGATTTTGGGGGTGCCACTTGTTGAGAGCGCCCTGCCTCCGCGTCACTGAAGCCTTTGCGACAACAGCTGGCCAGGCGCAAGCTCTCGCAGTCCAGGAACCTCGGAGATTTAAAAAAAAACAGGCGGAAGCAACAGGAAGTTAGAGACATCCCAAAAAAGATGGGAAAGGTGTTAAAGAGTTTAGTGAATACCCATGGTAATAGTCCATGTGTATATTGGATAACCCTAGGAATGGGAGACTTACTAGGCTTATGAAGCAGTCACTCGTGCAAATCTGCGACATATCTGGTGAAGCCCCTGGAAAAAGTATCAATGGTGGCTGTTCCATGTCCTAAAGAGGGTGTAGTATCACATATTGTCTTGGAAAATTTTGGAAAAGGGGTGGAATGTCTTCATGGTCAGACATGGGAGTTGCAACCGGATCAACGCCCCCGCCATTTTGCTGATTCCCAGTGCCCAGGCGCCAGAAAACGCCATGCCAGACATCTGGAGGCAAAACGCTCTCTGCCTCGTTGCACAGATCCTCCCCGGGCCCTGGCACCGACGCTGAGAACTGAGTCAAAATGAAAGGCCTTCTTGACGACCAAAGAGTTTGAGAGTTTGGTCAAGATTGTTTCAACCCAATTTCATCCAATTTCTTGGTATCCAACCTGACCCAAAGCCATCCAATTTCCGAAATTTCTGCCCTTCACAGCTGCATCAGTTTCTTCAGTCAAGTGAGGTGTATGGATTGAGCAATCCGACGTTTTCTACTAATCAAGATGAGCATGACATGTGTAGGTCCCAAAAATTGTTTCCTAGAATTGGAAACCATTTGTTTGAATAAATTGCTACTGGCTGTATCATAAACCGTATGTTGTCTCCCTGTTTGGGTTTCTTCAGCCCACTCTCTTAGTGAATCCCCCAGACCTTCAGTTTCTCGGGTGGTGTGGACAACCCGGCGCTCCTCAAGTAGGAATGTCACTGGAGAACCCATGAAGCTATCATACATCCATATACGAATATACGATACATGAGAAGATCTATACAAAGGACATTCTTATATGCTAATATCATGTATATGTATTTAATGCTGTGTGTATGTATGTTGTGTCAAATACATGTGATAGAACATCATGTTGTATCATACACCATTACCTCAGGCATGTATTTATGTATATATATATATCATTTATATATAATATATATATATCATTTATATATATATATATATCATTTTTATATATATATATATACATATATCATTTATATATATCATTTATATATATATATATATCATTTATATATATATATACATATATCATTTATATATATATCATTTATATATATATATATCATGTATACATACATGTATGTGTATATTATATATATATATACATACATACATGTCTGTATCTATACATATATCCTGAAGCAGATAGAATATGGAATTGACAAACATATTCCCATTTTGAGGATTTCTCAATATGTTCATGTTGTATCTACTCCAACTGCTGCAACTTAGCGCTGCTGGGCGCCCCTGGATAAGCAAATTTGGCTTAGTTCACTAGGCTAACTGTTGGGTTTACGGCGACTAAACATCTACAACTGGGGGGCACCTTCCTGTGGATACCATACGAAAACCATTGAGTACCTACACAATTTTATCTACCCTCTGGTAAACGTTTACATAACTATGGAAAATCACCATGTTCAATGGATAAATCCACTATTTCTATGGCCATGTTCAATAGCTTTTTCTATGTTTACCAGAGGCTATGGCAAGCAATTCATCATCGGATCGGTGGACAGCTGCCGCAACGGCTGCGATATGTCCTGCTCACCAGCTTTCACCATCAAAGCACGAAGTCTTGCCTGAACTTCCTGCGGAATGGCTGGTGTTCCCAATGTTGGGGCGATGATAACTCATCTCTTCTATATTATATATATATACACATAAGTTTAAGTGATATATTATAGTTTATAACTTGTAACTGATATATGATGGATAAGTCGCGGGGCTATATTGATTAAATCATCATGAATTGTACTGACATTCCAATGGTTCTTCAACACTTTCACCTACGACTGTACTTACAAATAGGGGGCCAAAAGCCTCAGGGTAACTATTTCTACTTCTACAATTCCTACGACCAGATTTATATGTACATATCTGGTACGGGCCCTGGTAGCTATGTGTAAAGTTTCCAACAATCGTCGCCACGACTTGGTTTGGTCAACCTCCTGAGAGCTAGGGTGCTACTCGTCGAGATAGTCATATCTCCCCATCAAAATCCCACTAAATCCCGATTAAATGGTTGGTCTCCAGATACCAAGCCCATTTTGGATGTGACACACAGTTTCATGTAGGTTTCCTCAAGCGTACATCAATCTGCCTAGCCCCTGGAGCAACTACTCACAATCCCGATCCCCAGTTCCACAGCTCAAGTTGACTAATCCTCCAACTCTCGCAGGTTTTGCTCGAAATCAAAACGTTCAGCTTTGCACCTCCAGACACGCGTGGTGTTTTAGGGCACCAAGGTACTCGATCTACCACCAGTTCATTTCGGGATGTTTGGATCTTGGGATAGACCATTCAGAGTGCGAACAAGCTGTTGCTCCCGCACTTGAGAGAAAGGGTAGCTTTCATCTCCCATAATGGGACATCCTGGTTTTTGTAAGATTCCCATACCATGCCCCTCTTTCTATTCCAATTGCCTAGGGGTTGCTTAAACCAGAAGGAACCAGCCTGCCCGACTACCAGCCGCTGTATGTTGCAAGTCCAACTACGAGACTTTACCAATGCCAAAAAGAAAAACAATCCACTAGTTCATCATTCATCAGCCCTGGACTATACCCAATCTTCAGCCACCCATTTGATGTCGATTCTTCCATGCCTTGCCTCGTGAGCATGTCCGTAATCTCCGTTGCCATCGCCCGCGGGGGCAGCACTGCCGGCGCCGGCGTAGGCACTTCGTCCTGTCCGATTGATTTCTTCTAGGGTTTCAATAAGAGTGGTCCACCATGTGCTAATCTGGATCTGTAAAAGGCCATAGGTTTGGGACGCTTTGGGTAGCAATTCCAAGGGTTTTGACATGTGGATTCAATGGGTCCAAGGCTAAAGATGGAAACATCTGTCTGCACATTCCCAACACGGGCCCAACCATCCAAGTCATGGAGTCTAATCAACAAGCGATTAGAGTTTTACCATGGTGGAGCCGCAACTTGGCTTGAGAGTTACAAGATCTCAAACAAAAAAAAAGTACCCTCTGGTAAACTAACATAACTATGGAAAATCACCATTTTAATGGGAAAATCAACTATTTCTATGGCCATTTCCAATAGCTTTTTGTATATTTACCAGAGGGTATTCATTTCGGCAATTTGGATCATATCTCATCCAAAGCCGTGGCGCTACACAGCCCCAGTCCCAGTCGCGCTCCAGGCTCTCGATGGTGCTTGCGTCACTGGCCTGCGACGGATCTGACAGTTGATTCTCAGAATCTGTTGTAAACCTGGCAGGGGAAAGAAGGGGAAAGGATTTGGGTCCCAAATTCCCCAGGTTAACATTTGGAAGATCAAGTTCTTGTGACTTTTGTCCTGGCGTGACGAAAAAAAAACACACTAACTTTTTGGGGGGGCTTCGTTGGGGTATCGTTAGGCTATCCGTTGGCCTTCACCTGGCAAAACCTAAAACAAGGGGGGTGTCGTTTTAAGGACATCCCCTATTGGATTCCAAGCCACATGCAAAAAAAGTCTCCAGTGAACGCTCCATAATATACATATATATATATATATGTCACCTCATGCTTGAAACTTGTCCAAAGGAACTGATGCGGGTCTGTCCAAAGTTCGGGTATGCCGGGCCGCCCGACTGGAGTTGCCAGCGGGGCCACATGTGACTTGGGTGAAAGCTCCTCTTGGGCACCAGAAATGGGCACCAGAAATGGGCAGCGAAAGGGGAGATACCCCGGAAAATAGTGGTTAATAGTGGTTAATAGTGGCTAATAATGGTTACTAATGTCAAACTATGGGATTTTAAGAGCGCCCCCTCTTTTGGACATACCGACATACCCTGCGATTGATTCACTTGGTGCTGGTTGCACCCAAAATGCCAAACTTGAGTAACAATGATGGACAGTTGCATGCATAAGCAACCGAAGCGCTTATGACAGACTAGCAGAAGATTTCGATGCTTCGCAAGGTGCCGGATTGAATCCCTTATTTTTTTTTCGAGCAGACGATGAAAATCCTTAGGTTCAAGAATCCCAAGTCTTGAACATACCAAAGATGTGCAGAGGCAAAGTGGGATGCATGCTGGCAAAGGACGAAAGCGAAGGGGGGTACTTAGAAGAATGGTCATCCCACACTGGAATCCAAACATGTAGATAATCATATATATATATATTTATTTAGATAGATTAGATTACATTAGATTAGATTAGATCACATTAGACTAGATAGGATGAGATAAGATTAGATTAGATTAGATTTAGATTAGATTACATTAGATTAGATAAGATAAGATAGATGTAGATGGATAGATATATGTTATACATATAAATGCCCTGGATTTATGACCATCCCCAGAAGATAGCATCCCGCCTCGGGAACTTCATCCCTGGGAGAATCCAACAACACCGGCCTCAGGTGCCGGTGACACCATCACTTGGAGGTGTTAAAGATTCTCACTTGATGTCCTCTAGATGTAATGTGTGTACATTTATATATATATATATACATATATATATAGATATAGATATAGATATAATATATTACCATACATATGTCATCCATATGTCATCATATATCAATGTGTAAAGCGTCAAGGGTCCCGGGTCAAGCCTGGGAACTCTTGACCCTCAGAAAACACACCGAAGATCGATGGCGAGGGGCTGCGCGTTTTCTTTTCCGTTTGGGACTCCATCAGCACAGGTGAAACACCACGAAATCATCAGCTTTATGCTCCCACCATCCAGCCCCATTCTCCCTGAAATGTTTGCAGCAAAATTCATGAACTTTCAACCCAAATTAAACCTGGCATTGCATTACTATCAGTTTCATCATTGCTATCGTTAGTATCGTTTACTGTCATTATTTCATGATAATCATTATCAGCATCCTTCTCGGTATTGTTATCATTATGGTCGTTTTTGTTGCAATGTTTATCATTATCATTCATCATTGCCATTAGCATAACGAATACTCACATATCTATATAATGATTCAGAAATCGTAACTAAGTAAGTAATTCATGAATGATAGGAATGCCAAATTGTGGGTTCTATCAGCAAATATCTGGAGGTTTCCTAAGTCATAGGGGTACCCCCAGTCATCATCCATTTCAATACGATTTTCCATGAAATAAACCATCCAGCTAGTGGGGTACCCCCATTGATGGACACCCTCATATCTAGAAATATCCAGTATGGTAAAGTATCTATAGTGTGTATTTATATGTATTTATAGTTTATATATGTTTATATCTATACACATATATAATATCTATAGGATATATCATCATCCTGATTCCCAGCTCCCCATATGGACAGCCCAGGCACATAGGCAGCCGCCAGAAATCTACTGGCGCCCTGTCCACCCGGGGCGCCGGCAGCGTGTCCAGCGCAGCAGCGTCCACGGGCAGGCGCCAAAAGGCGAAGGCCATGACGTGGCAGAGGGGGTTGGGGTCCAGCCCCACTAAAGATGGATCCACACAACATACATAAGTATATATATATATAATGTATATATATATATCCATATGTGTATGTTTAAATATATATATATACATACACATACATATATATATACATACGCATATACATACATACATATATATATAAGACACATATTAGACTTCAACAACTCTAAGATTTCCAAGATTGGACAAAATGTTGAACAACTCAAAGTGGGGGGATTTGCGCAGTCTGCAAGTGAATTTGGTGAGTTGGAAAAGCCCAACTGGGAAGAAACCCACAATTCTGTCCGTCCATGAATTGCGAACCTATGATCCCGGACTTGATTCTGGGGAACCTCCAAGTCTAATGGCTTCGGTGCTGTGCCAACATGACATTTGCAAAGTCAGTGTCCAGTTTATGAAGACAAACATAGCATGTCCCTGGGTTGCCAGCGACTACGCTTCTCCTTGTTGGTGTGTCCCTACCCAATCTTGTCTGGTTTTGGGGGGTTCAACCCATCCCAAACATATGAGTCAAGTGCGTTCATCATCCAAAAAAATTGGGTTGAAACATGTTGAAACCAAAGAACATGCTCGAAATTCTAGCAAACCATCACTTCAAAGTTTACAGGACCGTAGCCACTCTCCTGTAACAGAAATCATGGGTCAGTATGCGTCCAGCCCTGCCACTTTGACTCTTGCGCCGGTCAGTGGACACACCGCTGTCACCGGGGAGTTTTCCTGCGGCAAGGGGATGGCTTGACTTAAACCCTTGGTGGCAGTCATTAGACGGAGTGAATGCACAAAGCTCATTGGGGGTTCCCCAAAATGAGAATGCCAATCCAAGACATTCCACCAGGCTGTTGTTTGGGTATGACCAACTGCGATGCAGTGGAAAACACATTTGTAAGCTGCTTTCTTGAGTATCCAACTAGCTACCCTCTGGTAAACTAACATAACTATGGAAAACCACAATTTTTAATGGGAAAATCCACTATAAATAGCCATTTTCAATAGCTATGTTAAATTACCAGAGGGTAATGCTCATGGATTCTCATCCCCCAAGCCCCCAAATTCATGGAAAAAACATAGGTCTTAACCCATCCCCATATCCCCCTGGCTTGGGTCTGGACCAAGCCAGATGGTCCTGTATGGAATGGGGACTTCCATACAGGTTTGTCCTAACGATTGGATAATGACCATTTCTATTCATTAATTTTAATCAATGCTTGGTTGGAGAGAACCCAATGGTTATTTCTATGTCTGTTTCTAAATGTTACTGGGGTTCTTACTGGATTTCAGCAGGATCAATTGGCCTAAAGCGTGTATTTAAAAAAAAAAAACTGCAATCAATATCCCAACGGTTCTTAAAGTTCAAAAAAAAAAGAAACTACTTCAATAATGGCCATCCCAGATAATTCCCTTACAATGGTTGTCCAAATTGGGATATTTCTCGGTTGCCTCCTGGCTACTACTCCTGGGGCAGTCGGAAGAAAGAGTTCACCAATACGTCTGGTGAAAATTGGGTCATGGAAGTATAATGAGAATAATGGGGATATATGGGGATATATGGGGTTTTCCATAGTCGTGTTGGTACCCCAAGCTCGCTGGATGGTTTATTCCATGGGAAAATCCCAATCCAAAATTGCAAAAATAGATGATGACTGGGGTAGCCCTATACCCTTAGGAAACCTCCATATCATGATATCTCTATAGTGGCTACAACTACTTCGAGGTGGTTTTTCGGAATTTTCGCCACCTCGAAAAAACTGAAAAAATCGTCACCGTGTGATCATCGGTTAGACATCTCAATCACTGAGTTTTTTTTGGAGTTCCAAATGAACAATTCAATTCTTGATATCAGACTTATGGATAGAAAATGATAGAAATGGAGTCCCAAATATCCTTAACTGCCCTCACCCGCCATTGCAGGGGGTACTAAGTGTATTCACAACAACTGATAAAGTGGTACTGGGAGAGAAGTACTGGAAATCGTGGAGAAATTGGTCTGATCATTTGCTTCACAAAGATTCTGAGTGCGTCAATAAAAATGAGCCTCAAGACTAGCCCTGGTCAGCTTGAGCACTTGGGGTTACCAGGCGCCTGAGGCAGAACTTCTCTTAACTTTCGGCTGGTGCATTCCGATGATCCATGCCACCTGGCTCATCTGTCAGCTGTGAAAATCGAACCATTCTGAACCATCCAAGATCATATGGGATAGGGATGATTTACCAACCAAAAAAATAAAAACTACATCTGTGGTTTCCAGGACCAACTTGGACCAACACAAAGATGAACTCATTCCCATATTTTGTTGCTTAAGAGCCCAATTTGGTCAAACCCAAACCCTGTTTCTGACGAAGCGTACAGATATTTCGCCAGTTATCCACTGAGATCATGAAAACCCGCTCAACGAAGCGAGTGGGATTCCCCGATCATCCTGAAGAATTTAATATTGGTTAGTAGAATTCACTAACCAACCAACCAAAAAAAATAATTCTCTATCAACTATATCATAGACAGTTCATCACTTGTATTCACTAATAAGTATCTTTATATCCCCATATGTTTGATGATTAAAACCTCAATTTTTTGTGACGAACCAATCATCAACGGTGATTTTTCCCGGATCACCTTCGACCATCCAGGTGCCCAACGATGGGGCCAGCACCTCGTTGAACGGAGATTCAGATGGGAAATCAGATGGGGCATTCCAGTTTCAAACCATGGATTCTAAGGTTTTCATCTCTATGTATATGTTTATGTGTCTATTATATACATATATATATATATAACAAAAATGGTACCCCCCCTGAAACCTACCTTTTTTACATATTCATCACATGGTTGGGTCAAATACCTTACATACAGGTCTATTTTGAGGAAATGTTGGCTATAGTTTCAAGAGGGGGTACAGTATATGTATATATAGTAGTGTACTAGGCAATTTAGGCTGATTTAACTTCACTTCAATGATAGCATTCTGGGAAGAATGCATGCAGAATGCATTCCCTGCTAAATCTACGATCTAAGATTCCCTCAGGCCTCCTGAACAAATCTTAGATTTCCTTACCAAAATCTAAGATCTAAGATCTAAGATTCCCTCCGGCCTCCTGAACAAATCTTAGATCTTAGATCTTAGATTGGGGGAAGAATGCATTCTGAAAGCATTCCTCTGGAAATGCATCCATCTTGGGTTTCCCTGAAGTACATGGGAATGATTTAACTACCATGAAACAGTTTCAACTTTGGGTCTTTTCCCCAAGCCTGGAAAAATCATTGAACACACTGTGAATTATGTGTAAGGATGACCAAAATAGCATTTTTCCCTTGAACAAAAAACTAACTGACAAGAACAGACTTTTTCAAAGTACTACTGCATCTATTCATGTGTTCTATGCCAAACCAATGTTGCATTTTCTTGAAGGAATGCCCCACCATGCTTAAGGAATGTATCACTCTTGTCAATGGAACATTGCAAAAAAAGTACTGTAATGCTACACTACAACTCTTTTCGAAATATATTGCTGTTTCCAGTGAATACTGCACAGACTAAGAGAGCTTTCTTATTGAAGTAATTCTGTGACCTTTCAAGTCACTTTTCTTCAGAAGGGGCACTGTCAATCTCACAGAGGTAGCATTTGTGAGTTTTTTGTTTAAGCAAAGATGCCTTGTATGTTGCCGGGACTTTTTGTGCAACGTGTTTCTTCCTTCCAAGAAATATTGTACCTAGTACGTTATGAAATGGGTCTGTGCTCATGTTTCGAATTAAGGAAATCTACATGCTGGGGAAAAAACGCTACCTTATCGAAATGAAGAGATATATTTTCAAGAGAAGTGGCTTTCTGCAAAGGAATGCTACCTATTGAAAAGGAATACTCTTTTCGCTTAAGGAATGCTACACCCTTTGAATGAAAGTGTCTGTGTGTAAAGCCTGCTCTTGTCACTTAGAATTGCTTCTTCAAGAGAATGATGCATATTTGATCGTCTCTTGTAGTCATTTACAGTGTTTTCACTGCCTTTTTCAGGTTTGGGGAAGAGACCCAAAGTTGTATGATTTTTTTCAGGTGGGTTGAATCACTACTCAATGGAAGCTTTGTAGAGAGGTGGAGGTCTTAGAAGGTACGTAAATTATACTTAAAACATAGTTTGGAAGGGGTAAGAACTAAGGTCCTAGGACCTCCTAAGACCCACACATCCAAAGTATTGAGCCACTGCAGTAGTGCAACAAGAGACAGAAGCTACATAGTAAGGAAAAAGAGGCCAAAGACATATCTACCATATTGATCATCAAATAATAGATCTGCAAGATCTGAAAGTGTACAAAATCCAAAATTCATGTGTCACAAGAAGGAACAAAAACATTGTAAAAACCAATGTGGAGCTTAAAATTGACATTTGGCCACAGCGCCGTGCGCATTCTGTCAATGTTTGAATTGAAACTCCTTGTTGGGAGCCCAATACGGTAGTCGAAAAGGCTGCAAATACCATCAAAATAGTTCAGAAAGTATCTACACATGAAGCATCATGACTCATCACACTCAAGCATCCAAATGGGTGTGTCTGAAAATAGTGTACCTCTTTTTACCCAATGGTTGATGATCATTATCCCTACTTTTTATGGCTATTTCATTGGGAATATACCCCATTTTCAGACATACCCATTAGGCAAATGATGGGTATTTGTCGATCACTTCTGGAGCCCCAAACATCCATAGGAATTCACAGCCAGTTGGAAAACCCCAAAAGAGAACCTTGCATGATCAACCGGAGAGCCACTTGTATGATATGAACCGGAAACTCTGTAGAAACTGTACTTCCTACTACTTCTATGTCAATTTCCGATCGAAACCGTTTCCGCAAGTGGAAATCCCCAACTCCGGGGGCCCATCTGCGAACGCGACCATCATCGTAGAGGTACGTTCCGTAGATCTCATGGACCTCGGTGAGATGAACCACCATATGTCAGACCAAAAGTTTTGAATTTGTTGAACGGTTTTGACCAATGTACCTTTAAATTATCTATAGATATGTATACATATATGTGTATATATGTATAATTATGTATGTATATATATATATATATGTATAATTATATATATATGTATAATTATATATATATCTAATTATATATATATCTAATTATATATATATATGTAGATGTGTGTGTGTGTTGTTGTTTATGTATATATATCTATACATACCCATATATCCAATGTTGTCATATATGAAAAAAAAACAAAAAAACAATCTAGGTTACTATAGACTCAACTGATCCAACCTTTTTCTGCCCAGTCTTCTAGGTTGGGACCGATCCACTGGAAGACCAAATCTCCAGATTGCTATCAAACCCCCATCAACAGCCCTGAAAAACACGTGCCAAAGCCCAAGCAACAGAAAAAAGACCCTGCCAAACATCCGAACATGTGGGGGTTTTGGTAGACGGATGCAGCAGAGCGACCTCAGTCACATTGCCTGAAGCCGATGCAGCACCTCAGTTGGGCAGGTTTGGCACCGACCTTGGTTACCAGGGATTTTGTCAGGGATTTTGCCAGGGATTTGATGTTTTGATCCGTTCATGCGCATCTTTGGGACAGAGAAACATCTCCAAATTCTGCAACGGGCTGTCCAAGGGATGCCCCACATCGGTATTGCTTCAAAAAGGTTCAAAACTCAAAAAGTATGACTTGAAAAAAATGGGGCCAAATCTTTCCGAAACAAACAACTCAACACAGATTTCCGAAGGAAAATTCTGGTGGTTTTGTTGGCCTTTTTGCCCAATCCCCCCGGGTCCATTCTGAACCAAAAATCGTAGCGCCGCCAACATCTCCTGGATGCAGCAGAGAATACCCCTGGGCTCATTGGTCACTGGGCTTCCAGGGTTTCTGCATGTGCAAAAAAAAATAATCAGAAGTCATCAGTAATTAAGAGCAATTAGATCATATTAGATGTATATATATATATGTGTGTATGTATATATATATGCGTATATATATATAAATGTGTATATATATATGTGTGTATATATATATATGTTTATACATATATATATATACATATATGTATAATATATATATATGTATATATATATATACATACATCATATAACTGGCGTCCAACCATGGCTTCGAAAATTCCCCACTGACTCAATATTCTCAATCTGATGCCCGTTTTTGCGCCTGACCAAAGGAGTCTTCAATGAAACCGCCACCTGCAGAATCTCACTGAGAAAGGGATGTCCAAAACATTTGGGGAACCTCAGAATTCACCATGGTCACAGTAAGAGGCCCATCATCATGGTTGGAATATCCGCAACTTGACAGTTGTAATAGGCGTCAAAGGCCCTGCGAAGTACCATGTCAATTCCCAAAAAGGCCCTATACTATAGTTCAAGCGTTCTCCATGTTCTTCTCTACATCCTGAGCCCTCCAACTCCATTGACGCCCTTTCCGAAAGACCTCGCAGCCCAACGCAGTGGTGATTTTCACCGTTATGACCAATCATCCCCAATCCAGTCAAGTGTCTCACAGTAAATCATGACAGCCACTGGTCAGCGACTCGGCTCCCGAGCCAAGTTTTTGTAGTGTTCCACGGAACAGATGTGCGCCGAGTCGTACCTGCGCCATCGGTTCAAGTGATCCCCTTTGGCCAAACCTCATCGTCTCGCATCGCTCAAGGGGCACCACAAAAAGAGGCCGCAGAATCACAGGGCCCAAAGACACCTCAGGAGTCACAAGTGATGTCCTCTGGGGCCAACTCTCCAAAATCAAGAATCTGCTCGAAATCGCGCTGGTTTCAGATTTCTGGTCTTTTTCATTGCACAGTTGACATCTTAGAAAATGCCAAATATGCGAAAACATCACAACTTGACACTCTTGACATGTTTTCAGCTACAAGTGGACCTCAATCAGAGGCGAACCTCCATGACGGATTGAAGATCTTGGCCCACCTGCCATTGACTTGCCTGGCGGTGGCATGCGGTCAGGGACATAGTGACACCACCCCAGCCCCTAAAATCACTCTTCGCGTTGAAAATATATTGCGTTGCGATCTGCTTGGAAAATGGCTGACATTGGCTGACTTGGACAACCTTTTTTGTTTCGATCAAAAAGTTGCACCACTAAACTACCAAGAGGTCGTCTGACATCCTCTAAAAAAACACCACCCAGGCAACCAAATGCACAAGTCACAAAAAAGAACAATCCTTTCCCACAGAAACGATCAGAATGGAACCTGTCACCCTCCCCCAGAAAACACCCTTGGAGCTGCTTGGACCGCACAGTGACTGGCGTGAAATGGCAATTGAAAGAGACTTCAAAAATCATAAACCATTTAAAATTTAGATTGACCTGATTGACCTTCAAAATGCCCTCTAAAAAATCATGTTTTGTTTTTTTCCTCCCCCAAAAAAACGGGGAGGCCAAGTTCGAGGCGAAGTAAAAACCCATGGTTTCTCGGGGATTTGACCACAAAACCTGCCGGGATGGCAAAGTACTCCTGCCCCGTGCGGGCCAAGCTCGCCTCAGCAACAAGGGCACTACAATCAGTTCCAGGATGTCCAGGATGATCCAGGATGATCCAGGATGTCCAGTTCCACAGCCCAGTCGTCGGCACCTTCGTTGGAAGCCCCACATACTTCAGGCTTGGCTGTGCTTGCATGGCCTGGCGGCATGGATGGTGGCCCTGCTGGGCTACTACTCTCAAGGTGAATGCCGGAGATCATGAGGGTATACTGGGATATACTAAATTATGTGTGTATATATATGTGTGTGTGTGTTATACAATTACCAATTGTGTATTATATATATATACACACATGAAGAATTGTATTATGTTCTGTGAGTTTCACTCTACATATACCCTAATGATCTATATTTCAGCGAGCCGGAGGCCTTCCCGAGTTCCCAACTCCAGGCCAGCCACCTCTAAAAGCTTCTTCAAATCAAAGGGCCGCAGGCAAGGCCGATCGTGCTGAAGTACCAAGACATAAGGCCTGGTCACCTGCAGGAGGCTGTCGGAGTTGTGGATTTGTTTGTTGCGGGTCGGGGAGTGAAACATCAAAGATCTTTAAAACATCTTCGAAATTCCATTGGGAAGTCGCTTCCAAGTCCTCTGCTTTGAAGGTGCGGTCTGTCCAACCAATCCCCATAGGGATATCATGGGGATATGATATACCCTCTAATAATTTCACATCGCGACAATTGCCATAAAAATCGTTTATTTACCTCTTCAACATATTGAAAATGGTCATTTTCCATAGTTTTTTGTATGTTTTCCCTGACCTTGCGCAGGGCGATGTGCAGACAGCCCGCAAAGCCCTTGTGCTCGGGCGCGCGCAGGTGCTGCAGCGCAGCAAACGGACGTGGCCACGGCTCATCGAGTCGGCACCTCTGGGCTTCGGATGGGTTCGGCATGGATTGGTTCAAGGGATGTTGGTCACCGGAAACCCATGGGTTTTTACCCTCTGGTAAACTAACATAGCTATGGAAAATGGCCCATTTATAGATGGTTTACCTATTAAAAATGGTGATTTTCCATAGTTATGTAAACGTTTACGAGAGGGTAGCATCAAATTTCATGGGTTTTCTTGTAACAAAATCCCATCATCCAATTTTTTTTGATAGGATTCAACCTCTTAGAGGATTGAAATCATATGGATTCTCCTTTGGATTGATGGAGTGGCGTCAGCTCTCTGCAATGCATCCATGTCCCTACTATAATCATATATAAGATATAGTACATATAATATGTAAAGTATGTATATAAATATATACAAATATATGTATATATATATATTATCTAGATCTAGATATTCTCTAACTCTATCCAATCAAGCAGCCATTCTTCAACCCCTCCCCAAGACCGCCTGTATTCCTGGTAGGGCTGCACCATCTCCACGGCAATCCGCCCGGCCTTGGCTTTGGCCTTCTGATCCTTTTCACAGACCCGGAAGCCATCGGAGACGATGAAGCTCTCCACGAGCTCCAAACCTGTTCTGGAAGATGCCAACGGTGTTCCGAAAATCGTCTTTGGAAACACACACATCAGTTTTAGAATCAGTTTTTTCTATTTAGTTTTCAGTTTTCTATTTAGAAATATGACATTTAGAATCAATTCTTGTTATATTGAAGCCCGCATGAACGATACTCTGGAGGTTTGTACCTGTGAATAAAGGGATGTGAAGGGCAATAGAAGCATCAAGAGTAGTAGTTGCCTTCTGGACACTTTTCTTCAAGTGCCTGGCTAACCATCGATATGGTTATACAACTCCCCAATCCATATAATATACATTTAAAAAATCAACCAAAAAAAAAAGGTTCATAGTGGTATTGATTGTTATGAATTGGTTACCACGATTTCCTAGGAATTATATACACAAATATATATATATATATATTATATTATATACATGCATACACATGCACACATTTCAATATACATCTATCATATACATTATAGTATATCACCTATGTATATGTGTATTACACTATATGTATACATATATATATATATATATCATTATGTAAAAGTTATTATATAGATATTCTCCCGTACGTATATATATATATTGTATATTGTGTATTAAATATTGCATATCATACATTATATTATATATTATATATATATATATTATATATATATGTTATATCTTATACAGTATATATGTCATTTTATAAATTTATTGAATATTATTTGTTAAATATTATTCATCATATTTTTGATATTATATATTGTATATTGTTTATTGTACCTGGTATTTATTAAATATGATTTAATATATTATATGTTATGTATTGTGTTATATATTATATATTATATGTTATATATTATATGGTGTATATTATATATTGTATCTTGTATTTTTCAATAATATATATATATATATTGTATTATAAATGATATGTTATATCTTCTATATTATAGATTATATCTTCTATATTATAGATTATACATCATATCCTATATATTATATATGATATGCCGTATATGATATATTTAAAAAAAAAAAATGTTTTATTTTATGTTTTATATTCTATACCTACACATATATATATATATACATTTCCCAAGCAACTCCCCGTTACCCAAAATCCTCACCGTCTCCAGCCTGGTACGGAGGCCGCCATGGACTGCAGCACGTGTTCCACCATTTCCGTCGACGGGTTGGAAGGCACTGGGGACGTCACCAGGATGATGCTCAGCAGCTCCTGCACCGGAAAGATGGCAAGAATAGCTGGTTATAAAGTAGGATTGATCAATTTGTTTGAAGAGATGGTTTTATGATGTTTTATGTAACTTATGTATACTTATATAAGAATATATACATTTACAGTAATCATGAATAGATATACTAGGAAGGGCAAATTGAAGTGTCGGTGCATTGGAACGCTATGTTTGACCCCATACCCAAGATAGCCCTTGAATCTGAGAACTCACCTCGGAAATTGCACCTCAGGAAGCCCAAGACAGAAAACTAAAAAACCATTCGCTGCTGTTAGTGAACCATCACTATCACCAATCCAAATCCCAGTAAAACGTTGGATCTATTCATCTTGGGAAAGGGTTGCTCCCACCCCAAATACAAGGGGCCGAGAATTGCCAGATAAAGAGATAAAATTACCCAAGTTCCCAAAATATATATATATATAAATATATATGTATATATAATATAATATATATATATAATTGACCTACATGGGTTGGAGCACCCCAAGTTCCCATGGAGTAGCAGCCGTTAAAATCACAACTCAACCAGCTATCCACCAGGAATCCGCCCCACCGGAGATCCTCTACGCCGCTGGGATCCATGGGATCCATGGGATCCAGATCCAGCCAGTTTCAATGTATTGGTTTTCACGGGAAAATTGAAACCGGAAAGCCCCAGATTATTGAAGGGAAATTCGGAATGGTTTTCCGGTGAAGATGTTCCCAACAAAACCAATCCATTGACAATATCTTCATCCTTGGAGGTTATTTGTTAAATAGCCATTGAAAATCACCATAGAAATAGTGGATTTACCCAGAAAATGCTGATTTTCCATAGTTATATATGGTTCTACCATCTGGTTATGACTAACAGTTCGCCATGGTATAGATGGCCCATAGAAATAGATGGTTTACCTCTATTAATAGCATGGTGATTTTCCGTGGCAAACTGTTAAATAACCAGATGGTAGATCACTCCAAATTTAAAAAAATGGTTTGTCTTGGTATCAGTAACTGAGTACCTGCGGTGATGCTTTTTGCTGAGGATTGTGAATATTTTCGAGGATTTTCTTGTTTCTTGTATACTTTGCTTCTGGCTTCGTGTGTGGTGGTCATCAGCTGCTGTAGCTGCTGCGGCGTGAAGTGAAAACGGTGCAATTCCTCGAAAGAGGTAGTGTTGGCTGTGCGAACAAGATATGATAATGGACGAGGAATCTCAAGATATTCCACTTTTCCAGATGAAAGAAGAAATCTTGTGGGATTAAGAAGTTCACGCCACAGCACATCCTTAAATCAGGAGACATCGAAGCAACTATTTGCACATGTGCTTGCTCTTGAACAACAGGAACTTGCTACCCACCACGAAGGAAATGTCGGCTGAACCAACTCATAACATCTACAACTGCGAGGCATGGAGCCTGAAGCTATCAGGCCTTAGCATTTTTTCTGACCCCATAACTGTAGCCCGTTCGCCACCTTTTCGACTTGCAAGTGGCGCAAATTTTCTGTCGCCGCTGGGAGGCAAAGGTGTTCACCGCGGGTCCTGCGGAATCTGACGAATGACTCAGCCACTTCCCATCCAGAAGCTTTGCTCACAATACGCCACTTACCAACAATCTCCAACAATGGCATCCCAAATGATCACATCACCAAAGTCACATGTCACCTTGGCCACATGCCACACTCCAACATGACCTTAAAACGAACAACGATGCTCCCGTGGGACCTGCAGGGGACGAGAACTGCAAGGTGCGAATCGAACAACGATGGCTCTTGCGGAAACTCAGCTGGTCGGGACGGTCGCTAGGGCAAAGAATCGCTGAATCACAAGTGAGGGATACAGTAGCAACATGTAGCAACTGGGCAGTGGACGGATTTTGCAGGGCAAAGATGTTTTGATTTTGGGCGACCATCGGAGATCCGAACTTGGCAGTCACCAGAGTCCGCTTCAAACCTGGCTTTTTGAAGCGTCCTTTGAAGAATCGAACCGGCTAGGGGTCTGGGCTCATAATGCCACCCAAATTTGGTGGCTGAAGACTGGAGGGAGATTCGGTGGCCACATTCACCCGCCAAAAAATGCTTGGCGGTGCCTGGTGCAGCCAACTTCTTGCAGCTGGTGAGGACAGAAAAGTGAGGGTCTACGCTCCTGGCTCGGGAGCCAGACTCAGGTGGCTGTCAGGCGCACGGCTTTTCTACACGACCCTTTGCTTTGAGTTCTCTGTGGCTATCAGCGGCTATCAGGTGATCTGGGAAGGAAATCAGTCCATGACTCTAAATTTGGGCTCTTCAAACACAAACGCACAAGCCATGAAAGCAGGAATTGTGCCCTGCAGTGCAGGCGACATTTAGATTTATCTAGTGGTTGTTTGATGGCACTGGCCGTCCTAGATCCGCACTTTGCTGTCCCTGCCAGCTGCTAGAAGCTAGCGGTGCAGCAAAGTTTGGAAGACTGCATCATCCAAGGTCAACAGCAGAAAGTCCTGCAAGGCCATGCACATTTCACCAGGAACTGCAACTCTTTGTGACGTGAAGAGAGAATCCCACATGCAACACATTGCATACTTTTCCAAGAACTGGAGACACCCACTCAGTTCCACCATATTCCAGTGTTGTTCACACCCCAGTGTCAGACATGATGGGATGTCTGTCAAGCCAACCTTGGATCTACATGGATCTACAATGGTAAGTTTGGACATGTTTGAACTTTTGGCCATTTTATTTTTTGGATCGCTGAAATGCTACTTTCAAAAAATATCATTCTTGCGGTGCGCTGGTAATGCTCAACCTGAGGCACTGCCGGCCATTGATTTGCCTCGCCAAACCCATCAATTAGGCCTGCAAACTTGATCCCTTCAATGAACTGGGGGTTGCATTCGCTTTTCCGTTTCTTCAATTCGTTGGAGGATGGGGTACGACATTGTTTTCTAGGGAAAAATCACATCCTTTTGTGGGCCAGGTGCTAAAGATGTCCAATTTCCGGGTTCATCTCCACTTCAAGGGGCAGTACAGCGCCCACTACAGAATTGCCTTGCCTCTCATGGATTGTGTCATGAACAACATTGACGATGCCTCAGGAATGAACTTCTTTGCTGCAGCTGGCAGCAAGGACGCAAAAGTTCGAATCTATCACTCGCTCAGCAGACTCAGGTGGCTACTGGTTTTCCAACAAGTCTTTGTAGCTGTCAGGTAATATGGTAAACAGCTTGCGAATCAGTCCGTGACTCCACCTAGGCCTCTTCACACACAAATAATAAGTTCCAACACAAGAAAACCAGGGACGGAGAATGCGACCAAAGTATTTGTAGCTGCCGAAAGCAAATGATGCAGAATTATGCAGAATGCAACATTTGGCCTATTGATTTGAAGTCTTTAAAGTTTAAAGTTTAAAAAAAAAAAACAGTATTGCATGCGTCACACTCCGCACTGCGAGACAGTCCTAGATCCGAACTTTCTGCCCACGGCCAGCTGCTAGAAGCTTGCTGTCAAGCTAAATGTAGGCGTCCGCAGCATCATCGGATGCCTACAGCAGCTGAAACTTCTGCCAGCTCACGCAAGAAATATTCCAAGAACCAAGGTCAGCAGAAACTGGCAGGAACCGCAAACTCAAAGAGAATTCCCCACTGGATGTTGAGACACAGCTGTCGAATCCACTTGGCCATTATACCCCAGTGTCAGGCATGATTGGATGTCCATCAACCCAGCCTTGCACCTCTGGTTTAAGTTGGAACATGTGTTGATTCATCTTTGGGTTGTAAAATTGCTACTAGACAACTCTTTTAACTACCAACAGTTCTTCCTGGTGAACTGCTGACAACTGGCAGGCTTGTTCCTCCAGCACAGTTGGAAGCTCTGACCACTTGCCCTTAATTTGTCTCCCACGGCCAGCGCAAGGTCTTAGAAGTTGCCCCTCCAAAGCCCCCCAAGAAAAGCAAAAATTGGTAGGCCAATGGACCGCCAAATCTTTGGCCAAATGATTCCCACTATATGGATAGTTCACCACCTTGAAGTATGTCATCTCCGGAAGAGCAATGAAACCGCAGTGAGTGAAATACGATGTTTCCACCCCTTTCGAAGGGACTAGAGAAAGAACTTGCACTGCAAGGGAATGACAATGTCCCTTGCAGGCGAAGTAGATTGTTCCCAGCAAACTCAGATCAATCAACCGCACGCAAACAATCTTGACATGGTAGGGTTGGATATCATTGACTTTTTGCTGATTTTACGCTAGAGATGTTCAATTTCTGGGTTTCATCTCCACCTCAAGGGGCAGTACAGTACATTGCCATGGCCTCCACATGTGGTAATCATCCCCAGAACTGCAGGATTTCGTGAACCAAACCCTCAACCCAGCCTCTGAGATCAACTTCTCTCCTGGTGCAGCCAACTTCTTGCAGTTGGCGATGAGGACAGAAAAGTTCGAATCTATCACTCCTGGCTCGGGAGCCAGACTCAGGTGGCTCAGTTCGGACACAATAAAACCATGGAGAATGCGGCCAAAGTATTTGCAGCTGCCTAAAGTAAATTATGCAAAATTATGCAAAATTATGCAGAATCCATCAGAATGCATCATTTGGCATTTGTTTTGCAGTCATAAAAATAGCGCATGCTTCACACTTTGCCCACTTTGTAGAAGTCCACATCCAAGGTCCAGCAGAAACTCTATGATCCAAGGATTTGGGAACTGAGAATCCCAATATGTTAGACACAGAGGAAACAAAAAACTGTTGGCATCGGCTGATCTGTCCGATCTGTCCTGATTCCGACTTTCTTAGAATGCCTTTGTTTCACTGAAATGTATCATTTCAGGAGTTCCCGGGTTTCTCTGCTGAAAAAAAAACGCTCAGCTCAATCACACCTCTGAAATGATCTTCTCTGTCTCCTGGTGCAGAGAGCTTCTAGCAGCTGGCAATGGCAAGGACTCGAAGGTCCGTATCTACGACTCCTGGAGCCAGGCTCAGCATACAGCTGGATCACAGAAACACAGAGGGTCTCCCCAAGGAGATCAGTTCCGAAACGGCAAAAAAGCTATGATTCGGGGCATTTGTGGCCGAGCCACGCAGGAGTCGTAGATCCGAACCTTGGAGTCACTGCCAGCTGCTACTGGCCAGTGAAGCACAGACTGCTGGCTCTCCTGGCGCAAGTTGAGTGAGGTCCACTCAGAACTGTCAAGATGGTTTGGTCTCAAAATATTTGGGAAACTCGAAAATTTCCGGGTTCATCATCATTTCCTTGGCTAAAACTGCCACTTTATTTTTAGACACTCTCGGATCATCAAATTAGAAGCCCCAGAGATGGCCAGGATCGGGCAAATTGGACAGCCACAAGATGTTTTTGGGCCATCAACTGGAGACTCCTCCAGTTTCACACTGCGGCGTCGAAATCGCTAAGCGGCTGAGCAGTTTCCGATAGTGTGTCAGCCGAATCTTGAAGCTGCTACTGTGTATGAGCCCAGAACTAAGCATGATAGCCAACGTCGGGGTCAAGTGATTCAATCTCAGTTCAGAAGATGCCTGCGACACTTTGGTGATGGTTTATCTGGAGCAGATGGCACTGAGGAATCAGGAATGCAAGCTTTGGTACAGATTTCGTAGTTGAGAATGGGAGCACTGAATTTCTCGAATAAAGAGCAACCATGATCCCCCTTGCGTCCCAAATGGTAGGACAAGGTTTAGAACTTTGGAGGTCTGCAACTTCGACTGCAGAGGTCTGACTCCACAATCCCTAGCCATTTGTTAAACTCAGGGAACATCCAGGCGACTATTCACCCAGCCGGATTCTTCCAAAAGTAACCTCCGAAAGTATGGGTACGGTCAACGTCGAATCATTTTCCGTGAGTCTAGTTGCCACCATGTTTAAAGTGGTAAACCCAATAGTAAACCATCCCCAACAGATGGCTTTATTGAATATTGGGTTTACCACATCAATCGTTGTGCTTGTCTGTTTCATCGCACGTAAGGCAAGGCGAAGGCATCGTGAGCGTGCAGCCTCGGTGATTTCGGCCATTTTGGGGTCGCAAAGAAGAAGAGTTTTCGCAGCGGAAACAATGAGATACATCCGCGGCCTATAAACTTTAACTATAAACATATATATATATACATATATATATTAATAGTGTTAAGTATCATTCCAAAGCATGGCTGCAGTGACTTCCCAAGACGACTTGCCGGGACGACGGGTCGTTTTTTCACCGCAAATGCTGCCCAGGAACGCTCGAGGCATCTTAAACCAAGGGACACCTGAGTCGATCATCAATTGGAAGTGAGCGATGGCCAGATCAACTCCCAATCAACTGCAATGCTGCATACATGTGTGCGTGTGTGCATATATATATATATAGCCCCTTTAAATAATGTATGTATAGTGTTATACATATATATATATATAGAGAGAGAGAGAGGGAGTGTGTGTGTGTATATATATATATATGTAGTGCGTATATACGTGTATATATATATATAAGTATGTAAGCATCTGTATATGTATACATACATGGAGATCTATTGTATATACATATGTGTACAGTATATATATTTACATAGCAAAGAAGTTTGCAGCAAAGTTGGTATCAGGTAGTAACTGGTAGTACCTGGTAAGAGCTCCCTTCGAGAATCCATGCTGACAACGGGTTCAAGCGGTTGCAGGTTCTATGGTTCCATCCGGGTTTCGACTGGTTTGCATCCGTGATGCACCAGTCACCCAGAGATTGAAACCCACTGCTGTTGGGAATCTAAACATGTCCATGTACACTCTATGTGCATTGTTACACATAGCTATAGTTTCACACGCATGTGAATGCACTAAGTCACTCCCCTAGGACACTCGATGCCAAGAATGGTTGCCACATCTCAACCGTCCCAGCCCGTCACCGGAGATGTATCCCATTTCTGGTCCAGCTGCTCCTCCACTCCTGGCCGTCGCTGTCCAAACGCTCCGCAGTATCCTGGAATTGCCCCGTCGACTCACAGACGCCTGGGAAGCGGATCCCCTTTAAAAGGGGACCTCCATGGACCAAAGTGAAATTGACATAAATCGATTGTGATTGTGATATACCATCGTAAATGTTGTGTGTGGGTGTGTGTGTTTGTACATACATATTATATATACATATATATATATATGTATATATATATATATGTATGGAATAAGATATGTGTATTATATACATGTAATACAATCACACCAAATGTCCATCAAATTTGACATGTAAGATGACCCATGGGTCCATCATCAAAAAAAACAGAGGATAGAGTCAACAAAAATGAGAATATGTACCAAACATCTGGATAATTGGGGTATGGGTGTCAAGACGTCAAAACCTTATACTGTGGGTTTTCACACCAAACTAGCTAGTTCCGCTGGATGCAAACGGACGAAAAAAAAACATCCTCTGAGGTTTTGACCCATAGCCCGGTACGGAGCAAATCAGCAAAGACGTGAGAGTATCAATATTCATTATATTCACTCAATGATAGTAATATTCATTATATATTCAGTATTACCCTCTGGTAAACTAACATAGCTCTGGAAAATCACCATGTTTAATAGGTAATTCAACTATAAGTAGTAGGCCATTTTGTATAGCTCTGTTAGTTTACGGGAGGGTTTGATTTTGGTCGTCCGACCGCCGGTGATGTACAGCAGGCCATCCATGACCTGGGGAATGAGGTCAAACAGCCAACATTGGCCGGGAAAATGTAAGCAGGAAAATGTATGTATATATATATATTACAATATATATATATATACATACATAATATGTATATATATATACTGTATATACTCTAAATATACTATAATACACATGTATGTATATATATATACATACAATGTATATATATATATACATACTATGTGATCACAATGTCTATATATATATATTCTGGATAGACTGATCTGCTTTGATTCATTAGAACAGATTAGATAGAATAGAACAGGATCAGAAAAGGTAAGGTTCGATTAGATTAGATTTAGATTATATTAAGACGGTAGAAGACAAGATATTATTGGACTAGATTGGATTAGTTTAGAATAGATTAGATTACATAGATAGACGGATCGATGGAGAGATGAAAAAAAAATAGATGAAACAATGAATAGATGAATCGAAAGATAGATGATACATGGAGATAGAACTAGAGCTGGAGGTAGAGATAGCGATAGAGAAAGAGATAGATAGAGAGAGAGAGAGAGATTGAGGTCACAGAACGTTCATGATTCAGCAAGCTCAGCCAGTGGTTCACAAAATTCCTGTTGTTTTCGCAGATGTGCCATGGCCAATGCGGAGCTTGTGCCAATGACCATCCCTGTTGGAAAATCATCCATGTTTGGGGAAGCGCACGTATACTCCCAGACCCCTGGATGCAATTTCCTCACGGGTCCAGCTTTCTGGACACCTGAACCAGGATTTCTGGTATTCAATATGTGGGTTTGTCGGAAAATGGGGTACCTCAAAATGTGCTGCTTGATCAAGTTGATCCAAGTTGATCCAAGTTGATCATGATCTTTCCCAAACTATTGCCATAAATTGTGACATCTGTGATATCTCTATTATGATATGGGGATGGATCAATACCTATTAATACTATTTTTAGGGGGATGAACATCCATTTATCAGCTATTTTGATGTGAACTACAGGGGTACTATTGGTTTTGACACACTGCCATATATTAATAGACAATATAGCTATTAAGATGTACTAAACATAAGATTCTGAGTAGATATTACTAAGATACTAAATTATACTAATATATAATTACTTCACTTCGAATGATCCCCACCATGGCATTTATACATTTTCTTACTGGCAAATCTTCTGGCATTCTATCTGACATTTCTTCTGGCATTCTTTCGGAGAAATCCATCGCAACAGATGCTGGGCTGCTGGGCTTCCCAACCGCCATGGCACCTCCCACCCGGGCGTACTGGAGCTCCGGGAGTTGTCGCCAGGCGCCATGATACCTAGGGGCGCCAGTCGGGGAGATGGTCAGAGGCTATGCCTGGCCGATGGTATCGATGATATCATGAGGATCTTGTATGGTTAATATGGGTTATTAATGGTTATTAATGGTTAATATGGGTTATTGATGGTTATTAATGGTTACTAATGGTTAATGATGGTTAATAGGAAGGGTAACTATATAAATATCATTCGATATCCTGGTTTTCTGGACTATTAATGACTATTAGATCCGTAATTTATCCTGAATTCTTGGAGGTTGGTTTTTGATTTGTTGATGAGTGGCTTGAAGATGCAATGGCCTGCTGAAAATGGTTTAGTTGACATCGTTGTGGAGGGATTCATCGTGTTTCAAGCCGCATAGGGCAACCCTAACCAGGACCAAATGGGCCTGAACCACTGCACTAGGGATTTTTTTTTTGGGATACGGGTATATTCATGAAATGCTACTCTTATATAGGGAAAATGATGATGCAGTGAATTTTAGGGGCCCATTGACAAACCCAAAGGATCCCAATCCCCTTGAACTCGACAATCCCAAGCACCAGAGTGGATCTGAGGCGGACTTGTGAAAGCGAAATGCAGCCACCTGACCATGAAATTCATAGGTCGGGCTCGCTAAAATTCCCTGGATCCCCAAATCATTCAACCTTGGTTGGGTAAGGATATACTGATATACTCGATTTTGCGCTGCTTACATGTTGTTGTTGCTTATATTCCAAATGTCCATTTTGCCAACTAAAAATCACTATGTTCCAGCTATGTGCCTGTGCCCATTATATCCAGCCCAAAATCACGATTTTCTGGGTGAAATCCGAGTTTGTCCCATTATATCCAGCCAAAAAAAACGCATGCTCTGCGCCTGCCGCGCAAAGGGTGTGGGCCTTCCCGAGGCCACAATTAGCTCGCAGCCCCAAGAAGTGCAGCAGGAGGAGCCGCCAACCTGGAGCTGATTGCCGGAGGTAGCTATTCTTGTTGATGAAAACACAAGGTGAAATTGCTATTGACTGCTTTGGTGATTAGTTAGTGAGTGCTATGCTGTGAAAGTGTGATTTTCATTGGTGAAATTGATATTCCTAGTGATTATTGCTGATTATTGTTGATTATTGTTCAGTGGTATTCCTAGCAATTGCGAAAGCTCGTTTTATCACTAGGAATATCTGGTTACATTGCTAGTTGTGGTTCTTGGTTGATGAATTGCTGTAATCTCTGATGACTCAAGTCATAATCATACAATTGTTGAATGAAATTAAGGTTGAATTGTAGTTTAATCGTCAGAGGAGCGGAGGAAAAGGAGTTCAGTTCAGGTTGTTTCTCTGGTTGCTAAAAGGTAAATCCTTGCTTACAGTTGATTCACAGATCACCATTCTTAGCAGCCAGAAGGATTTGAAGGGGGAAATGATGATTAACCACGGGAGTTCGGAAGGTCCAAAGAAAATCTTTTGATTGTGACCTTCCATGGCCGCAAAGGTTCTGCCTTGACATCTGCTGAATCTGCCACAACAGCTCTCCAGCCATCCTCAGGCATGCTCGGATTGTATGCCTCGGGTCGTGGGGAATGACTCTGGGCCAACCTCTCAGCAGACCATGACCTTTGCTGGATACAAAACTGTTACACCCTGAAAACTACCTGCAGCTTAGAGGCTCTCGATTTCCAGATCATGTGACTACATGTTTTTCCCAACTCGGCAAGAAATACTGTGACTAATGGGGAGCATCAGTTGAAAAACAGCACACACCAGTCGTGGGTTTTTCCAGCGGGCCACGGGTCCAAGATGCCAACGTCACATCCCCCATCCTCGCCACAATGCGACCACTCACCTGCATTTCATCGACCATGTGACCATGATTTCCGTCCCAGCTCTTTGTTGCACAGACATGATGTCGTATGCCAAACAAAAGACCGCCAGAGAATGTTTATTACAAAAAGGATAAAGAATGCACAGAAGTTCATCTGCGAAAAGAACTTGCACGGATGATGCAGATCTGTTTGTAGTCACAAGTACTATATAAGTATACTTTCTGGCATGGCAGGTCGATGTTTTTTTTTTCCCTATACCCCAATATGCTGTCTATAATCTCCACCACAATAGAATATGTGCCGGTTCGTGTTGGCTTTGTATCCCTACGAGTAGGATGCCAAATATTATCCTCTGCTGCTACAAACCTTACCCTCCAGTCCAAGTTCTGTACAAATCTATCTTTGCAGTAAAACCATGGAAAAATGGCGCATCTTCCACATTGTCTGCCTGCGTGCTATTGCTCAGTGGGTAACGCAAAAATCAGAGAGAAAAATATATTGACCAAATTCCAATTTTCTTGCTTACCCTCTGGTAAACTAACATAGCTATGGAAAATAACCATCTTTAATAGGTAAATCAACTATAAATGGGCCATTTTCAATAGCAAAATGTTGAATTATCAGAGGGTACATCCCAACATTTGAATCAACATCTTGGTCTCTCAAATCCTGCATTTTTCCTTGATCCTGCTATTTAAGTGGGAGAATCAACCACCCTCGCAGCCAGCAGCCACGACACAGCAGCCGCACCAAAGAAGGCGCTGTTGTCCAGGATGTCTCGCAAAAATCCATGGGGATATGGATCCGAATTTCGGGGTACCCTCTGGAAACCATGGCCATTTAGCTATTAAGCATGTTGATTTTCCATAGGTCATGTTAGTGTGGGGTAATATTTCATGCTCAATTACCATGAATATTGCCATGGCCATGGGGTAACCATACCAACATGAACATGGAAAAAGTACCATGGCTATGTATCTAGGGCTACATTGGAACTGCAGAATTGCTCCTTGATGATTTTGACCTATAGATTGCTATATGTTGGAGATCGTTTTAGGGGTTGCTACAGGCAGGGGCCGAATAATGATCCAAGTTTATTTATAACTAGGTTGACTAGGGTGCTGTATGGGTGATATAACTACAATTAAATGAATCAAATGGGTTTCTAAGCCAACTTATAGCTAGAGGGCCCCTTCCTGTATATAAATTATATAAATTTCTCATAAGCATCGTTGGCTTACCCACATCCCTTCCTTTTGCCCCACCATGCCGGCGTAAGCTCTTGATGGGGTGATGGGATGGAAAGCATGGAAAGCGTCGATGATCTCAAGTGAACTAGCAATGAATTCAGGTATACGGAGGCCACCCCTGCGGCAATCCCCGCGAGGTGTTGCTGAAAAATATGTCCTATCCAAAAAAAATAGTCCAATAACCAACCAAAAATTGGTGTCATTTCACATCATCCTAGAATATCCATGAATATCCGACATTTGGATACACCCTAAACCCAATTTTGGGGATGGTTAGACCATGTTAGACCACCAAAAAGACCACTCGAAATTCCGGGCCCCAACCTTCGTCCATCGGCAGATGTCTGTAGGCACTCAGCGGCAGGGACGTCCAGTCGCCCGTCCCTAGGTCCAGGACATCACAGAACTTCTCCTATGCCGGGTTCAGCGAGAGCTGGGGTGCAATGGTACTAACCCCCCAGAAACAAATGAAGGAACTTGTTTTTCTAAAACACGGATCAAATCGTTGTGAGAAATTCAATCCAGAATATCGGTTTTGTCATGATGTATACATAATATCATTATGAACAACAACAACAACAACAACCACGACGACGACGACGACCACAACAACAACAACAACAACAACCACCACAACCACAACCACAACGACAACGACAACGACAACGACAAGGACCAGGACGACGACGACGACGACGACGACGACAACGACGACCAAGACGACGACGACGACGACGACAACGACGACAACGACGACAACGACGACAAGAACAAGAACACGAACAAGAACGAGAACAAGAACAAGAAGAACCGCACAGTAACAGCAACAGCAACAGCAACAACAATTGATGATGGTGATGATGATCATGAAGATATCAATAATCAATCAACTGATATGGACAAGACCACCAACAGAGACGGCGACAAACTGCACGAGGTGTTGAACAGCATGTCCCAGACGCGTATGCCTGAAAACATCTCTACCTGTGTTTTAACTGCTGGCGATTTCAATGAAAAAATGATCGTTAACCATATAACCATGAGATTCTGACAGGGGTTCCCCAAATTCTTCAAAGGCAAACCATCCATTTGTGGTTTCTGGAGCCTCAAGGACCTACTGAAAGGTGTGTCTGAAAATGGGCTATCCCGGTAGTTATGGCTTGAGAAGGAAAATGATGGCATGATAAGCCATTAAAAGCTAGCCTATCTTTAAACAAAGCCACATTATGCTCAAGTCACAATTCATGGAGGTGACATTGGCACCCATGGGCATTCTTTTAGGTTCTACCCTCTGGTAAACTAACATAACTATGGAAAATCACCATTTCTAATGGGAAAATCCACTATAAATGGTCATTTTCAATAGCTATGTCAGCCATTACCAGAGGGTAACCCCTGTTCTTTGCTGTTGAGATCCATGGGCAAATCCCGCTGTCCTGGACTGGTACGGGACGCTCGTCCACATACCTTGTCGGAGAAGATTTCTGGAACACTCAGTGGTAAAAACGAAACCATGAAAGATGGGGAGGAAGACTTCATGGCCAAACAATCCAGGAATCCACGGCTTCTGACTGGTGGAATGCATCCTCACCTGTGGCTGTTTTTTCTAAAATCATCCTCAAATCACCAAATTGATTCAAGGTTCTGCAACAGTCAAAACCTTATGGACTGGAAACTCAAGAAAAAACCTAAACACTCCTGCGCTTAACTGAGGTGTCGACAATCTTAGTTAGAATCTCTTTGGAGCTCCCAGATCTTTGGACTCCGGGATTTTTTCACGACTCCTTTTGATTACCAAATCGCCAACCTCGGCCGCATCTTTTACGCTTGCAGATACTCACTGCTTACTTTGCAACTGCTGGCACCAAAGCCGGGACCCTGGAGGCCAAGCTGGAGAAAATCTGGAAATCGCTGGAAAAATCAGGTGCAAGTATCATTGGGTTGGTTTAAGGGAAAATCTACAGGAAACCATGGTTTTTACCATGAAATATGAGGCTTTCCTGTAAATTTTCCCATCATCCAATTCTATGAAAGTAACTTAAGTAGAGATGTTGTTCCTATTGACATTGAATGTTCAGTTGCCATGCTTACGGAAGGAGACCTCTCCATAGCAGTAACTCCTTTCACTAAATTGAGAGCTTCGCAATTGATCGTCTCCATCACTGCGCGATGCTGATGTTGCCCCTGAAGAGAAATGAATGTAGCCCCAGAAAGACTTAACTTCCTTGCCCTTAAAAAACTACCCTGGACAGCCACAACGAAAAATGCCCCCCACCTTCACATAGATCCAGCCTGCACGGGTCGCAGGGAAGGCCCAAGAATTGGCCTATCCATCTGAACACAGTTTTTCTTGCGACGCCCCTTGAAAATTGCAATGTGGGGCAAAAGTCATCCAACCTTTCCTACCCTGCCAGCCCCAGCCGCACCTTTCTTTTCGCCCGCAGTTACATCAAGCTCCGCCCAGACGCCACCACTGGCGCCAATGTGGAGCTGCCCAGTGGTGCGCACCTACCGAGTTTTTGGCGAAGTGTCCCTTTCAGCAACTGTAGGAAGTGAGGACTTTATGTGCACCAGCCAAAAATCTATGTAGATGACGTGTGAATAGATGTGAATAGTATATCCAACGAAAAAGGCAAACATCACCAACAACATCCAACAACACAAACAAAAAAATGGTTTCCTGTCGTATATCGGGTCCTGAGAGCCACTGGGCATCCCGACGATGGAGCTCACAGGCCGAGAAATCTTAATGATCTTGTCCTTGGAGAAAGAATTCAAACGGATATCTTCAATTTGGAACGTGGCAGCTGGATGCAACCGGCGCAATGGCGCAATGCAATCTGAGGCTCAATGGTATGAGCATCCGTTCTGCCATGTTCTGCCATCATACTGCTCTTGTGAGTGTTCATTCCCTGGATATTGAGTGGGAGCCATCATGTTCTTTAATGCAATCCATCTGTGGTGAAAGGAACTACTGGTATCAGCCTGCTAAGAAAGTCAATTGGGGCCATCCCAGTCGGAAGAAACAATAGCTGAAACCATGAACAAAAAAAGTACAACCACTGCCGTAGCGCCCAGGCTGGTAAGTGCAGAGAGTCCCTGAATGTGAAAAAATATACCCTCTGGTAAACTAACATAACTATGGAGAATCACCCTTTATAGTGAATTTTCCCATGAAAAATTGTGATTTTCCATAGTTATGTTAGTTTACCAGAGGGTGTGCAATCTTGCCCATCAGCACGAGTACTGCCGTAGCGGCCAGGTTGCTCCATCTTTGTTGGGTTTCCTGAGCAACGATGGGCACTAAGTCTAGGATTCCTCCAAGCTAAACCCTGACTTATTAATTGACGGGTACACCCAAAATAGTGATAGATCACTCTTGAAATCATAAGTACCCCTCCTATCAATAGACTCGGGGTGTAATAATCCCGGTTCAACAGTACTGTAGTAGAAATCCATTATTTTTGACAAGTGTTCTCAAGATTCATGGGCAACACTTGTACAACCATGAACCAGCAGGCTGGGTCTGTCTGAAAATTGAATACTGTACCCAAAATCTCATGGTTCATGATTGCGTTCTCGATCTCAGCCGCTCATTGGAGAGTAAAAAACTTCGTTTTGGGCATCACCCGACAAACCCAGCTACAGTATCTCCCATTGTAACCCCATGTTTGTTGGTTAAATCCTCATTTACAACACATAATTAGTCTCATTCCCACAATATATCCGATAAAATACCCAGGAACGGGGAACGTCAAAGACCTGGCAAACTGGTCTAGATATTCCAAGGGAGTGTTGGAAGAGGCTGGTAGAACTATGTAGAAGCCCCATATCATCCTATATCAACCACCAGGCCTTTTGACAGATCATGCGAAGTTTCTTGAAGAGGTCAGCTTTCAATACGCGGTAGGCCGTCGCCTCATCTTGCCGAAAAGCTCGTGGAGCAACCCACCTGCCACCAAAGACCGAGACCTGTCGTTGGAAACATAATATGTAGTGTGAATAAACTTACAGGGTACTCATATACTTCGTATGTGTATATGTATGTGTGTATCCATATATGTATATATCCATATATATATATGTATATATACTGTATGTGTATGTATATATATATACGTGTATATATATATCCATATCTACATATATATATATATATCCATATATATATATATATCCATGTATATATATATATATATCCATGTATATATATATTCATTCACTAATATTCATATATATATATATGCATATAATTCAGATATATACCATTATACAATTTTATTCATGCTTGTCTGCTAGTGGATACCATGCAGTCGTGATGCCCACCTGACTTTGCAGGTCTTTCGCTCGCTATTTGCGTCGTTCACCACCTCAGTGGTTGAGGGTACCCCCCGTCGTGGTGAGAATGGGCGGTGACCGACCATCAAAAAATGGGCACCTGTGAAGACAAAGCCATATTTCAGGAACTTAGAATCCCCATTGAATCAGTAGTTTCTGACCCCCCCTTTTTCATTTTTCCGCATGAACCTGCAAGGACGTTTTGGTCAGACACGCTTTTCCAACTCCTCATCGAGTAGTAGTCACCAATGTTATCAATCTTAAAAATTATCATTAATGTTTATCTCAAATGTCATCCAAATGCTATAATGACCAATGTTAATCAATTATCATTAAGTTTAATCTTACCAATGTTATAATCACCCATGTTTATCAATCTTAACAATTATAATTAATGTTTATCTCAAAAGTCATCCAAATGCTATAATGACCAATGTTAATCAATTATCATTAAGTTTAATCTTACCAATGTTATAATCACCAATGTTTATCAATCTTAACAATTATCATTAATGTTTATCTCAAATGTCATCCAAATGCTATAATGACCAATGTTAATCAATTATCATTAAGTTTAATCTTACCAATGTTATAATCACCCATGTTTATCAATCTTAACAATTATCATTAATGTTTATCTCAAATGTCATCCAAATGCTATAATGACCAATGTTAATCAATTGTCATTAAGTTTAATCACACCAATGTTATAATCACCAATGTTTATCAATCTTAACAATTATCAATTAATGGTTTATCTCAAATGTCATCCAAATGTTATAAACACCAATGTTAATCAATTGTCATTAAGTTTAATCACACCAATGTTATAATCACCAATGTTTATCAATCTTAACAATTATCATTAATGGTTATCTCAAATGTCATCCAAATGTTATAAACACCAATGTTAATCAATTGTCATTAAGTTTAATCACACCAATGTTATAATCACCAATGTTTATCAATCTTAACAATTATCATTAATGTTTATCTCAAATGTCATCCAAATGCTATAATGACCAATGTTAATCAATTATCATTAAGTTTAATCTTACCAATGTTATAATCACCCATGGTTATCAATCTTAACAATTATCATTAATGTTTATCTCAAATTTCATCCAAATGCTATAATGACCAATGTTAATCATTTATCGTTAAGTTTTATCTTACCAATGTTATAATCACCAATGTTTATCAATTGTAACAATTATCATTGATGTTTATCTCACATGTCATCCAAATGTTATAATGACCAATGTTAATCAATTATCATGATTTTTAATCTTACCAATGTTATAATCACCAATGTTTATCAATCTTAACAATTATCATTAATGGTTATCTCAAATGTCATCCAAATGTTATAATCACCAATGTTAATCAATTATCATTAAGTTTAATCACACCAATGTTATAATCACCAATGTTTATCAATCTTAACAATTATCATTATATAATGTTTATCTCAAATGTCATCCAAATGTTATAAACACCAATGTTAATCAATTGTCATTAAGTTTAATCTTACCAATGTTATAATCACCAATGTTATCAATCTTAACAATTATCATTATATAATGTTTATCTCAAATGTCATTCAAATGTTATAAACACCAATGTTAATCAATTGTCATTAAGTTTAATCACACCAATGTCATAATCACCAATGTTATCAATCTTAACAATTATCATTATATAATGTTTATCTCAAATGTCATCCAAATGTTATAAACACCAATGTTAATCAATTGTCATTAAGTTTAATCACACCAATGTTATAATCACCAATGTTATCAATCTTAACAATTATCATTATATAATGTTTATCTCAAATGTCATCCAAATGTTATAAACACCAATGTTAATCAATTGTCATTAAGTTTAATCACACCAATGTTATAATCACCAATGTTATCAATCTTAACAATTATCATTATATAATGTTTATCTCAAATGTCATCCAAATGTTATAATCACCAATGTTAATCAATTGTCATTAAGTTTAATCACACCAATGTTATAATCACCAATGTTTATCAATCTTAAAAATTATCATTAATTTTTTATTCAAATGTCATCCATGTCCCATGTTTCCATTTGTTTCCATTTTTGATCCATGTTCATCTCTTCCAGCCTCCCTTCAGCTAAGCCACTCCTCCACAAGCTACCTCCACCTCCAGTGGCTCTGGCAGAGGGCTGACCGCCACCTGATGTGTAGCCCAAATCGGTGTTTTTTGCAGAGTATACCCCAGTTATAGCCATTTTCATACGGAAAATATGAGAAAATGATGTTCTAAACCATCAAATTTGGGTTATCCTATTTCCAGACAAACCGATAACGCTTTTTTAAGATTTTGGCCACTCCCGGAGTGGAGTTGTTGACACGGGCAGCCTGGGAATCGCTCTGCGATACAAGGTTTTCAGGCCGACAACCTCGGCATGATATCGAAAAAGAAGGAGGGGGGAACAGGAACAAGTTGGGGATTGATGAGTTCAGAATCGTAAAAACCAGGCGATTGACCGAACAATTTGGGATTCGTGAAGCTGCAACTGGAGTTTTTCGTGGGGCGTCGTCGGGACTTAGACTTAAGTGGGGCTACATCTGGGTGAGTTTACAATGGTAGCCGGTTATTGACATGGCAATCTTATTTCTGCAACTGATTACACTCGAAGATGATCATGGAACAACCCAGGTCTGAATGTCCATCAGTCTCACCAGTGGTCAGGTTTTACCTGCCCGATACCTTCGCGATACCATCGAACAGCACCCAACAGGGGGAATTCCAACGCCGCCAAGGGACGCATTCGCTCCTTGCTGTCCGACAGCTCAATCTCCCATCTTTGCGACTCCTCGACAAAGTCCTGAACCAAGTCTAAACAGCTCCATGCCAAGTGCGGTAAACCCAGCCTCTGGCCTCCCCAAAACAACGTTGGCATTGAAGACTTGAATGTCAACCTAGGATTTATGCTTATCCAGAAAAAATGAAGAACATTGCCCACTAAAATACCAAATGATCAGCCAATGTTCCACATTTGCCATGTTTAAAAAGGGCTTGTCACCACGCCGCCTTCACAACTGCCTCCTTGCCGTTGACCTCTGGTCTGCTCTTCAATCCTTGGACCTGCACCTTTTGCCCCACGCTTACAGCAGCCACAGCCGGGGCCGTTTCAGTGCCGCCATAGCCTGAGATGTTACTGGCGTGGGAATGTAGGAATGTGGATGTTGGTAAAGCAAAAGAAGGGGGGACATTCAATTCATTTCAGTAGATAATTGATATGTAACATATATATATATGCCAATGATCTATCAGTAGAATCTAGTTGCTATGCACTGCAGCATTCGACAAACATCGACGCATCGACGAATCGCCGCGCCTTGCGGCAGAGCAGGAGGCCCTTTGATCGGAAGCGTTTCGTCCTCGGACTCCTCCTGCGACACAGTGTCGTGTCGGCTGTCTGAGGCATCCCAACGGTTAACCCAAAGGTTAACCCAACGGTTAACCCAACGGTTAACCCAACGGTTAACCCAAAGGTTAACCCAAAGGTTAACCCAAAGGTTAACCCAAAGGTTATTTGGACATAGCCAATTCTTTGTAGATATTTGTAGATGCAAATAGATGTAGGTGTATACAGATGTAAGGATGTAGATGCAAGGTGCGTTCTTCAAAATAAATATGTGTCCATATCTATCATCCATATGAAACTGAATCTATTTCTGTACAAATCCAAATGGTTTTGCTGTGTTGATACTCACTTAAAGACTGTGTATCACTGGGTGTCTGTAGTCCCCATCTTCTTGGTCAACTCCTCAGGTGGGATTTGCATTAGCTGAGTCATGCAATTTGTCCTCCCTTTGTTGATTAAGTCAGGACTAAATAATGATCATGTTTATTTAATCAACCATGATGAAGATTTAACCAACCATGATTAAGAGTCTCTGAAATCAGGTGAAATCCCTATGTTCTTGTCGTTTTTTTGCACATGAGAAGTTCAGCCCTAAAAGAAGCGCCTCATCCTTCAACTTGGGAGGAGAAAAGTCCCATCCTTGCACCTAGTGGCGGTGAAGGGAAAAAACTGGGAAATTCATAAACCAAAATTTCGAACAGGGAATCAACTCATGAAATATCATGAACAATGTGAATTTGACCAACGAAAACCTGGAGTTCAGCAAAAAAAAAATGTGGATTTTACGAACAGAAAGGGGGATTTTTGTTCGCAATCAGCTGGGATTTCTGCAACAATGATGAAGATATGAAGCCCAAAAATAGTGGTGTAAACCCAGTGGAATATTAACCAGCAATCAAGGGATTCGCCAAATCTCTGGCATAAAAGCGGTTCAAGAGACTGAACTCATAAACCCGACGTGAAACAAGGAACATCATGGATTGTACCCTCTGGTAAACAAACAGTTTGCTATTGAAAATGGCCATTTATAGTGAATTTTCCCATGAAAAATGGTGATTTTCCATAGTTTTTTGTAAGTTTACCAGAGGGTAGATCTGAAGCAACAATAGTATGGATTCCAGTATGGATATAACTGGTACCACCAAGCTAGAGACATCACCAGCAGTCATTGGCACGTTAAGACAAGATGTCCATTCTGACCCGAAGTGGGAAAGCTGCTTTTCTGCCTCAAGGCATCCTTGAACCATATATATATATATACATAGTATATTCACCTATATGTCTACGGATGTGTGTGTATATATATACGTATATATACAGAAATACAATTTATGCATTCCATTCCATTCCGTTACATTACATTGCATGCATACATACATGAAATGATTATCATATATCAATCATCCATCAAGGTGTGAGTCAAGACTGAGCTATCGCAACGAATTTTGAGTCCAGATTGGGAAATATATATATATATATACATATATATATATACATATATATATATACATATATATATATACAGAATTATATTTTATATGTGTACAAATAAATAAATAAATAAATATATATATATATGTGTATATATATATACTGCTTATATATATAATATATATATATTTATATATAGATATCAATACGTTAAGGAAAATTGGACCATGAATAAATGTGAAGAACCGATGATTGTTGTCATGTTTCAGAACATTTTCAGAACGCGTCCAATGATTTTTTGCCAAGAATTTCGAACCAAGATTGGGCATGATTGGGCATGATTGGGCCATCTGGATATGTCTGAAAGCTGGGTATACCCTCCAAATAGCCATGTTAATGAGAAAATGATGATGAATCACTGAATGGGGTTGAGAAATGTTGAAAAACCCTAGATGTTCTGATGCCAAACCACTTCGGAATCTTGAGCCAACCCGCGCATCCCAAAAAATGGTGCCTCGCCAGCATACATGGGCCTCAGCTCCCCTAGCACTCCATCCAGCTTCCTGGGCGAAGCAGGGATCGACACAGGACTCAACATGACTCAACACGACTCAACCATCAATTCCCGCTGGCCCAAACTGGAGCCCAAACTGGAGCCCAAACTGCCGCTTCCATGCGTTGATGCCACCAGCCATGCGCACGATGTTGCTGCAGTCTGCACCCAGCTCAACCAAATACCTACAGCCGTTTTTCGGCGATTTTGGGGATTTCCAGGGACCACTTTCAGTGTCCCTTCCCAGGTCACTGCGCAATGTGCCGACATCGCGACACGTGGCCACGGTTCACATTGCCCTTGATGCAGGCATCCTCAGTCACAAGCTCCAGGTCCAAGGTTTGAAACTCATCCTCAAAGCCCAACGTCTGAGTGAAAAACCGGAGTTCTGATGCCATGGCGCCCCTATGTTTAACCTAATACAAATCAAAAAAATGTGTGTTGCAATTGCAACTCTAGTTTTATGTCACGCTTTTTTTGTTTCATATATAATTTTACATATATATATACTATATTTATATATATATATACATATGGTAGAGCCACCCATCAACTCAGTGTTTTGTGCTATCCACCCCAGCCGCCAAGCCACGCTGAGGCAGATCAAGATCTTGCCTCCGTTCACCAAATCGATGAGGTGCTGGACCAAGGCCTTATCCACCTGAAGGCTGACGACAGCTACGACAGCTTGGCCCTTGAGGGGACCGTCATCCCAGGTTCTCCGTTGGTTATATCATGTCATTTCATGCCATGTATAGCGGTATACTATACGGTATTACCCATGTATTATCATTTATTTCTGGTGGTGAGGGAAAATAGAAACGCTGAAGAGAAGGGGGAATAAGAATCAGGAGGATGCTGGTGATGAGAACTTCTTTGTTCTCACTTCCAGTCACAGGTTGTTTCTGGTTCTTGCTGCTGAAATTTGAGACGGGTGGCCCCATTCCGAGAGCTGCAGGCATCAGGACCCGAATCCAAAGGCTCCAAAATCCATTTGCTGATGTTCCAAGGTTCCTAAATTTGTTTATTTCCAGCAAGATTGCCCCAATTCATCTCACCTTTTACCCGTGTTCTCCACGGCATACCGGTATCTTCCCTACATCAATTGCCAAGGATCTGAGGGTCCTTTCATAATCAGCGCATTGGCGGAGAGGTGAAAGGAGGTTTGCAAACGGCTCATCCTGCACCCCTTCTGCATCTGGAGTTCAAACGGAGGGAACTTTCTGCAGTTTTCAAATTCCAGGCATGAAGAGTTGGTAATATGTTGTCATCTCCTATTCCAAAACTCTAGCGACCATATGCGACCCTCGTTGTGTCCGAGAAAAACAACACGGTTTTCATGTCATCTCCTATTCTACGTCACCCCCCTGCGGCCAGTCTTGTAGTCATCTTCATCCCTGCTATCCACGAAAACCGCCTGGGGAGAATCAAAGGCCGTCCAGCGATGCAATTGGTAGTGAAGACTCACCCAAAGCTCTATAAATGTACAAAGGTAGGTACATGTACATATGTAGGCAGGTGGGTATCTACATATATATATATATATTATACATATGTATATATATATATATATTATACATATGTATATATATATTATACATATGTATATATATATTATACATATATATATATATATGCATATGTGTGTGTGTGTGAACGTATCTATGTACACATCCGTACGTACACATCCGTATGTGTGTATATGTACATATACATATACATATACATATACATATACATATACATATACATATACACATACATATACATATACATATACATATATATATATATACATATATATATACATATATATATATACATAGCATGTACATGCACATACATGTGCATATAATATTGATCCCTTACATGTGTATGTAGCAACAATCTAGCGACCACCAATCTATTTTCCCCTTTTTTTGGTCCTGAGGGTTATCATTCAGCATTCTCTGAAACCGGACCCGGACCCCGAACTGCCAAGGTATATATGTCTATTCAAACTCTATTCAAGGTACCCTCTGGAAATTTAACATAACTATGGAAAATCACAATTTTTCATGGGAAAATTCACTACAAAAACAAATGCTGATTTTCCATAGTTACAATAGTTCTGTCAGCCATTACCAGGCCGGGTATATTTTAGGTCCATCCGTAGCCTTGTCATTTTTCATGAGGAGATAGGCTTCTTGCACGCTCACGTAGTAGAAGTCCACACCGCTATCTGGCACCTTAGAACACCACGATCCACAGCAGAAAGTGAGCACCTTGGATCCACTAAGATGAGCTATCTTTGGTGTCATGAAATGTCATGAATCTCAAGGTTTTCTATGGTTTTCTATGGTTTTCTCTGGTTTTCTGAGATCGTGAGAATCGCTGCTGGACAGAACCAGAGATTTCTGAAACCCTCCCCACATCACATCGAGCCGCCCCGTAGCCCATGGCTGGAAAATGCGGCCACCAGGACGGCAAGGACAAGAAGGGTAGCGAAAAGCAGCGTGGTTTCTCAACATGTTGCTCTGTTGGGCAAACCATTTAGTCGCACCCATCATGTCCTTGGCCGTGAGACCCTCAGTATTTGGATTTTGGGTCTAATTTCTTGAGAAATCAGCATTTCTTCCGAAGCAGTGACCTAGATCGCACCTCTCAGACTGGCACAATGAATGCGGTTTGGAATCAGCCCTGAATAGCTTTGGTTGGATCAACTGAAGGAGTTTCTACAATGGGCTACCACTTCTGTCTTGCTTTGCAAGCTGGAAACTTTGGTACTGCCTCAAAACTGTTGAGCCAAAAGCTGTGGCCACAAAGCTGTCGGAGAACCCCCCGTCGGCTCAATGGTTGTGGGTGGCTTACAGGTCTCCAAGTGCAGGAAGCATCCACATCATCATCATTCTGGTTTCTTTGTGCCCAATCTTATTGGTTAAATGTCATTTGTTCCAGGTTCATTTCCCCGTTCTTTGGTTCAAAAAAGACATGTTTGGCTGGCAAAATACTGAAAAAATCTGTTGGTCACTCATACATACACCTCCATATACATATACATGTACATATCATGTGTATGTATATATATATATACATACATACATACATACATAACATGACATGTCATAACATAACATAACGTAACATTACATCACAGCACATCACATCACATTACATCACATCACATACATACATATACATGCATATACATATATACGTGTATATATATATATATATATGTGTGTGTGTGCACGTGTTTTTACATAAAGTATTAAAGTGTGCCTATTGATGCCCAGTATGCTGTTGTTTGTATCCGTTTGTATCCCTACCGAAACATCTTTGCAAAACTAGGTGCATGCCGCCCATGACGTAGACCTTGCCGTTCAGCTTGCAAGCAGTGGCACCGTGGCGTCGTGTGGCCATTGATGGCAACACTTCCCAGGTGTCGCTGAGACAGTCGTAGACTTCCACCGAATTGAAGAAACTGGGCCCCGAGGCTTCGCTGGGAGATTTTTCAAGGTGTACTGAAGAATCCCCGGCCTGGTAAACTTGCAAAAAGCTATGGAAAATCACCATTTTCAATGGGAAAATCCACTATTTCTATGGTCATTTTCAATAGCTATGTTAAATTACCAGAGGGTATATGGTTAAATGGTCTTACATAAGCCTTGATAAATTCCTCTAGCCATTTTTTGTCAGAACCTGGTTGGTCATCCTGCAAAACCCACAAAAAACGCACGGTTCTGACTTACAAATGGCTCGCCCCAAATCTTGCGAAACAGCTCACGTCCAAGTTCAACTATTGAGGAATTTTGGGCATCGTGTTTCGACCAAAATGAGCATTCAGTTGGAACTATAGAAATATATAGAAATATAAAATATACAAATCAGAAATAATCCAAATCCTGTTCTTTTGGTAGCTGGTTTCTGCCCATCATTCTTGGCAAAATTTGGTAAGCCAGGAAACTCATCGGGCCCACATAGTCCAGGATGCTTGCTGCAACCACCTGGGAAATCCCCACTTGTTCATAGGAAAATAGATGAAAATCCATGGGAATTGATGAAAATGATCTATAAACTCTGGATTTTCCAGCTGATTGCAAGAGGGCAACTGTTGTGTCGCACCAGGTGGAACCTGAACATCCCAGCGATTCGAAGCCGTTGAAAAACTCATCCAAATCACCCAAGGGTGGCCCCTAGTCAGATCAATAAAGCTATTATAATAATAGCATATAATAACTACATGTATATAATATAATATATAGCTTATAATATATATATATATACATACATACATACATATACCCACTGGCGTTTGCTCAAGCAGAAAAAAAAACACAGCGCCACCTGCAAAGAGCACACGGCCCAAACCGACATCGCAGCAGGCAGCATCCAGTCTGGGGACAGGCTTCAAGGCAGCACAGCACCAAAAAGGCCGTAAAAGATGAGGCACTGTTACTTGGATGTGCGTTCTGGTACATTCTTTGATAACCCAGTTTTCTGGGATGGCATATCCAAGTCACCAGTTTTCAGTAAATAGTTTCTGGGATTTCTGTTTAATATACATTATATATACATTATAAATTATATGGCATTATTGAAGGGTGAAATTATATGGCATTATTATACAATATGCCTACTATATTTTCATTATATAAATTATAACTCATAAATCCCAGTTTTCATGGCATTTCTGTAGGCTGAAATCCCCGTGCCTCGGCTTCGTCTGCTGGGCTAACGGCTTTGGTGTCCGCACAGAACGGGGGAAACTCCTCAGCTGGGCGTAGAAACGTTTGAATATGTTTAATGTGGGTAAAACAAGGTAACGTCGTCCATTGCGGTCCCGCTGTTTTTGTTTGTTTTGAAAACAAGCATCTTGCTATTTCGATAACCCTTATGGCACTTTCTGTCACCATGGATTTTGCGCCATGTTCAAATGCCTTGCGTTTTACAGCACTTTGTGTCCATTTTGTGCTATTTCCAATGGGTTTTTCAGGTCCATGTGCAAATCAGCGGAAAAAAACGCTTGGAAGCCAGCAATATGTTAGGATCGTGTTGCATACATGATAGACCAGACATAGACACATACCTTGCATACTTGGACATGTACACTGATTCTTATATACATATATGCAAGTATATATACATATATTTATATATCCATATATATATATATGTGTGTGTGTGTAACCTGACACACACAGACATGCACACACACACATATATATATATATCTACATATTCATATAAATTCGAGACAATCAGAAATATCTAGACTTACAGGAAAGCACATCTCTGACACTGCAGCCACGGTGGAAGTGTCTTGCAAGGCCTGTTTCTTGACTCTTCTCTGCGGGGGTTTGTCATCCCTCTGACGCCATGAACGTTAACATCCCACCCCACCCCACCCCACCCCAACCCATGTTTGTTAAAAACTAGCAAATTCCCCGGGGCCGTATTGGAGGACGTCAGCTTAAACAAGAATAAACCATCCCCCAGTTTTCACCATTTCTATAAGTGGTATGGTTACCATTCCCAAATGGGTGGTTTATGGCATTGTTTTACCCACATCAAACATGTTGGAAACTTTTGAAACCACTCATCCATACTAATCCACGAATTCCATCTAATTGCTAAAACAGCAATGAGGAATTCTCGAAATACCACTCCTGGCCAAGGCACTAATTCTCCATCCAAACTCTGCGCATGAAACCGCCAAAGTGGTACAAACACTGAGGAGCTTCTGAAACGTAGGAGGACACCAAGAGGATCAGCCCCAAATCATCCTCGCCGAAAAATCAGTAGGATCGCACTTAACGATCAGCCGAACGTTTTGTTTTCACTCTAAGTCTAATTCAACCACATATGTATATATCTATATGTGTGTGTGTGCCTATATACACTTAAAAGCTATATACATACATACATACATACATACATACATACATATATATATATATGTGTATGTATATATATATATGTTTTCCATATATGTCATCAACAACCTCATCTCCTTTTTGGGTTTAACTATCAAATTGAATGTCAATTCCAAATTGTACGTTCAACCCCGGTTAATGCATTCGGGTCGTTCTCCCAAAAATACTGAGTTCATCTGCTACTAAAATAATACCTTACGTTCAACAGCCGAGGTCTCGACCTTCAGCAGCTGCTTGAGCCCCGGCATCACCAGCCGCAGGCCTTTCAGCGCTAGCAGCTGCAGGAACAGCTGACGGTCCTGCACACAGCTAGGGCCGATGGGTGGTGCAACATGGGACAACAGGAATCAAGCATGTTACTGTGGTTTATGGTAGATATAACTATAGTTAATGGATGTTAATGGGGTTTATAAACTAACTTATAATTGGCGGGGCACCAAAATGTAGCAATTTTGCCAATGATATGTTTATTTTAAGCTATTTTGAACCATGTTTGCATTAGAATGGCAATTTACCCATTCATATATACTGCATTGGTAATTGAATGGTAAGTGGGGGATTATCACCACTATGGTCAGTAAAAACATTGTTAAATGGTGTGCAGAAACTCTGCTTAGTAACAATTCCGCGATATATGTAGTTGTTCAAGTATTCCATTTACAACCGTGGAGACCAAGCCCGGCCCCTTTTTTTTGCTTCAGTAGCTACTAAGCAGGATGATCCTTCAAGTACGAAGACCAAAAAGATTCAAAAATGCAGGAAATATGGGTTTTTTAACTCTAGGCTTGTGCTATACTAAAAATACACCAGCCATATATTGGGTTTATTATACTATAAATTCAGCTTAGTATTTATGATTTAGCTATACAAATCTGTAGCAGACATAAACCCATAGACCTACACAATATCTCTACTGTATAGTAGTCAAACATAACATATCATATCATATCATATCATATATCATATCATATTATATATATATAATTCAAATTAATATAAGATAAGATAAGAAAATAGAAAAGAATATAATATAATCGCATATAATCGCATATAATACAAGTCAATACAATACAATACAATACAATACAATTACAATTACAATTACAATTACAATTACAATTACAATTACAATACAATACAATACAATACAATACAACAATAAAATATTATATTATATTATAATATATCAAACAAGACAATACAATATGATATAATATAATATTATATCATATGTTGTTACATGATATAACATAACATAACAAAATGTAATAAAACAATATATATATGTACAATATATTACAATATAGTTTAATAAAATCAAATATAACGTAACAAAATAAATTGATTTTCAAAAATACAATATTCTAATATTTTACATATTAACACATGACATACTATAACATAACATAATGTAACTTAATATAATATAATGTAGTATAATGTAATATAATGTAATATAATGTAATATAATGTAATATAATGTAATATAACGTTTTATAATACATTGTAATATTAAATTATATTGTATTTTATTATACAATACAATACCATACAATTCAATTCAATACAATACAACACAATACAATACATTGACACAAGCCTAAAAGCTGTAACAGCAAGCACGATCTAGAGCACGATTTTGGCACGAAGGAGAGCACCAAAAAGCACGATCTAGAGCACGATTTTTGCCACGAGGGAAAGCACCAAAAAGCACGGTTTGTGGCACGAAAAAAAAAAGCAGGATTTTGTGCACGAAGGAGAGCACCGATCTAGAGCACCATGTTTGGACAAAGGAGAGCAATGCACGAAGGAGAGCACCAAAAAGCACGATTTTTGGCACGAAGGAGAGCACCAAAAAGCACGATCTAGAGCACGGTTTTTGGCACGAGGGAGAGCACCAAAAAGCACAATTTTTGGCACGAGGCAGAGCACCAAAAAGCACGATTTTGTGCACGAAGGAGAGCACCAAAAAGCGCGATCTAGAGCACGATTTTTTGCACGAGGGAAAGCACCGAAAAGCACGGTTTTGTGCACGAAGGAAAACACTCAAAACAACGTTCGCCCAAAATATAAACAAATCCTTTTTTTGACTGTTACAGCCATTAGGACGGACTCAAACAATACAATACAAGACAATACAAGACAATACAACACAATACAATACAATATAATGTAACATATATATATATATATACACGTATACATATATATATATATATCATATCATATCTAGCTATTCTAAGTGAAAAAGGTCCCCCGGAAGATGCCACAACGCTCCATATTGAACTGCTCCTCCATGCGATCTGCCCGCAGGAGATTCATGCGCCTGAATGGCCATGCTGTTCACATTCCAAGAATGAACAACAGAAACCATGGGTAAAACATGTTTGATGTTGGTAAAACAATAATAAACCACCCATGTGGGAACGGTTTATAGCACCTATTTATGGTGATTTGGCGGATGGTTTATTCTTGTTTTACCTACAGTATACCATATATAGATCCGGTATATACCATGTGTATATATATATACATACGTGGTATATACCTATGTTGCGATGGTTTCATCAGCCATCATCAACCATCAGCCATCATCAAATCATGTGGTTATTCGGTACTGACCCAAATCCCCATATTCCAGCAGCCAGATCCAGTTCAAAACCAGATTTCGTCGAGCGACTTCAAACGTTTTGGCGAACCGCCTGCGATTTTTGGAGGCGGCGGTATAGGTCAACGTGCGAACCCTGCAGGTCAGAATGGGCTATGGTATGCTTCACCTTGGCCCCAGGCTTTCGGAAATGGATGTTCAATAAGATGTCCATCCTCAAGAAATATTGACAATGAAAGATATTGACTCATCCTCATATGGGGGTTCCATAAATGGGGGTACCCCCAAATGGATGGTTGATAATGGAAATCCCATTAAAATTGATGATTTGGGGGTACCCCTATTTTAGGAAACCTCTATAGACAAATGCCAAGACCGGTGGCTTCAAGGGTCCTGACTGCTGACCCAAATCTGCGTTTGTGGTTAAAATTTCTGCCACTTTTCCATCCGAAAATGGTGTGTTGACTTCAAGCATCCGGTGGCTGAGGTAACTATTACATAGCAAGTACTATAGACATTGTAGACTCATTGAAGAGGATCTTCCGTCCAATTTGTCTTTTTGCCTCATCCCCACCTGGCTCTGTAACTACCTTCACAACTAAACACCTGTTGTACCACGCCTGGCTGGACCAAGACGCCTAGGCGACCATCATCTTCCGGTGCCACCACTCTACCGGGTTTCAGATTCAAACTTCGCCCTTCTTTGCTCACCTCAGCTGGGTGACCTAGCTGGGTGGGAGGAATTCAGCACCTCCCCCAAAAAACCAGGTGGGCCAGAGAACCCAAAAGCAAGACGGCGCACAACACGCCTTTTTTGAAAAAAAAAAATGTGGTGTGGGCAGCTGCGCTCTGCACGAAATCGACGTAAGATCTTTACTGAAACCTCGTGCGCACTGATTGTATCATCGGCCACAATTCACCATAGCATGCTGTGTCAGCTACATCTACATTCTTCTAGTCGCTATTTCTGCTACTCCAATTAACTCTATCCCATCTTTCTAGTCGCTATTTATTCATGGGTTCTCGTTTAATTGGCTTGGCCGCAGAGGGAGCGAGGACGAAGCGAGGACGAACACCGTGCGACATGAAAACTAAACGACGGAGGGAGTTGACCAAAAGAGCATGAAAACGAAGATATGAAGATGACAGATGACAGATGGTGAATGATCAGTAAAATTGAAACATGATGAAAGATGGGTAGAGACTTCTCTGTACAAAAGCTTCTATGCGTAAAAGCTACTGTGTGTATATGCGTCTGTGCGTACAAGTTTCTTTGTGTAAAAGTTCCTCTGTGTAGAAGTTGTTTGTGAAAAAAACTGCTGTGTGTAAAAACTTTTGTGTGTAAACGTTTCTGTGTAAAAGTTTCTTTGCATAAAAGCTTCTGTATGTCTGTATGTAAGAGCTTCTGTGTGTAAAAGCTCCTCTGTGTTAAGGTTTTTGTGTGAAAGCTTCTGTGTGTAAAAGCTTCTCTGTGTAAAAGACTTCTCTGTGTCAAAGGCTCTGAGTGTACAAGCTTCTCTGTGTAAAAGTTCCTCTGTGTAAAAGCTCCTCTGTAAAAAAGCTGCTCTGTGTAAAAGGCTTCTCTGTGTAACAGCCTCTGTGCGTGTGCAAGCTCCTCTGTGTCAAGACTTCTTTGTGTAAAGATATCTCTGTGTAAAAACTACTCTGTGAAAAAGCTTCTGTGTGTAAAAGCTTCCCTGTCTAAACGCCTCTGTGTGTAAAGACTCCTCTGTGTAAACCCGTCTGTGTGTAAAAGCTCCTCTGTGTAAAGGTTTTTTGTGTAAAAGCTTCTGTGTAAAAGCTTCTGTGTGTAAAAGTTTCTGTGTGTAAAAGCTTCTGTGTAGTATAAAAAATCTTTGTGTAAAAGCTTCTGTGTATAAAATCTCCCCTGTGTGTACAAGCTTCGCTGCGTAAAAGCTGCTCTATGTAAAAGTTCTGTGCGCCGTAAAGTTGTCTGTTTGTAAAACCTTCTGTGTGTGAACGCGTCTGTGTGTGCAAGATTCTGTGTGCAAAAGCTCCTCTGCGCGAAGACTTCTGTGTGTAAACGCGTCTGTGCGCAAAAACTCCTCTGTGTAAAGACTTCTCTGTGTGTGCGTAAAAGCTTCTCTGTGTAAAAGCTACTCTGTGCAAAAGGTTCTGTGCGTAAAAGGCTTCTGTGTGCAAAAGCTCCTGTGTGTAAAGGCTTCTCTGTGTAAACGCTTCTGTGCGTAAAAACTCCTCTGTGTAAGACTTCTCGGTGTAAAAGCTTCTTTGTGTGAAAGCTTCTGTGTGTAAAAGCTTTCCTGTGTAAAAGTTTCCTTGTGCAAAATCTACTGTGTGTAAAAACTTCTCCCCTTACAGGCTTTTTTTGTGTAAAGCTTCTGTGTGTAAAAGCTGCTCTGTGTAAAAGTTTCTGTGCGCCGTAAGAGCCTCTATTTGTAAAACCTTCTGTGTGTAAACGTGTCTGTGTGTAAAAGCTTCTGTGTGTAAATCTCCTTGGTGTAAGGACTTCTCTGTGTAAAAGCGCCTCTGTGTCAAGACTTCTCTGTATAAAAGGCTTCTCTCTGTAAAAGCCTCTGTGTGTACAGGCTTCTCTGTGTCAAGACTTCTCTGTGTAAAGACTTCTGTGTAAAAGCTACTCTGTGCAAAAAAGCTTCTGTGTGTAAAGGCTTCTGTGTGTAAACGCGTCCTTGTGTCAAGACTCCTCTGCGTGTCCCCCCAAGCTATTTCCACGCTTCACAGTCCATCCACGCTTGTCCGGCGCTCCTGTCTCGCTCCCTCCAGCGGAGATCCTGCCAAGCTATTTCCAAGCAATTTCCAAGCTTTCCACTCCGTCCGCGCTCGTGCCTTCCTCCTTCCTTCCTTCCTTGCTCGTCCGGCTATTCTGTCTCGCTCCCCTCGCGGCGGAGGAACCTAAACGAGAACCCAAGCATCGGAGATGCTTTTGGGAAAAATGGAATGGAAGTCTGTACCCAAGGGGTCACAACTAGCAACAAAATATTGGGTTGTCAACCGACCAAGTCCAAGTGACAAGACCATGGACAAACACACAGCTGCCCACCTGTCGCATGCGGAGGCCACTTTAAAGAAGGCACTTCACCCAAGCAGTTTGAGAATGTCTGAGTACAACTCCCAGCAAATAAAGATGGGTATGGGTCAAAACCCTCGTACTCTGGTGTGAACCCCCAAATAGCTGGCGCATGTTGACCCCAAATTAAATTGTATGACGAGTATTGGTCCATCCCCAGATTGATCTTTACATATTTCTACTTGAAGGACAAGCCAGTCCTAAATCCTCAGCGCATCACTCGGTCATCCCACCATACCTGGAAGCCTAGCCATACATTGACCTCCCTGCAGAAAGAGATGTTGCTCGAGAAGCAGTCGTTGCTTATTATTTGGGTTTCCAGGCTACTTGAAAATGATGCGGGGGTCTCACGTTCTCTTCTCAAGCGCAGTATCAAACATTACTCACCCAAGTACTCAAACTCTGGCTGGAGGTGTACGTCATGAGCCCTGAAAAAAAAAGAGCGTCTCCCTAGAGGTGAAAGTGAAGGGGCCCAATCTTGAAACTCGCCAACTGGCTACCATTCATGCTTCCAATCCACCACAATCGCCTCCAAGCTTTGGGAAAGCACCGCCATGGCTCTGCCACTTGCTGACAAGGTGAATTCCTCTAAGTCCTAGCCGTCCTTCTTTATTGAGACCCTCCGCACAAGGTGCCCGAGACTTAGTTGAGGTGGTTTGACACTACATTAGCTGTTGGGTTTGTGGTGAACTTATATGTGTGTATATCTATATATATACATATATATATATATGTATAAAGTTACAGTAGATAGACCAACTTATAACTCGGGGGCCGGCCTTGCATATGTCATCAATATGAAAATTGCCTTAAACATGTGTAAATGCCAACGACTGACAGCCAGAGCATGAACACCACTGGCTGGCTAGTTAAGAAAAGAGACTTCTTGGGCTCTCTGCAATCTTGAGCAAGTTGGCATCTGAGACGTGTCGATCAATCAGAAAGTGTGCCCTCTCCACGGTCCTTACTCCGAATGTCATCAAAATAGCAGCATCAACGTCCCGTTGGCCAAATGAAGTCCAAATCCATGAGCCATTTCAAGGTAGAAGGCAATCTGCAATCTGCACTTCACCGTGGGTCCAAAAATTTCCGCAGAAAACAAGTTACCAACGACGATACAAAATTGGTCATGTTGTATATGTATAAAGAGTGCACGAAACCTTCCCTTTTTATACCCACTCCGCAGCGAGTTTGTTAAATAGAAAGATAAAATAAGGAGAAAGATTTCCAGATAGGTAATCCGACAAGTGTGCCAGGCCAAACCCTCAGCACACTAAAAATAAACTCCGAGCGAGGATGAGCCAGGCCAACCATCCATCCCCCAATTGATAGAGAATTCATCTCTTCTGTTTGATTTTCCTCTTCAGCGCCTATGACGCTTCATGGAGGATTTCCTCTTTGATCCTTTCGATCCTTTCTTCACTTGAATCTTTCCAAAAAAAGGGGGGGGAAAGGGAAGGGAGCTGAGAGCCAACACTACGGGCATAAAGAAGAAGGTCGAGACACTCTTTACCCTCGGGGGCGTGGAGACAAAGAGTGCACGAAACCTTCCCTTTTTATACCCACTCCGCAGCGAGTTTGTTAAATAGAAAGATAAAATAAGGAGAAAGATTTCCAGATAGGTAATCCGACAAGTGTGCCAGGCCAAACCCTCAGCACACTAAAAATAAACTCCGAGCGAGGATGAGCCAGGCCAACCATCCATCCCCCAATTGATAGAGAATTCATCTCTTCTGTTTGATTTTCCTCTTCAGCGCCTATGACGCTTCATGGAGGATTTCCTCTTTGATCCTTTCGATCCTTTCTTCACTTGAATCTTTCCACGTCCCCCAGTTCTTGAGGGAACCGAAGGCTCAAGTGTGGATAAGGTGAAACGTGTGCGCTGTTGGGAGAAAAAATGGAGAAAAGGAGCCAGGGAGGGACGGGAAGGGGGCAAAGCAAGTTCCGCAAGCACAGACAGACCTTCATTAATGTAGATCCTTGCGGTTTTGGGTGCTTGCCAGCGACCCTGAAGCAAAATTTTGTCCATAGAATGGTGCTTCGCAAACCAGAAAGTAGCGCCACCCCGGCGCAAGCTGTAGGGTCGAAATTGAAACTGCTCAAGCTTCAAGGCAGCAAGGGCTTCGTTGAACAAGGCCCGCCATTTACCAGGACTCGAGGCTAACGGGGTATTGTCAGACGCGAGAGACTTCCAGTGTTGGATGAATTTAACCACCATATCATAACCAATCACTGCGCTTTCAGCGGCCCCGGCCCGTTTACCTCCTTTGGTAAGACCCAAGGAGAGAATATATAATCCTGGAGGCTGCAGCATCAATGAAGACTTGAGAGGCTCGGAGAGCCAGAATTTCCCCTGTACGAAGCATTCCATAATAACCTAGTAGAAGCGAGACCCCAAAGGTGAATCGCTGATGGAAAAATGCCCATCCTACCATAGCATGAAGCACATGTGATGGCAAGGGGGGGGCCCTGCAAGGAATCTCGTTCAGGGCCCATGTCTTAAGGAGCCGCCAGGCTCCCAATAACTGACCCCGCAGACGGACATCGAAATCCTGCAGACCAGCAACCGTATCACTGGCCATGGCCCGACCTTGACCCGTGCTCCACAGGTGTTCAAGGTAATCACAAAGGAGAGGATCAAGCTTCTCCCTTTGCCTAGGAAGTTGCAAATCATTGTCCCGTAGGAATTGTAAAAAACCATCGATTGCGCGTTCATACCTCTGTTTCGTCGCTGGTTGCACTGTCAGATCTTTTAAACTGCCCAACTTTTGTCGCTGTCTTGCCCGGTCTGCTTGTGTAGCTGCTTCCAAGTGCCTTTTAGGCATGAACCTTCCGAAATTTGGTACGAACCCGTCGCCCCCAACGACTGGGGCGATCTGCCGGGTTCTGGTCCGTTTGGATATAGCCCCACAGGGCCTGATTTGAGCTACAAAGCAAGAGGGCATTGATTCGCGACAGGGTTGAGCGCAGCTTACGGCTGCTGGATCTCCCACGCGACAGCGCGTGTAAGACCACAAGTGAATCCACTAGATGCAAAAAGCGGCCTTTGATCTGCTTTTGGTGCTGGATTCTCCACTTGAGTGAAGTCAGCACCGCTCTCATCTCGAGAGCATTGATGTGTTCGGGCGTGCCTTTCCACGACCACCCGGCAACGATCTGCCACTTCCAAAGACGTCCTGGGATGGACGTACGCAAACGATGGAATTTGGTGAGCTGGCTTGAGGCGGTGGAGAGTAGGATGTCCTCTCCTTTCACGCTCACCAGCTGTCCCAACTTTTGGACCAGGCGCTCCCCGCCCTTAGGCGTCGGCCCGCGCAAAGGCCGTAGAGTGGAACGCCACAACCTGGATTGTAAATAGGTTTGGTGCTCAGGGTTGACAAAATTGATGATCTGTTGTGGAGTGTAAGCTGGACATAGACCCAAAGGTCCGCACAACTGCCCCAGCAGCCAGGCGACCACTGGCACGCTCCAAGTGTTCCCAATCAGTGTGTGCCTTGCATCCTGATGCTGAGGAGACCCCCTCCCCTGTTTGGGCCAGCAGCAAGCCGTGTACCCTACCGGAAAACCAAGCATGTACTCTTTCTCCTCGATGGAGGGTAAGCGCAAGGAATTGTGCTTATTGATGAGCAAATTCTTGGATGCGTATTGGTATGGCGGGTACCTGTAAGAGTCACGCTCCCAGCGTGCCAGGTCTTCATAGCTGCATGATTGCACACCCGCCGGCTTGTGCCCAGGACGCGACCTTGGCCTGGAGGTGGTAAAGGTTGGAAAGGGCCGTGACGGATCGACCTTGATCCACCCCTCCTGGCAGACTTCTTCCAAGTCTTGGTAAGCCTCCAAAGTCACCTCCCTAGGAGCGTCCCCGCTCCCCGCCTTGAATGCAACCCCTTGCTGTGCAACCAGCTCCCAGCTGATCCAGTACAGCCGAGGACGGCTTGTCCAAGAGAGGGTCCCAGCGTCACACCGCCAGGGCTCATCCCCGTAGTCTGCTGTCATGATGTCCCTATCAAGCTGATCCATGGAAGCCACGCTTTCCATGAGGCAGTGGACTTGACACCAAGGAAAGGAGCGTCGAAGTAACTGCCAGATACGCTTGACATGCGGGAAGAGACCGGAACGCTCATCACGCAGTGCACCTTTGCGTTGTGCGTTGAGGCCACTCACCCCTTGACAGGGCGGACCCGCCCCGAGAAGTACGAGTGAAGCCTGAGAATAATCTCTGGCCCAGGTTTGGACCTCATCTTCCTGGATGTCAGCAACATCTGAAAAATGAACAGCTTCCGGGAAATGGGCAGCGACGACCCGCTGAGCGACTTTGTCCTTTTCCACACTGATGTGACCTATGATTTGAAGCCCGAGCAGATCACAAGCGACCCTAAGTGCTGCAATGCCGTCAAAGAGGCCTACCGTAAGGACTCGGTGCTCCTGACGAAGCTCTGGAAGTTGTCCGCGGAGGTGGCCCTGCGCAGCCAGGCTACCAGCCCGACTGAGCGCGACAGAGGCGCACAGGCCGCCCCCAGTAGTTGATGCATCGCTACAGGTTACCTGCTCACTGTACTCAAGCCTGAAATCAAGGCGGGCTAAAGGCAACAGACCGACAAACCGTAACAGTTCGACGCGGCATGCCTGAGGTAGCCTCATCGTGTGTACCTGCTTGTGCTCAAAAAGCTCGATGAACTTCCATACCGCGTTGAGGCACCCAAGGAGCTGTCTCCTGAACATGGCCACATAGACCAGGCCGCCACACACCACCTGCATTTGCTTTTGGGTGACCGTTGGAAGCTCCAACAGAGATAATGTAGCTGCCAGGTACTTCAGGAGTTTACTCTCCCGCGGGTAGGCCACACCCAAGCACCCGTCTACCTGCGCCCCCTGAACCTCTGCAAGCTGACCTCGTTCCACGGCTTTCTTGGTGTTGCGGGGGATGTCCCAGACCTCATACTCTTGGCGAGGGCCAAGACGGCCGGTGACAAGGACCCGGCCAGAGTCACCAAATCAACCGACTTGACCTTTTCCAACAGGTCATAATTGTCAAGGTAAATGCGCCAAGCCGGGTTGGCTACTGTTACCGCCCGGTCCTTCCGGATTTCGGCCTCTGGAGCGGCCACTTCAGTGCCAGACCCAGCCGGCTGGTCACTGCTCCAGAGTGTCAAGTTCCGGTGGACATGCTGAGCGAGGCTGACTGAATTGGCGAATCCCATCGGGAGTACCCGTGACGCCAGGTAGACCTCGTCATCCCTCATGTCAGCAGGGAGACAACATGCAGGAACGAGACGATTGAAAGCCATAAACTTGTACCAAGCCGGAGGAACAGACATGGTGTAGAAAAAACACCGTACATCCTCGCTACTGATAAGCAAGCTTTCGTCCGGTTGTAGGAAGAACGGGTTCATCAAGGACCACATTGGCAATGTGTCGACATCGCCTTTCAGCGGTTCGGCGATGCCGTTAAAGGGGGTTAAGTTCATTATTAACCTAAAGACCTCACAGCCATCCACCCATTCGTCTTTGGTCACTCCAAAGAGGCCATTTAACAATGGCTGTCCATCCACCTGGAAAACTTCACTGGACCTTAAGAAAGTGCAGACACCAGCCCGCACCAAGCCAGTGCACACTTCCGCCCAGGCGGCCTCAGCCACCATGACGCGTGGGGGTCTGCGTTTTTCCCACCGTTCGGGTGGTCTGATAAAGAGGTCAAGGTTTTCCACATAATGACGGGCTCCTAGAGTACACACCTCCGCCAACGGCACACAGCCAACTTCTTTGGGCAAAGCTGGAGCTATGTTACGCCAGGTAAACTCTCTTGCCGTCTTGATTTCATCTCCTTTGTAATCGATCCCTCGAGTGCTAAAGAACCCGTCCCAGTCAAACTGTTCAAGCTTGCCAGACAGGGACACAAACCGCACAATGTCTTTCACAATCCAATCCAAACAGCTCTTGGTCACATCGTTGACATCGCCATCAAAGTGCAACTCATTCCCCCACAGGGAGTTCAAACTCATGCACACACTGGACAACCAACCAACTTCAAAGGCAGAGAGGTCAGGAAAAACACCCAACAGTAAACTACTAGAGGTAGGTAGGGGGAATAAGGTGGTGTGTGTCCGCCTACCCATGTGCTGGCTGCGGAGTGGAAGCACCTCCAGCAGCCACTGTTGGATTTTCAATCCTACATCTACCAACCTACTACCCAAGAGGTTGCCCAGCCTTTTTTCCAACCCTTCACGAGTTGATCCTGGCAATCCCTCAGCACTGTGGCCCTGGTTTTCAAAAAATACCGGGTCACCTAAAGAAAGTGAATGAGATTTCACTGGAAAAAACTTCGTCGGAAGGACAGCCACCGGGTCGGCAGCTGTGTCACTTCCAACGGGAGAAACATTTCCCTCAGCGCGTACGGCTGAAGCAACTGGAGAAGACATCGCCTCGGGGACAGGCACTGTGCCCAAAAATCCACCTGGGGCGGCATAGGAGCGAGCTTCGTCCTCCCGAAATTGCATGCATCCCGCTCCCGGCCCAGGAGCGTTCATAGCTGCCTTGTAGGCTCCTCCATCCGAGTGCACCAAACCATTCATCCCTTCTTCTCGCCCCCCTTCCCTTTGTCTCGCCTGTTCTCGTCCTTCCTGTCGTCCTTCCCTTGATGATCCTTGCCTTTCGTCTTGCCCTTGGGGGCTCCCTTGATCCCGGAGGACTGACTTTGCCACTTGGCCCGAGCGTCCAAGTAGCTCTCCTTCTGGGCTGACTGAAGTTCCCCCCTCGCGAGAAGAGCCGTGGTCTCTCCAGACGCGAGCTCCACTTTCTGGGCCACTGCCCAGTGGGTACCAGCCAACGTTGCCTCCTGGGCCTTTAGACGCTGGCAAAGTATATCGACCGCCAGCGCTGTCTTCCCTCTGAGTAGGGTGTCTATCGTAGTTGCCAGCGTCAATAACTCTCTTGCTTGCGGTCCACTTGCCTTTTTCGCCAGGACATTCCGGAAGTAGAGGAAAGCTATTGGACTTGTGTCCTTTTGGTCGCTTTCTTCGCCCGCTGTTGTCAGCAAGCTGCGACGCATGCTCAGGAGCGTTTCCAAACCCAAGTCTCCCGGATAGCGCTCGGCGATCACCTTGGTCTTCGTCTCCTCGGAAAACACGCCGTCCTGGCCCGCACCAGCTGACCCCGTCGAACTGCTGGTCTCGCTGCTGTCGGGGCTGCTGCTGGAGCTGGACCGCCTCTTTTTGCGCGAGGCCAGCTTTCGGGCACGCCTCAACACCCGTTTTCGGACCTTCTCCCTGGGGTCGAGGCCCGTGCCGGCGTATAAGAGGCTCAAGTCCTTTTGGACCGCCTTGCCCGCTTTCCGACCGCTGACTAACTCTTCGGTCTTGTCCTTCTTCTTTTTCTTGTCCTTCTTTGACTTCTTGTGATCCCTCTCTTCTGCCTGCTGTCGGACTTCGAGGTCGCCCCCGGGTGCCACATCTTCCCGGGGTCGCCGCTCTCGCAGGAGCTCCTGCTCCCTCTCCCTCAGTTTGGCCAGATCGTCCTCTCCGCCCTCGCGCGGGGGAGCTAACGCCCGGACCCAGCCTTCTTCGCCCTCTGCCTTGGTCTGTCGTCCTCTCAGGGCGTGTACGAGGAAGTCGCCGCTTTCGATCTGGCTGCACCCCGGTGGGCAGAGGTGCAGCCTGAACTGCTGTGTCTTGTCCCCCGTGTGGGCTCGTAGGACGTTTTCGGAGTCCGTCCCCGTCAGGTCGAGGCAGACGTAGACAGCATCCCTTTCCACTTGGACTCGGGCTATCGTACCTGCAACTTTGGTCGGTGCTCCAAAGTAGTCCCCCTGGGTGACAACCAAGGATAACCCTGGTCGAAGCTGCCCCAGAGGAATACGATGCAGGTCCACTTCCTGCCCCGCACTCCACGGGTCCTCCGCCTCTTCTGCCGCGGCTGGCCTTCTTAGTGCGCCTCTCCTTCTGCCCGGGGCCGGGGCGCCACCGCTAGAGCGGCTGGCCGGCGCCTCACCCCCGCCGGCCTGGCGTGGGCTTTCGCCTTTGGTTTGGCTTTTGGCGCCATCCCCTCTGCCACTTGAGGTTGCGCCTCTCCTCAATCTTCTTGCGGGTGAACTCACGGGCCCGCTGTCGCTTCTTGGCCCCCTTGGTCCCTCTTTCTCGGGACCTGGATCGCTTGGCCGGTCGCCGTGGGATGGGCCTGCGCCCCTCACTGTCCACGTCGTCTTCCCGATCAGCTTCGGCCTCCGGCCTCCGCTCAGGAGTCAACGGGCGGTGAGACCCTCGACCGTCAGGAGCGTCAACCTCCTCCCGACTCGATCCCTTGTGCGCCACAGGACGCCGGTCCCGACAAGTCGACGCTTTGGGAGCTGGGTAAAGCGCCAAGTGGCTTGTCAAGAAGGCCTGGTCCCTCTCTGCAGCCTCTCCTTTTCGCGTCCTCCTCTCTTCTCTTCGTGCCTGCTTGTTCGACCCAGGAGCGTTCTTAACCGTCTCCCTCCGGTCGTCACTCTGGGCGTGCCCTTCTTTCTTCCTCTGTTCTTGCTTGTCCTGAGACCTGTCCCTTTCTGGCCTCGGACCGGTGTCAGGAGCAGATGCCACTGCTTCCCGGACTGAACTCTCACGAGTTGCGTCCTCTGTTTTCTCCTCTTTGACCTTTTCCACAACCGGGGTGTCTGTCTCCTTTTCTTCCTCCTCAGAGTCCTCCTCAGAGTACAGGCTATCGTCTCCTGCTTTTTCTGCTTCCTTTGCAGGAAGTGTAGGCCCGGAGGTAAGGCCCTGCGTCTCCTCCTTCCCCAGGTGGCTGGCCGATTCCCTTCCCTTGGGATTGCACGCCTCGGCCAGGTCTGAGAGCTCACCCGCGGCTCCCCTCAAGACCTCTACCACCCGCCTTTGCTGCCCCTGGAGGTGACCAGAGCGCAGCAAGGCAATGATCCGAGCGACTGCCCGGCAACCTCCGCAGACAGGTGCTCCTTCAAACACCCGACACTCTGCGCACAACATACAGCTGAGAGCCAACACTACGGGCATAAAGAAGAAGGTCGAGACACTCTTTACCCTCGGGGGCGTGGAGACATGTATGTATGTTTGTACATATACATACATATATATATATATATGTGTGTGTGTATGTATATATATACATATACGTAAGTATATATATATCATATATGTGCATATATAATTATATATATATTATTTTATACATGTATAATATTTATATTGTATTATATTCATGTATAGTATTCTTATGATGATCATTATTACTAGTAGTAACATCATTATTAGTAGTATTATTCCTTATTACTATGTGTATAATAAATATAAACATCCCAGAAGCTAGATGTAGCATGCCTCCCTTTTCTGCACTCAGCTGCGGGGCCGACGTCCAAATCCACGCGCCTCAGGGCTCATAAACCCCTGGGGGATAGTTGATCCTGGGGTCACAGAATGGTTTGGTGGCAAAGTCTGCAGCCACCTTTCTAAGTGAGGTTATGCAATTCCACAATCACATCGACCCAAGGAACCATTTAATCCAATCAGTAGTTCCAGAAGCCAAGAAAAGCTCGCACTGTTCAACCCCTGAATTTTTTTTAGCAAGAAACCCATCATGCTCTGGTTCGGTTTTTAACCCCTTTTCACTGGCCTTTCAGCGGGTTGCACACCGAAATCTCTCCATTCTTGGGGTTGTTTTGTTCGTGATCTTCAATTCTTCAATCCATGAGGCCATCCTCGATGCAATCCTTGGTTGTACCAAAAAAAAATCTATGTTTTGCGTGTAAATCTCCCCGACCTTGCTTCCTTGACTTTCCGCCTCCACCCGAGCCTTGTGCGGCGCCGACAGGCTGTCGGCCTTGTTTTTGGCGGCGACCTTGGGGGATTCCGACTCCAGCTTTGAGGTGACGATCTCCAGCAAACCTCAGGGGCGGACCATGGTGACTGGAGATTCACCATGACTTAAGGAAAAAAAAACATATGAATCTGTGAATGTGTAAATGTACCATGTATAATCATGTATAATCATGTACATCTATATCTCTTTCATGAACATTTACATCTCTGAATGTATTTATGTATATGTATGCAATATTTTGTGCAAGATACAGTCTTTAGCTATTTCTGTGGTCAAAACATGACATATGGGGTATGGTCATCCATCATCATTAGGGAGTCCAAATTAATTCCTATTTATATATGATTAGAGGGATTACTACACTCCTGAATTCTATCGTGGAACTGCATGCTATTCCTCAAGTCCACTAACATGGCACCTTGGCACCATGGTACGGTGAGGAGTGGATAATAAAATCACTCCAAAACTGACATCCCAATGCGGGCCGAATCCAAACTGCACTGGCATCTCTCAGGGTGCCGGACTCCGCAGGGAGGGTTGGCCTTTCACATTCCTCTTGGCCAACAGCTTACCAGTCAGGGCACGCTCCTTTGCGGTCCTGAGGAATCTGGGAAAAGGTGAATCCAAAGCAGTGCGACCGTCACGACCTATCGGCTTGTTGTTTCTGGCACTGCCAACGGCCATATAGTCACAGTACAAACCCAGGGATCCATCCTGAAACAAAGACCCACGTTTGACTGGATTGGTCGCTTGACAAGGCCAACTACTTCAGCACTTTTAATTTGGGGATACTGTCCACGGTGTACCCCTCATAAATCAGGTTTACTTAAGCCAGCCATCTGTGTTGGGTAAGATCCCCATGTTGATCATGTCAAAGTCACAGGTAAAGGGTTTTGCAAAATAATGATAGTTGTTGCCCCAAAAAAAAACAGTGTTTTCGTCATGGAAATTGCCAATTTTGCATGACAACTTGGAGACCATGACTACGGAAACCACCAGATAGACACAGAAAATGACGGAAAGCGGCTGCTTCTTCTTGCGGTTTCTTTCCCGCTTCTCCTTGCCAAATCACCAAAAGCACATATGCCATACGCCCACATATCCCGAGTTTGGGTGTTTTCCCACTCGAGAACTGTTCATTCGATCTGTGCCACCAAGCCTTGGATGCCTTCGTCTGTCACGTTAACCTCCCGCCATGATTCCTACGGAGCCCGGGCCCTAGCACCTCTTCGCGTTGATGGATGGCGGCTGCTTTGGCCGCTTGGGCTTCTTCATAGGCTTTCAACTCCCTGAAGGCTAGGGAAGCCCATGGTCAGCGACATAGTCAGGTCAGTTTCCCCTGGTTTCCCTGGTTTGGGAGAATCCCAAGGAAGTGATCCGGGAAAAACTGAGACTTGCAGCTACCCCATGAAATTCACTGGTTCCTGCCACCAAGCGCCCGTCCTTTGAAAGCGAGTTGCTTGAGACGCCTCACGCCGCTTTCTGCATCCAAGAAAGGGATGAATCCACCATGGTTTGGGATTTATGGGGACGCAATGAGCAATGCTTAGTATGGGGCAGGGCCATCAGTGTACTACCTGACTGCTAATATGATTAATATGTGAGATCGAAACATGTCGAAACTGTTTCGTACCCAAGTTTGGTTTTGCCGCACAGCTGTAAGACTCAAGTTACTTCACTTCAGATGCTGCCGAAGGTGTATTGCCAAGATCCAACCAAATTCAGGACATAAGTTGCAGCGAGATACCGTTTGAAACTGGAGCAGTTTGATGCATCTGGCAAAGTCCCAAAGACTTAGAATTTACAGTTGTTGGTTACACACCCATGTTTGCTTGTTAAATGACGCTGTCCCAAAATGTCAAAGCCCAAAATCTCATTCTATCACCATGTTTTTCACGCATTCCCTATTCTGAGACAAACCCTGGGAAATATTGGATTCATTCAAATACCCCATTTCTGCAGTGCCTTCGCTTTCTTTCCGCGTGATTTCTTCTTTTCCGTGGGCTTTCTGGCTGCCTCTCCTGGCCGAACAAAAAATGGACATGTTCAAAAAAAAGTGGGTTCAAAGGTGTGCAAACCGCTCCCGGGAAACACCACCAGTGTTATTCAAGAAAAAATTGGATTTTGGTTCACTCCCATCCATGGAATCCATCGTGCTGGTATGCCAACATGTCAGAACAATCACCCAATGATGCCAGGAATATACCGTGATCTTCCATGGACGGCATGGGGTTGATGGCATTTGTTCTGCAGTACTTTGGCATTTTGTGAGGAAAACAACAAACCACAAGCCACGTGAATGAAAAAGACTGCACTGCACTCACAGCATCCTTGCGGCATATGGTGTTGCCATTTTTTTCAATTCGATTCACTTTCCAAAAGGATCAATCCGCTACTAATATCTATTAGTTTGGCATAAAGACAGGTGCTGATCGCGGAAGCGGTGAACGAGGGAATTCACAAAAGTTACACCGCCAAGAGACCCCAAACAATATGGGGTAGGAAGTCAATGCGCCAGATACAATCAACAGTCTGTATGGAACAGTAATAAACCATGTGAGAGCAGCAGGAACTTGCTTGGCCTGGCACACGAAGCAACGTTGTGTCTAGTCATCAAGACCTCACACCAGAACTTCATACCAGGACCAGGACATCTAAGAAAATTTCAAATTCAAAAAATCGTCAAGAAGTGCCTTCAAGAGATCTTCAGACAAGAACTTCGTATGACCGTCCCAGAAGAACTTTCATACAAGCACCAACGCAAAGCATCTTCAAGATCTTAACCTCTTGAGGAGGATGTCAACAGGATCTCCACAAGATCTTCGCACAAGGACCTGCACAAGATCACGCACGGACCACTTGAAGGATTTCGCCAAGCTCTCTACAAGATCTTCTCACAAGGAATTATCAAGGACCGCGACCAAGATCTTCATGCCAGGACCCCGAAGAGAATCCCACAAGATCGTCATAAAAGGACCTGCTGCTGCTAGAGAGAACCTTGCAAGATCTTGACACAAGAAACTCCCATGAGCATCCCAGAAGAGCTGTTTTACAAGCACCTCTAAGACATGACATCTGCAAGATCTTCGTGCAAGGACCGCTTAGAGAGGATCTTGCCAGGATCTCCACAAGATCTTCTGACAAGGACGTGTACAAGAGCATGCAAGGACCTCTGTGAGGATACTTCACAAGGATCTCCACAAGAGATTCTGACAAGGAGATGCGCAATATCATGCAAGGGCCTCTTAGAGGATGTCAGCAGGATCTTCACAAGATCTTGTCATGAGGACCTGTACAAGATCATGCAAGGACCTCTGACAGAGGGTCATCAAGATCTTCACAACATCTTCTCACAAGGACCTCTCCAAGACCTCGGTCCAGATCTTCATATATTACGGACCTGTGAGACTGCACCATGAAACTCTTGCAAGGTCATGAAAGTTTGGAAGGACCTTCCAAAGAACTCACAGGATCTCTTTACCAGAATCTCACGGAATCAGCTAAATTCAGCACCGCGCCAAAACCAGAGCGATCCGACACGCACAAAGTGCCAAGAAGGTTGCGGGAGCCATGTCAAAATTCGCACCACGCCACAACGAGAGCGATCCGACGCGCCCAAACTGCCGAGAAGGCTGCGTGAGCGATATCAAAATTCGTAGCGCACTACAACAAAAATCATCATGTCCAAAATCAAATATTACAACAGTTTCACAAAACGCGGCTTTCGACCCTGTCAAAACGTCGTCCAAGTTCACCAAATAGTCCTGCCACGAAAAACGACTTCCAAACCCATCTCTCATTTTGACCCACGCCTGCAAAGGTTTTAGCAACGTGCCGGAAGTACCACGCCTGCCATGCGGATGGAAAAGTGTCCGCACCTGGCACGCAAAACGACGTTTCAGACCTGCAAATGTCCCGAAAGTGCCGCGCCTGCCACGAAAAATTTACATAGCTCAAAAAACGAGCACGGCGTGCTAGTAAAACGACACCTTCGGAAGAGCCACAACCGCGGCGCTCATCTTGTGCGAGCTAACGCAGTCGAAATGCACATGGACATCTCAAGGGAACTTTTGTGCGAGCCTGCGCAGACGAAACGAGCAACCCACAGAGCGTAGCCTGATCTAACCCCGGCCTTTGACTCTTACCGTTAAAAGCTCTCAGTGTGGACACACTGTTTGGGGAAAAAACATCAGCTTGGATCGGCCTAAGACTCCCAGACTCCCAAAACATCTTTCTTTTGGCCCAGACCCTGGTGATTGTTGCGACCCAACCTGCTTCGGGCTTCTCAGTCACCTTTGGTTCCGAAACAACCTCCTTCTCTCGTCGCCTCGACGTCATGGGTATGTCAGAGGGAAACAATTCAGACAAACGGCTTAAAGAATCCTCAAACTTTCCAGCCAGGGACAAAAACATGATTTGCAGTATGGGTCAAAATCCTGGTGCCTGGTTAAACTCAAAAATGGCTAGTGAATGGATGTTCATGTTCATCCCCTACAAATATGGTATAATGGGTTTGATCATGTTTGACTCATCCTGATTTGACAGAAAATGAGTGGCTTTGGATCTCGAAAACTTTGATGTACCTCTTCTTTCCTCGGCGTGGAGCTTTCTCCTGCATGATCAGAGGAAAGATGGGACCCTTGACTATCGGGAAGTTCCAAATACCTCACCCGAATTAACGGCATCAGTCTGGTGGATCAATACGAATCATGACAAGGAGTTGATTGGGACTCTGGATCCCTATGTAATGGGTTTGTATGAAATTTGGCGTAGCCCTAAATCCATTGGTGAGTCAGTCCCTATCTAAAATTGCCATTTTGGGGTATACACCCTGTGGCCTTTGCTGCCGATGAAGGGCCTGCACTGGCCACACCTGCAAGGTGGACATGGGGACCCGGCAAACACATTCTTGCACCAGTATGTGTGTACCTGGCATATACATACATGTCATAGATATCACAAATGTCACATCTACCATATATGTATATATATATATATATCAATCAATCAATCACTCACTCACTCACTCAATCAATCAATCAATCAATCAATCAAACTGATCTGATATGATCTGATCTAATGCAATCTAATCTAATCATATTTAATCTATCCAATCGAATCGAATCATATCTGCTTATCTATCGACATCGTGGTGCTGTCTGCGTCCCGGCCCGTGGCTCGTTTTTTTAGCTTCCTTTCGCTGAACTTCGGCACCGGGACTTCACCGAATTCCATGGCGAAGATGACGAGGCGACTGAGCTCGTGGATGGGCTCGCAGCGACATTCGGAGATCACGTGGTGGGTCAAGTTACCCCCTTTGTAAACATCAAAATAGCTGGTCAATGGATGGTAATCCCATGTAATCCCCCTAATTATGGTCCCATATGTTTTGACAAAACACCCATGTGAGTCATGTCATGTCATAATGTAAGTCATGTGCCATACAGAGCTACAGCTGATTTCCATGGTGATATCACAAGTCCACGAAGCGATTTCCATGGATTTTCGGGATTTCCAAATGGACACTTCCCAACCAACGGAGGCTCCCTCGTGTGGCACACGCCTTTCTGGTGCCACCGTTGAGACGCCTTCGCCCCAACGGAACCTGTGCATCGCGTCGCGTCACGCGTCGCATCAGCGGAGCAGGGACGGCTGCGACTTGCTGCGGGTCGACTTCACGGGCTCTGCTGGCAATCCCCAGAATCCACAATCCCCAAGCATCCAGCACTCCCAAGCACCAGATGTGTTCACCGTTGATCATGACAAATCCATTAGTCAAGGCTGTCCATAGCCTGACCCTAATTGTTGATTCGGGAATCATCTACTTCCACAACTGTTCCAACCTGAACCCCGCCGCCGGCTGATGCATTCCACGCGCATTCGGCTCAGATTGCAGGAAAGATAGAGGCGCGAGGCGCTGACCGATTCACAGAAACTGTGTATCAATGGACAAGACAGAGGGTTTTTTCAACTGGCTAAATCAGGATACTCCCCCAACTAATCAAACAACTAGCAAGGCTGGCTGATTGAATATTCTACTGAATTATACTTTAACTATCTTTAAATGACCAATTTTCTGGGTCCATTGCTACCCCAAGTTTAAGCACAAATCCATAAGATCATCGTCAGCATCCACAAGCCAAGCGCCCCTTTGCCCCTGGTTCTGGTTTGATCACGGCCTTGCAGTTGCAATCAAAGTTGCGGCACTTACCCTCCAGTACTCAAACATGTCAATGTGCGCCCCCCGTTTCACTCCAGTTTACGTAGGATTCCCCAAAAGGTAGTAATTATATATATATATTGCCCAGGATTACCGTAGCATACCGTAGTAAACCACCAGTTTACTAATATTGGAGGGACCAATTCTATCGGGAATTGATCACTCTTTTGCAGGTAAACCTCAACACTTTATCAACGGAGTTTAGTCTATGAATCCAGGCCTCACATTTTCATCTCAATAAACATGATTACTGATTGATATCCTCAGAATTCCCAGTGCAAAATCATGGCTGGTGTCCCCATGTTCGACGGCCATGATCACTTCAGAATCAGAGCAACGGGCAGCGTCGCACTTTGCCAGGGCCGCAACTCTCCTGCAGGGTCCAGGCAGAGGATGCCCCAAAAAAATGGGTACTTGTCCTACTCAAATCATGGGTAAAATAATGGCAAATGACTTTTCTATCTTTTGGGGGGTTCTTATGAATACCCTTGTGTCATCGTGTCAGTACGTCACCAAGACCCACCCAAGGCTGGCCTAAAAGCCCACAAGGCTGCCGAGTTCCCTTGGGCCATGGGCAAAGCTGCAGTGACTGCCGCGACTACAGCTGCCTCACGGTGGAGAGCCCATCTGGTTCAGAGTGCTAAAAACCTGTTATAGCTTGTAGCAATCCCTATTTAAGGAGCTGGTATAATTCCAATTCTATAGCCAGAATCCACCACCAAGGGTCTTTTTAGTGGCTCAAGTTGCAAACTCAAGTAAACAACTCGGTTAAAAATGGAGGCCATTGTTCCGAAACCGCTGGACATTTTCTCCTTGAAAATAGACCGAGCTGACATTGAGTACATTGAGTACATAGCATCTGAGTTTTTGGAACTTCCACGAATGACGTTCTCCAAAAATTGAGGGCGACTCCACACATTGGCCTTCCAAAAAGTCAGCACATAGTTTGGTCTTCATAGGTCCGAAGAACCAGCCTTTCCCAAAGCCATTCCTGGAAGTCACAACCCTTAGGCCATTGGGCGACCCATCGGGCGACCCATGGGATCACAATCCAGTGCGTCCATTTGAGTGATGATTATCATTATTTTACCCAGGTATCATTATTGGGGATTATCATCTGGATTGTGATAATTGGATCTTACCCTGCTGTGATCATTATGTACCCTGCAGTGCGTGTTTTTCATTATTTTGATTATTGGGAATTAAATTAAAATGGATTTTGAGAAGCCCCATAAAATGGATTACTACCATTTTTTGGGGGGGGGGATTATTATAATCCTATTGATCCCCAACTGAATGGAATGTCGTCGTGATTATGTCCTTCGGTTTTTTGTAGTGTGGCGAGACACAAAAAGAAGATGAGCGGGGTCAATGGGATCCCCAAAATGAACCTTGATCATCCTCAATAGATTGGGTACACAACTCCTTACAATCATCAAGCAACTGGGGTAGCGGATCTAGCAATACCTTTTTATAACTCAAGATTAAGGGAACACACAGACAGAGATTCTGGTCTTTTTTTGGTATCAACGTGTACCATTTCCGCAGAAGTTGCGCCTTCGCCTAAGAGCTACCAAGCATCTTTCCCTTTCCCTTGCTCTTTCCTTTACTTCTTTCGCCGTGGCCTCAAGGATGGAGCTTCCACTGTCCTTCCTCACCAGAACAGGAAACCTGTATGACGGACGGAGAACCAAACAACCCTTTCGGGTGATCTTATCTTAACCCAGGAGTAATACACCCCCTTGTCAATTTTAATAGTAATTCTTCTGATGGTAACGCTCCCCAAGTGATAGTCAGGTTCTATTGATCCGACATTCGCGCCATCTGGCCTTTGCCTTTGCTCTCAGTGCCCTCGGCTTTCGAATCGTGCAGAAAGCTGCACTCTGCCTGTCAGCGCCAACAGTTGGCTCGGCCTATCGATGAAATCCGCAGAACGAATCCCGACGCCCTGCACTGATCAATCGATGTAAGGAGACTGCTGGTTGATGATTCACTTAAACCAGTCAGAAGTGGTTGTGACTGGATCTTGAGCTCCGAAAAAAAAATTGGCCAAGATTCTACTCAAACCAAGCCACTCCTTTGTTGCAGCTGCCCTTCGCAAAATAAACACCTCAATATCGGGGTGTTTTATGAGATGACGGACCAATGTCTTCGGGTACCCGGGTATGTTTTCAGGCACACCCAACACCCACCTAGGGAACATCTAGGAATTCTTTTGTTCCACCTAGGGAACACCAAATGCCATAGATTGCCATAGATCTGCACCTTTTGGTGTTCCCTGACTTGGGTAGAAGATGGTAGAAGCCTATCTTCAGAAGGTCCTCAAAAAAAAATGTCTGAAAATGTATCGGGAAGACCCAATTCCACTGGTCAATCATCCATATGATCCCAAGAATGGCCATCCCTTGGGCCCCAAAAATAAAGGCACATCCAGAGATATCAGAGATCTTCTAGTGAAATATTAATCATGTTATCATGTTATATCTCCCATTACATACCCAAAATCTATTGATTGAATCCCCCTTTTTGGGGTAAAATCCTGGTTTTCCTGGTTTCATCTCAGGATTTCCACCACCCACTGCCAAAGTGGCAAGGCTTGGTCTTCCTGTCACCTGCCTCGCCCTGTCACAGACGCGGTGCGATGGTTGAAGCAACCTGGTGAATCCTTTTTTTCGGTTCGGAGCTAGATTCAGCTGTAGAACGGCTTGTCTCCTTTTTGGGAAAAAAAAAACGAAACTCTATGGTTTCTCGTAAACGTCCCCATTGTTTGCCATGAATTGCACCATGGCTCAGAGTTCAGAACTTCGATGATACAAGAAACAGGGATGCTTCCATTACAAAAATACCGGAACCAAAATTACCCAAAGAAGAGATGGTTTGACATCGACCCAAGAAATCCGTGGAAGCACAATGGATTTCCAGTACAGTACCCCACCTTTCGACTTGGAGCGGTTGTGCCCTTCTTTCCCTCGGAGATATCCTGTCAAGAACGGTGGAGCTCAAGTAATTGGGGATAAACCCTCTGGTTATGACTCACACTTTGCGAAGCCATGGCCCATTTGATGATCATCCATTCAACAGCATTGGGGATACATGTGTATGCATATATATATATATATATGTATATTTATATACGTATATATACCCGTTTCAGACAGATCCACTTGAAAAAAACAGGACGTCCTTGGTCACTTTCTCTCCTTTGCGACTGTCGCGGCCATTCGCCTGGCCATGCTGTTTGTCAAGTCCAGTTGCCTTTCCAAGATTTAGATCAAAACCCACATAGATTAGTAACAAATACTGGTTGGTGGTTTCAACCCCTCTGAATTAGTCAGTTGGGATGATGACATTCCCGATATATGGAAAGTCATACAAGCCATGTTCCAAACCACCACCCAGAATAGCAACAATACATATAGGAAGTGCGTGTTTGCCCCACCTGACACCTGCTTCACCTTCTGACAACCAGTGTTTCAACAGCAAGGTAGACTCGTCACATTGTCAAGAGTCAAGAAGATTAGGCTTTCACAAACACATTTTGTCTAGTAGTCTAGTGGACATGAAGGCATCTTCATTTGTAGTTGAACTATATAAATAAGATTGACTACACATTTGAAGATAAATGAAAAAAATGCACTCCCACGGGCAGCTCTCTATATCCCATATGTATAATTTGATCTGTCTGATTCTTTTAGCAGCACCGATGACATCAATCTGAATGCCGCATGGAAGACGCGTCTGTGCGCGGTGAACAAGTTTACAAATTGACTGCTAGAATGAATCTGTTCCTGAGAAGAAAATCCCAATCTCTGGCATTTCTTTCACCATCTCTTGCCACCTCAAAACTACGTTTTTCCCAACGAAAAACTCGGCTCTTGGAGGACGTCACCCTTGGCGCCTCGTGGTTGCTCTGGCTCTCCACTCTCTCAAGTCTCTGTCCACCTGGGAATGTCTACACCAGATGCCGTTGCGGGAGATGTACAAAAAAATTGCAAGACGTGATGTTCTGAAAATTGCATAGAATTGTAACAATCAAAGTACATAAAGTACCATTCAGAAAGCATCTTCAAGTCTGATGTGTTTTTTGGAGATGCTTGTCAGGTGTAAACTTAGTAGGTCTGATGTTGGTCTGTTTTCAGAGCTAAAATGGGACAATGGAAGGTTCAAAGCCAAGGAGCAAACATGACAAGTTCCAAGACAGATTTGTTCGATACGTCAGATACGTTCTCTGTTTTGGGAAGTTGGTGTTCAAGAATCTTGAGAATGTTGGATTATGGTTGTCTGAAAATAAGGGACCTAAGAAAACCTCCATTTTGTCATCATCATTTATCTTTGTCCTATGACAAAATGGCCATAAAATGGAAGCCCATTCTTGATTTTTCGGACACCCAACCGAATCAAATTTCATTGTTCACCTCCAATTCATACATATTCATACATATTCATACATATTCATACCACTCTTTGTTTCCATTCATCGTTCCCATTTCGGTCACCCCGTTTCGGTCACCGTGGTCACCGTGGTCACCAAGGGCGGCACTGATTTGGAGCTCATGGGCTCCATGAGCGAAGGTGCAATCTGCTCCTTTGGGGCAGCAGCCTGGCTTCGGCTTCGGCTTCGGCGCTGAAGGCGCGGATTTTTGGCCGAAAAAAAATGGATCCCGAAACGAATGGATTCATGTTTTAATATGTTTTAATGATGCAATCTGGGTTTCGTACTGGTGGGCGGCTACATGAGATTTTTGAAATAATTGTTTATAAACCCATGGGCCTCAATTGGGTAGGCTTAATATGGACTGGTAGACTTGAGGATGTTGTCAAGACCCCCTGGGTTGTTGGATGGAGAACCAACCAAGCAAGGTCTGTTGATCAGGGTTGACATTCATGCGGTACAACACCAAATAATCAAGCCTAGTCGGGCATATATGGTTCGTATTGACTCCCCAAGTGACCATGTTCGGTCGATTATGTCCAAATTGGCAGCCAAAAAATTGGTGACCATGGATTCGAATATGTGGGTTGAGGTGTTGTAAAGTTGCCGCTGAGACTGCCCCTCCGATGGTTTACTGAAAAGCAGTGCACAACCCAAAACAAGTCTACTTCCAAAAAAAACAGTTCCACTTCGCGGTCCACTTCGAATTCGCGCCTTCCACGTAGTAGCCACAGATCTTGGTCTTGAACCCAACGGCCCTGGGCCGCTCCTCCCAGCCGTTCCCAAACTCGTTGCCCTCAGTCGACCAATCGCCCCACTCACCAGGTGACCAGCCAGGGGAGGACCAGTCGGGCGCCCAGGCGGCCTTGTCGCCTGACACGGGCGATGGTGGGTATGTCAAAGAATGATGATATTATCATTTTTAGTTCAAGACATTTCAAGACATATGCTATGAAAAACTGAAAAAACATCAAATCCATTCAAATCCTGAACGTGTATACAGTGTAGGCGTGCGTACATGATGACCGTACGCGCGCACGGGTGTGGGAGTAAGCGTGCGGTTGAGCGTGTGGGTGAACGCGAGTGTGAGCATAGGGACGTGCAGGTGAGCTCAAACCGCGCGGACGTTCGCGCCCGTACACCGCCCGTGCGTCCGCACGCTCTTCCGCACGCTCAGCTGCACGCTTTCTCGAGCACCAGTACGCACACATGCCCACGCGTCCAGGACGTAGCCATATGAAGCCCAATCCCAGTTGCATATGTTTTCAACATTCAAACTTACAATAGCCTTACGATCGCAAAATGCAAAGGGGACGCGATTGATGTTTCCTTTACAAAGATCAAAATCGATAGCTGCTGTTGGGGATACCACCGAAGCTTACTTTAGTGTGGAAGCACTACCCAAACTCTCGAAATCATCGGCGTGATGTCAGCAGCCCTGTTTCTTGTCGCTCAATCCCCCAAGTCCTCTGATTTGCTCTGGCGTATTGCGGAACACCCCTGCCTCCATTGGACCACACCGGCACGGCAGTGGATGCTGAAGAGCCCCCGCTGACAAACACTGGCATCGGGCCGCAACAGCCGTAGCAACCGTGGCAACAGCCGCCGTTGCAGCCGTTGCAGCCATTGCAGCCATTGCAGCCATTGCAGCCATTGCAGCCGTTGCAGCCGTTGCAGCCATTGCAACAGCCATAACTGGCCGGGGCGATGAAGCGTAACCCCAATATAACTGGCACAAACGAACATGTACAAAGCACACAAGGAAGGTAACAACCAAACAAGTTGGTAGCTGGCTGAGCCTCGTATTAAATGCCTTAATCAAAGGGATAGATTGAGGGTCCGAGCTCATTTCCAGTGCGAAAGGACACTCTTGGCATTTGAGACCCTGGAGCAGCCTGGCAACATGATCCCTGAAGTATATATGGCATATATGGCTTGGTGGCTTTGCATCCCATGGGTCACACCCAAATTACCACTGGAGAGCCAATTATGATCCAGTACTGTCCATCAGTATCTATCAATGACAGTCCATTACCATCTATCATTCGTGCCTGTGTGTATTATCTTTAAAAACAAATAATCCTATATATGACAAATGGGTTTGTCTGAAAATAGAGTGGCCCATTCCATCCACTTATTCTATTCATGTCAAAATAGCCATAATTTTTAGGGTCCCATCCCCCATTTTCCGACCCGATGAAAGGGCCCGACCCAGCCTGCCCGGAAAGCCGCCATCCATGCCATTCACCATGGCGCAGCCGGTGCAGCCCATGCAGCCGCACATCATGCCCATGGGCACGGCCACAGCCGCCATGGCAGGCCCCGCGCCTGGTGTCCAGCATCAAACATGACTGGGACAGGCCAAAAATTGGCATTTCAATGTCTGGGAACATCATGTATGGATGGATGGATGGATGGATGGATGTATGGATGGATGGATGTATGTATGTATGGATGGATGGATGTATGTATGGATGGATGGATGGATGTATGGATGGATGGATGGATGTATGGATGGATGGATGTATGTATGGATGTATGTATGTATGTATCTATGTATCTATGTATCTATGTATCTATGTATGTATGTATGTACGTACGTACGTACGTACGTACGTATGTATGTATGTATGTATATGTACAACGCCCAATTCGGGCCCTTAACCATATATATATATGATATTATATTATAGATGAAGACTTTTCCACTGCTGTGTTTGATTACCAGCGGGTCTAACTACACTAAAATGTTTAAGTGTGGCGGATCTGTCTGTGGTTTTCCGGGCGTCAGTCAACTCGTCACCTGGGATTAGTTGACCACCAGTTTACGAATCGTGGGGAATACCCCCTTCATGCAGTATTTCAGAAAATTCTGTTGGTGGTAATCACCCGATCTTTAATTGACAGAGATTCATCATGATTCATCCAGGGTTGACTCCAAAATGGCTCCAAAATGGGATTCCAATGGCACAATGGACCCACAAATCTTGTCCTTTTTTGGTATAAAAAACCATCCCAAATGATGGGAGTTACAGAATCCTGGCCCAAACCAGGAGGGGCAAGCCCTGCTAAAAAGAGGATGGAATCTACGGTCTTCCAAGCGCCACAATGATAGCTCCTGTTATTCTGGTCATTCAAGGATTCAAAGCACAAAATTGCAAAGTCTGTGTGGGGAGATTTCAGATTTCAGGGGAGAACCCATGTACGCAACAATGTAAAAATGGATCAAGAAAACCCTGGTACTTTTTGGATTCCACATATTCCACAATTAAAATCGCGAGGACCCTGGACAGTCATCCCTACTAAAAATCGGGAAATCATGGAAGTCATCGCTGCAACTCACTCGCCATCTTTCAGGGTTCAGTCAGTTTGCCGTCCCACGAAACTCGCGACTCGTTACCTCAAACTAACATAGACAGGGAAATCCACCATTAATCGATCAAGGCGTTTCCAAATCTTTTTGCAGGCTAAGTAAATATCAAACTTGGGGTTTTCCAAAATGACCCCTCGTCACTATCGGTGTTCATCGAAAATGACTACCAATTATTGGTAGTATACCACATTCCGGAAAACCATCATTCTGGCTGGTTAAATCTCAATATTGCTGCTTAAATAATCTGTATATCCCATTATATCGAATCATACCCCATTCTCCCAATAAAATCCATCAAAAATCACTAGTTTAACCCAGTACCTCCTAGTAAGACCTCATTAAACCCCATACCATACCATTATTTCTTCCCTTTTTCCCGGCCTGGCACAGTACCCTCTGCGCACGCCATGGCGGCCATGGCGGCCCCAGCGGGCGGCGGTGGCGGTGGTGAGCGAACGACGCCCAGAACCACAAAGCGCTCTTCAGCGACAGCGACAGGTCTTTGGGCCCCCAAATCATCCAAGTCATTCGACCATTTTAACCCCCAACTTGGTAATGGGACATACTGATGGACAAAATCCTGCACCATTTGGTAACGGTAAAAAAACGAAACACGGTAAATACCGGCATTACAACGGGATAAACCATCTACCAACTGGTGTAGGATTTCGCAACCATCCAGTTTGGCGACCGGGATTTAATGGGGTTTAATGGTGACTTGATGGGATTTCTACAATGGGATCCAATCTGGCTGGGATATACCCAAAATGGATAACATGATGCAACTTGATAAACTGGGTCACCAAAAATAGCATCTTGCCAGCATGGGGATTGAAGCAACAATCATGGGTTTGGATCAGCCAAAATGGCCATGGAACCAACAGTATTAGAGACATTGTCCAAGAATAATACTTTAAAAACAAAACCAGTATGTTTCCTGAAAACGAAAAAAAAAACAGTTGTTCTCCGCGCTCACGAAAAAATGATGTCTGTCACTCATGAGACAGCCAACAATATTGGGGATATTGAGCAACAAGGGAAAGGAGCCTACAAGGTGGCCAGTGATGATGGCTATGTCATATCCCTTTTGCACTTCCTTGGAATTCATTGATGGAAGTCCAAAAGGAAAATGGCAGTGTGTCAAAACCTTGTACCCCTGGTGAACATCAAAATAGCTGGTAAATGGATGTTCATCTCCCTAAAAATGGTATTAATAGGTATTGATCCATACCCAAATAACAATTCCACCATTCTGCCATCGTTTTTTCGGGGGTTGTCACTGAACTCTGTCACCTCCACGACCCAGCGGTCAGCAGCAAGACCTGTAGTTCCCAAGCCAGTCAGTTCCAGGCGCCGTTCCTGTCATGGAAACTCTGAGGAGCCCACTCCTCTTGGATACTTCCTCTTGGGTATTCAAGAAACGTCACTTCGAACCCTGGTTTTCACATCAAAACAGCTGGTAGACTAATGTTCATACCGTTCATACCGAAATGAATAGTATATATAATTATATATATATATAATAATTATAATAGTTTTTGAGTCATCCGCATGTGGAATTTGAAATGCCTTGGTCTTTCTCAAAGTCATTTTCAGCGATTTGAAGGGGAACTCCTGCAAGGTCAGGGCGTAACATGACCACCTCTGCCTTCAGTCATCCCAGAATCAGACTTGGAATACCAAATTTGTAACTGTATTTAGTAGAAAACATAGTAGAAAACAAATAAAGAAAAAAAACTATACCCCAATTTTGCGGTCTTCAAACTAGGATCATTGCCTCATTTTCCAATCTGACTCCCAGTGGGGTTCAGTTTGATCAACCCGCCGGGCACACGTAGTCTGCGTCCACTTCATCAGCTCCCTGTGATCACGGAGCCAGTGAATCAGCAAAAATGGTGTCGTTTCTACCGAAACCAGTCGCTTAGGTCTCGAATTCTCGAAATCCACAGGGAACAAAGATCTTGAATCTTAAACTGTGCTCACTTTGAAGTTACACCTCAGAAAAATTGATTTGTGCATGAAAGCATCAAAGCGAACCAACCTCCTCAATCAGAAGTTCCTAAACTGCCACCGTCTGCAGGCCCCAGCGTCCATCAAGAATTGATTTTGGATATGTCCCAGGAGGTAGCTCCGAAACTCATGGTTGTTTCCCCACAAAAAAATATCCCAAACCGGGGACTTCAGGGAGCCAATATTGGGTGAAGACACCCATTTTTTCTTTGCGACTTCATTGGCTACTACATCCCTACTTTTGGCCTTCAATTTTCCATCGTCTTACGCAAGCTTTAAGGACATGAATATGGGGAAATTCTTGATACCCGAGAGGATGGTGAAGATAAAAACAGTTTTAGAAGGCTTTGAGTTTAACTTATAACCAAATCTCCAGTTTTTAAGGTTTACTTCGGTTTCATGCACCTTCGATGCCTGCCCCATCGGGATTTTGAGGTGCCAAAAGAATATCCCATAAATTTCCCATTATCCGATTCAGTGACCAGTCACCATTAATGTCCCATTCAACTGTCCAGAATCGCATTCCAAAACCAGATCTGAATGACACCGTCCACATATGGGGAGGTGTGGAAAAGAAATCGCTGCCCTTGACATGTGCGAGTCCCAATAAATCCCAGTAAATCCCATCAAATCCCATTGAATCCCACTATATAAATGGCCATCTTATCTTCCCTGGTTTCCATGTTTGGTTTTTAGTTTCTGACAAAGGCAACATGACCAGACTGTAGCCTCTGTCAGCACGCGTTCCAGCAGTGCCGGCGAGCCGCTGTTGTGACGCTCCTGCCGTAGTGTTTTGTTGCCCACCCCAAACGACAACATAAACAACATGATCTGCACGGTCCAACCTCTGTGAACAATTTTGCAGGAATTGATGTCCAGTTTGGCGACCGGACTGAAACAGTACCTGCCCAACAGAAATTTGACGCATCCAACTTCCTGATATGCCTCCCAAAATATCAGACTGCCAAATTGTTCTCAAATGTTCCATGCCAAAAAAATGCACACTTTGGAAATCATCTTGAGTTTGTCAGGCAGCTGCCAATTTCGATTTCCTCATGGCGTTGCAAGCGCTTGAAACGCGCATGCGTCTTGTGCCGCTCATAGAAGCGTTGTTGACGCTCTCGCTGCACATACCTGCCAAAGCGTCTAAGGGGCACTGGAGAGGCAGATTTTGGCTGCCAGAAGTGTGCCATTTTGTTATGATCGTTCTCCATGTTGCGAATCCTGTCTGACATTAAGATTTTAGTTTCTGGACCACCAGAAAAATCATGTTGCTGCTCTCCAGAGGGTCTGATTTCACAAGCAAGGAAATGATTTCAAGTTTCAAGATGTCTTGATGTTTGAACAATGGCCCGATTCGCAATCCGTCCGCACGTGTTGTATGGAACTTGGCGACGATTTTTGGCCATGGCATTGGGGAGGAATTGATTTGCCTTCCCGTTTTAATCAAGTTTCGTTTCATTGTTGTGAACAGTTTCAAACCTGCAACACATTTGAAATCAAAATTTAACGCAAATTCGGAACTGCCCCATGCATAATTTCATTGTTGAATTTTGACCATGAAAATGAACAGTCTATGCTGTAATGTTGAAATCAGTTTTCAAAAGTTGTGATCTGGTTGGTTTTTTCCTTCGCTGTATCGGCTGACCTTCCCGTGACGAGATGTTATGATTGCACGGAGGAAAAGTATTTTCAAAAATTGGACGATGCAAATGTTTCATGTTAAATCAATTGAAAATATGGTGGCAAATGCACTTTGCAATTGTCTTGAAACCCTTTCGACGTGCCTTTTTGAAACATGTTTTATGTATGTACCGTTAAATATATATACATATATACATATATACATATATACATATATACATATATACATATATACATATATACATATATACATATATACATATATACATATATACATATATACATATATACATATATACATATATACATATATACAAATACACAAATATACATATACACAAATATACATATACACAAATATACATATACACAAATATACATATACACAAATATACATATATACATATATACATATATACATATATACATATATACATATATACCTATATACATATATACATATATACATGTATACATATATACATATTTACATATATACATATATACATATATACATATATGCATATATACATATATATATATACATATATACATATATATATATACATATATACATATTTACATATATACATATATACATAGATATATATATATATGTACCATATGTGATGTGGAATAAAAGGTGTGAAACTGGTTTGGTAGTTGTCCGTACCATAACCTGAATTGTCACACCAACTTGTTTTGAACATTTTTGGAAGTTTCAAACATGCAAATTTTGCGGTTTTGTTTCAAACGTTTTTTCCCAATCCGTTCAACCAACCATGAAAAAAAAACAATCGGTTTTTTCTTTGGTAAAGAAACGACTGACTCGAGCCTGAATCATCCCGATTCCAAAGACCACAAACACAGCTTGCCAGCATCTAAAACCACGTGGGGGTCCTAAAGGCAGAAACTGCCTATGTCATTTTGTAATCGAATGCTTACAAAGAAGTTCGGAATTATCATTTTGATCGGAGAAACATGTTTTTGCCAGTGAACCCAAAACCGTGCTCGTGAAATTAACGTGTTTCTTGGGGTGGGGTGGCGTGGGCAAAAAACATCTTTGATGTTACATGATGTTACCTTGATGGGGTGGGGTGGGCAAGAAACGTCCTTGGTGCGAATTTTCAACTACACTACTCACTACTCAAGAACATTCAGTTCTTTTTTTATGTTGCTGTTTGGCAGAGCAGTACGGTCGCGCCGCGCCATGCGTTTTTTCCACGTAGTTTGGAGCCACTGCCGGTTGTATGCATCAGTTATGCACACATGACATGAAGACTGTACATGTGATATGCCAGAAAATGTTTGACACCCCCCCACACATTGATCCTGAAGGAACTGAGGGATGCCGTTTGTCAACCAGGCCACCACGGGCACTTTCGTAATCCATGTGAACGGACCACTGTTCACAGAATGAACCAAGGTTGTCCATGATCACAATGTCTTTGAAGACAGAGTACCCATGGCGCTCAGGCCTTGTCCACCAAGCCGCATCATCCCACATCATGTCAGGTTGTTGTGGGAACAAAGTCACCAGGTGGACTTTGCAATACTCCCGAAACATGTGTTCTTCGAACAATGCTACCTCTCTCACACGCTCAGCACGTTCTGCTTGCCGTGCAGGAAGATGACGTAGTATCGTCCCGATGTCTTCACAATCTGTGCCAATGATTGGAATGGGACCAGGATCATCTTGGGAACTGTGAGATATCGTGATCGCCATCTCCTCCTTGATCTCGTTCGGCTTGTCCAGGTTCATCCGCTGTTGTTTCTGCCATAGGCGGATCAGGATCATCCACCTCCATTGGAGTGTCATGCTCTCGTTCCTCTTCTTCTGCACTTTCATCACTCGTCATCTGCTAGGCCTCCAAAGGGTCAACCTCACGCATGTCATACCTGAAGCGTCTCTTGCGACCTGGCCGAACAAACTTCGCAAAACCATTCGGCGTCTCACAAAAGTATTCTTCACCACTCCATGCATCTTCCGCGAAGACAAAATGCGAAACTGGCGAAGTTCGCATTGAATAGGGTCCCAATCATCCACGAATTGGACCATCCGCCTTCTCGGCCAATTCTTCATGACCTTGTCCTTGATCCAAAACCAAACCTTCTTCGCCTTCTTCCGCGTGAAGAATTTCTTGAAAATGTGCCCAAACGCAAACCCGACAAAGAAGGAAACCATGCCTACACAAACAAAAGTAAGTTTTTTCCATGAAAATCTCCAGGTAGCCCTTGACCATCAAAGCTTCCAATTTGAGCTCATCAATGCGAGCTCCTTTGGCCATTGGTGCATAGCCAGCAAAGTCATCGCGCGAACCATCGCCGTTGAGATCTTGGGCCTGTAGTTCACCATGCCATCCGCTTTGTTTGGGCCATCGCTTGTCTCACCACTTTCATGTTCTGGCCAATCATCTTCTTCTGCATGTGTTATTTGTACTCATCCTGGCCGACAGGCATGTAGCAGTCGATCTCGTCCTTGAACTCCACAATGCCCATGAGGTACATGAAATAGACGACGCAATTTGTTGAGTTTTCTTGGTTCCCAGATCGACGCTCTCCATAGTCAGCAGTTGTTCTTTGACGCATCGTTGAAGCCAAAAAAACATCAACGTGTTTTTCCGTGCCTTCGGCTTTCGAATTTCCAAACTATGAGCCTTCACCAGCTCTTCTATCTACTTCTCATGGGTGAAATCACCACACCAGCACCTGTGAAAAAGTGCCTCTTTTCAGAAAACGCACTGGCTCTCTGGGATCTTGATCTGCAGCAGGTACCAATCCTCCTCCAGACAGTGAACTTCTTTCCAATTGAGAGCACAGAACCAGATCTCGATATTGATGTCGAAATAGGCTTGGCAAAAGAGGGGTACTGGAAAATCTAAAGATCTGAGGTGATCACAAAGGAATCGAAGAATCGAGAAGCAGGTCTTTTCTGGCAAACACTTGGCCAACGTCCAGATGATGTGGTTCACCTGCAAACCATGAAGGTTTTTTTTCCGTCCAACGCCTTCATGGTTTCCGCCAGGTCGTTACACACATTCAATCGCAGCAAAAAGATGAATTGTAATTGTCATGCAAGGCTGTCAACTTGTCGATAGCCACAAAAGTACTGGTAGTGGACCTGTACGCAGTCCAGCGAGCTGTTCCAGCAAGAAACCAAAAAACCACAACCAGAAACAAAAGAAACCAAGCAAAAAAAAACACAACCACAACCAAACCAAAACAAACAAAACATAGAGAAGTGGGATCGGCACCAGCAATGGGAATAACATGCATGATGACATCTTCTGTGTCATTATGAGAATGGCCACCGAACAAGAAGCAAACAAAGAGAACACAGAATCACACAAAGGGGCCAGGTAAGAGGGTGATAGAAGCAACAAAGCTCAATGCGGAAACCAGGGATCCCCCCAGCCAGGATCCCGAGATCACAGAGAGCAGCCGTTCAGGTATAACATTCACCCTGGCACTTCGAAGCAAACACCGACAACGCCGGGCCGCAACGAAAGTGGTGAAAAACTATGTAACGGTGAAACAGATGGGTGAGACATGATCTATTGTGAAATGACAGCATTTTTTTTTTCCCCTCGAGTTTGGCCGATGTCGCACTGTGGCTCGGTCCTTACATGAGCATAAGCGGTAAAACGTCACTTTGTACAAGGACCAAAACGGTCTGGAAATGCAGGCAAATCACAACAACCACACGCAACCCAGCCAGACGACCCGCAAGATGGGGAAAAATGACAGCAGTAGCTACGGCATTCAGGGCGCACTCAGAGTCCGCTCAGTAGTTCTTTTCCAAGCATCATCATCATTGGGAGCTGTAGGGCACCCTTGCGGTGCATGCTGCTTTCAAAACTCTATCCAATGCGATCGAGTTAGCGATGATCGCTAGCTCTCACGACGCAAGAAACAGTTTCAGGGTGTGCCAGTTACCTGCGACTGAAGACACTGTCGTGATGTCATTTTTTGTCAGAAATCATCCACCTGTGCTTCACCATGAGCATGTGGCTCCAGACTGTTGAACACTTGATTCCCATGCTGGTTGCGATCCCACTTCTCTTTGTTGTTTGTGTTTGGGTTTGGTTTTGGTTGTGTGTTTTTCGGTTTTTGCTGTGTTGTTTTTGGTTTTCTCTTTTGTTTCCTTGTTCCCTTGCTGGGACAGTTTCTGGACTGCGTACTGGTCCACAACCGGCACTTTTGTGGCTTTCGACAAGGTGACAGCCTTGCATGTAAACTACAATTCAACTGTTTGCCGCGAATGAATGTGTGTAACGACCTGGCGGAAGCCATGAAGGCGTTGGACGGAAAAAAATAGCGATGATCGCTAGCTCGACAGCATTGATGCAGGCTTGCAAGCGTGGCTCCTTCAGCGGTCAACAAATGCATGCGTTGCAGTCAATTGTATTCGATGCGGTCGAGTGACCATGGTTGCTGGTTTAGAGAACTATACCTTGGCCTTAAAGTCACAGCATCTTTTGACCGCTCCGAATCATATACACGAGTCATAGGTGGTCAAGTGAGATGCATCACGCCGGAAATTAAGCCACAGAACCTACAGGTCATCTGGAATGTACAGTTTATTACTGTTTTTGTGCCGGCATGGATGATCCCTCCTGTATACCATAGCCTGCGCAGAGAAAGCATCAAGAACACCAGTTCCGCCAGCGCAATAGGTGTCCAGTCGGTCCGCCCTACCTGGTTTGAAGACATCACACCCAAAGAGACCACGCCTTCACCAAACCAGGATCCTCAATGGCAGCAG